CTTCGAATTAACTTCAAGTCTAGACCGCTGCGGGTATAAAAACGAGCGCTCGGCCGTAGGAGACCAGAAATGTGGACCCGAGCTGTGGGTGAACTGAACACACCTTAGGTCCGCATTTTTCAATAAATAAACTATTGAAACAAAATCATGGAATGAGCCATGATCGCAGGGGGTCTGGTTTGCCAACCGGCGACCGACCTTCTACCTGTGACCACCTCTTGGCTCATTCCATGGAAATGCTCCGCAGGTCGACACCATCAACGTTAACACCACGCGTTATGAATGTTGTATGCCATTATACGGTAGGTATTCCTTCAAGGTACTATTCGGACATTTCTTACCGATTTAAGGTTTTGCATGGGACAGTTTGATAAAGTTTAGTTATTTATTTATTTATTAACAGCAACATTCATAAAACACATAAACCAAAGCAAAGTAACACATTTGCCTTAAATTATTTGAATGTTACAGGTCATTCTGAGGTCAGGTAATACTTAGGTACTCACCAACTTGATGGTATACCTACCTATTTATTAGCTAATTGTTTTATTGATAAGAATATCTAATTCGTAATGAAGTAAATAAATATGCGCCTAAAAAGAATAAAAGGTAGTCTACTTATTATGCTGATGTCATGTTGACCACCGAGCGTTGCACGTGGGAACGTGTGGCTGACGCAGCCGTTAGGATGTTTTGATCAAAAGTCCACTATGTGCATTCTGTAAATTTCCATTGTAGTGAAATAGAAATAGAATAGTATTGTTGACTGCTGATACGTACAGTAATTTAACCACTGTATTATTTCGATCACTGAAATAAAGCATAGAGCTTGAACCTCGCCTCTTTTAAAAACCTTCGGAGACAAAATATTGCTTTCTAAAGTGACCCAACCAGGATCGAACCTAGGACTAACTACGTTCAATTCACGGGTGCCACTACGCCATCTGATCACATCGTCTGCCCTGGCTGACTTACAAAATCAACTCCTAAACTAATTTATCTTTAAAAGATAAACTTATATTAATATGACGTTGTTGTTACGTTTTTGTATGAAATATTATGTTTTTGTCTAAAATGTGTTTTGCATGAGAGAAACTAAGTTGAAAGTTTTTAAAAATTTCGGCTCTACGTGTGCATAATACCCTATCACCATAAACGTTCAAAATTGATCTTTCTACTAAGAAATAGGTAAAACGTTTTCGTTTCATTGGCATTGCACCTACTATTAATAGTAAATGATGGTGTTTTACCAAACAAAGAACTATCGATTAATACTAGGTATCCTAGATGTTAAGCACTACGAATCACGCATGCGCTGGATGCATCAATTGCCCCCTGGAATGATTGGTCATGATTTAGGACCTGCATTCACGTCAGTCTGGAGGCCGCGACCGCAATTAAAGTCGGAGCGATTTAGGGGAGTCTAGCTGAAGCGGAAACTCAGGGAAAGTACTTTGTCAAAAATACTTTACGACTTGATGACCACCATACTTTAAAACAGAGACTATTTAATTAATGCAACACCTTTCTTAATAAAGGTTCTGCCAAACCAACGCGATCAGCCGGCGTGTAGCGATGACGATCAATGCATTTAAGTCGCCATCGCTGCACGCCGGCTGATCGCGTGTGAATGCGTTGGTTTGTCCGAACCTTTAATATTGATATCAATAGCTTCTATGATGAAATTTTTACTGATATGTTGTATATTTTCAAAAATTCAGCAATTCGAGAAAGAGGGAGACGTACTTTTTCGCACTCATTTTAATATTTGGTTCTTCAATTATGAACACTTCTTCACCTCAAACAGTGTGAAAATCAAGACCAAAATCCGCAATCGCTGCCTCTTGTAAACATGACCTCTTTACTTGATCCAACTTCAAATCTACTGATGAGGGTATAAAAGCGGGTGCACTGCCGATGAAAATCAGAAATGCGGACCCAAAGTGTGGGTTAGCAGCACCTTAGGTCCGCATTTTTCAATAAATAAACCATTGACACCAATGCATGGCATGAGCCATGATGACTGGCCAGGGTCTGGTTTGGTAGCCCTGCGTCTGTGATCATGGAATGTCCACACTGTGTGATGCCTTGTACACGTGGATGCTCAAGTCAGTCCCTGCAGGCTGGACTCTAAACTAAACTACGCCGTATGAATGTATGTTGTATGCCATGTCGTAGGTATTCTGCTGGTCGGCCGTTTGGTGTAGTGGTTCAGAACGGACTACTATGTCGAGAGGTCCCGGGTTCGATTCCCGGCCGGGCAGAAATTGAAATGATGAATTTTAATTTCTGTGACGGGTCTGGGTGTGACTATGTATAATGTTTATGTATTTAAAAAAAAGTATATAAGTAGTATATCCGTTAAGCTAGCACCCATAACACAAGCATTAAGTTGCTTACTTTGGGGCTAGCTGGCGCTGTGTGAAATTGTCCAAAGATTTATTTATTTATTTATTCTCTTGAAATAGCGGTCTTGTATATGCAACCGTTTCTAGACTTCTAGTTAGTTAAAAGCTACCACTCCAGGTGTCTTACCAAGGTTTTATTTTATTCGTTACTTACTATTCCTTACAAGTCCTTCTGATGATTGTTTGCTGCTATAATACGGAATAGAAATAACATAAAAAAACTTCACCGTCCCCACCTTTCATAAACTTGTCGGCCATTTGGTGTAGTGGTAGGGAACGGACTACTATGCCGAGAGGTCCCGGGTTCGATTCCAGGCCGGGTAGAAGTTGTGTTTCTGTATTTAGTATGTTTCTATCCGTTGTCTAGTACCCATAGTACAAGCTTTGCTTAGTTTGGGACTAGAAGCGTAGTGTAAAATGTCCAAGGATATTTATTATTATTTATAAACTTGTGTCTATAAAGTGCGGCGACTCCAGACACTTGTGTGCCTTAAAGTGAAAGAATTTGGGGCCGAATGTACTCTGGATTTATTTATCCCATCATACATAAATCGGGAGTAGATTCGGCCAAAATGTTTCATTTCACATATTAGCGTGTTAATTTAAGGATGTTATTTGCCATTGTCGAAATACTTAGGGCGAGAAATGTAGCATTCACAAAATCATAAGTGCATCAACGATGCAAGCGATGCCATCACCGGGGCACACCGGGGCGTCACCGTCTGCCGCACCCAGACTGCAGTTCAAAGGGTGTGTTCACGCAAGCGCAGTACGGTTTGCATCTAAAGCTATGTGTTCACTTGCGACCACATCTTTTTTCACAACACATGACGCTAATCTTTTCGCAGATATGCATTTGTAGCTCATTTCAGTTATCACGACTTTACCGGATATAAAATTCACCAAAATATAACATGACGTCTCTAGCGCCACCTATCGTGGGGCATTTGTCTTCCAGTGAATACAAAGCTTTATCTTACACATACGCCATGCGCTGTGCGTTTTACATGCAACGATTACGATCCGATAACTTAAGTAACTCACTATCGGATCGTTAGTAGGGGAGACCTAGGAGAGTTGTGACAATTTTTACTTTAGGGGCCATATCTCGCTCAAAAATCATTCCACAGCTATGAATCATACAAATTAATGTAGCGCCGTTCCTTCTGTTTTCAAAACAATAACCAAATTTTACTAAAGTGTTAGGGTTTCTGAGAAAATCAACAAAATCTAAGACAACTCCCTCTGTCACAACTCTCCTAGCACCGAGGTAAGTTGTGACAGGTACCGAGGTGAGTTGTGACAGCATTGTATTTCATCTATTAGATATAAAAATACCATAATACTCAATCAAATATGATTTTTTAGCAAAAAGTACTTTAATCATCCTGTAGTAACAATTAAATCAAATAGTTATAGGATGTCGTTACACAGATTGAGCCACATTTCTCCAGCTTTTATTTTTCTCCCACGACACTGGATTTTTTCAATTATATTTTTTAGCTAATATTATAGTCACTTAATATATTTTCTTCTTTTTCTGTAAAAATAAAATAGTCGCGGTGGTATAATCCATAGACGGAGCTTCGCCTTCTGGGTTTACTTGATATGCCTATTTCTTCTTAATATATCTTGACAAGTTTAGACTGTAAGAGGTCGCAGCATATCTTAAACTTTAACCCTTTTTAACCTAATCACTTCATAAGCCAGGTGCTATATTTCGACTCCAGCAAGCAGTTCCTCTATATGTCATTAATGTATGTATAGTTATTAGGCATTCAGAATTAAAAAAGTAGCAGCAGGCAATTACTCAAATTATGAACCTACTAACACACAAAAAAAACATCTGAAAACATCGTGGAAATGGCCCATCAGAAAAATTAAGTAAGCTAGGAGAGTTGTGACAGGCTGTCACAACTCTCCTAGGTGTTTAAAATGACGACTTGGTTCGAATAATAATTTTTATTTTCTAAACACGATGCGCACACAAAATATCAGTGCTGCATTTTGAGACCTGACTAACCATGCAACTTGAGAAAAAATAACACAACAGTGCACATATACTAAAACATGATATAAATTGAAATAAAATTTTGACGAAAAACTTACTTTTCGCATTTTTTTGTACACATACGTCATATTTACGCAACCGTGTCTCTAGCACCACCCGCAGGTACTTAGTCAAGAAGAGCGTCTTAAAAAAGACAAACAAGCGTTTTTTCCAGCTTCCTAACTATATTAAGTAAGGAGAAATCGTCCTTGTCACAACTCACCTCTGTCACAACTCTCCTAGGTCTCCCCTAATAATGGGTTCCACACGCAAAGCATTTCGTAGAGGGCGCCAGCAGAGCTGCTGTGAAACTTTTTTTTTATTCGATTGTGCCTTCGTGGGTTTTGCACATTTGGCCAGTGTCAAGATGGCCGGGGACGCGCTAGTGTTGTCCGCATTTCCTGTTTGGAGAAAAGTAGTGAGGCGCGTACATCCAGCGATTGCGAACGTAGTGATGCGCGACCAATTACAATTAAGTAAAAACACTTTGTTGGTATTTCAAGTCTCATTTTATTTTGTTAAATGTATTTACTATTTTCTACTTATTCTGTAATTAATTCCATACTTACTCTCCTAGATTAAGAAAGCCTAACTGTTAATAAGAGTCTAACCCAATTGAATATCTTGAAGTGAACATTTCACCACAAAAACCTAACCAGTGAGTCGAACCAAACTTTGTTTGTTATGAGTTTTTCTTTCAATCCAGTGCAGCATGTAAGGTAAAATAATAAATATTAGTCCATGATAAAGGTAATAATAATAATGCTGTAACAACCTTAGTATAAAATTGTATGAGCCGCCATTATTTTTATAAAAGAGCCGTGTGAAATATCGGCAACGATTTCTAGGTCTTGAAACTACTTGTCAAACAATAAACAAACAAGTACATACAAGCATACAACAGAAGTCACACTGCTAACACATAGCTAACGAGACGCATGTAGCACTGTTTTTATTTGATTATGAAAGGAAATAAAAAATACAAAAATAATATTTTCTAATTATCACAAAATAATATAAATGTTGTCATCTAGCCTCGTGTTAACAGTGTGACCCAGCAAAAGGTTGAGGAGCACTGACCTTCGCAGCCGACGGGGTTGTATTCCTGCAGGTTCCAGAAGAGAGGCTTGCAGTCGTTGCAGATGCGGCCTTGCACGCGCTCCTTGCACTGGCAAAGCTCGCCGGCCGGCACTGAGCCGCAGCCTGAGAGAGAGAGAGAGAGAGAAGATTAAAATCCATCCGTTTGTTAGTCGTATACGTTTGTTAGTCGTATATCTCGAAATCAAAAAATCCTTGTAGCTTTTCACCTATTCGCATTTCGCCGCGATAGCGTTTTTTGTTGTAGCGTGTAATATCGGTAGTATATTTTGTTACTAGCATATATTTCTAACAGATTTTTACAACAGTAGCAAATTTTCATGTAGCATGTATTGTCAATAGCCTATTTATTAAGCCGCATATATTTTGAATAAATTTTTACAACAGTAGCAAATTAGGTAGGTAGGTAGGTATAGTGCTTAAAGGAAATATCGCGATATGTAATAATGCATTACTATTGTAATAATGATTGTTTGATTTCGAGGTATACGACTAACAAACGGCCGTATACCTCGAAATCAAAAAATCCTTGTAGCTTTTCACCTATTCGCATTTCGCAGCGATATCAAAATTTCTGAATAGATTTTCATTCTTGTACACTCGCGAGCAAAAGTATGGAATCACTTACATGAAGTTGTTTCCACGCGATCTTGTGTACTAACGAATTTGTTAGTAACAAAAAAAAAGTGGCACCATTTTAAAGATTAAACTTTTAACTTTAAATTGATACCAAATTTATTTAAATCACATCAGTATTTAAAAAGATATCCCGGTTAATGTGAAGAAGTAAGGAAAAAGACATGTATCAAATCTTTGATACGTCGCGAGTTGCGGCCTATTTACCCCCTATAAAAGCACGTGTTTTCGGATTTTGCTTTCACACGTTGATCCTTACACATCTCCGCTTCTTTTGACACTTTACCTGAGATTCTACACCTTCAGAAGCAGCACAAATCGTTGCACTATTGCAAGAAAAGCTCAGCCAGCGGGCTGTCGCACGTCAGCTCCACATAAGCCAGTCCTAGGTTTCGAAAGTTTTAAGGCGCTTTCGGGAGACTGGTGGCTTTATCTTGAGACCAAGTTCTGAACAGCGCCGGTGCACATCGCAGAGGGATGACCGTTTTTTCATGTCAACCTCTCTATAAATTCGTCATTTGACTGGTATCGACGTCCAGCAAGAGCTCAGAAATGTTCGTAGGATAGCTGTTAGCAAGTGGACAGTTCGTCTAAGATATAAGCAATAGAATTTGACTCCAAAAAGGCCTGCAACGGGCTCGAAACGGCGCTGTTCAGAACTTGGTCTCGGGATAAAGCCACCAGTCTCCTGAAAGCGTCTTAAAACTTTAGAAACCCAAGACTGGCTTATGTGGAGCTGACGTGCGACAGCCCGCTGGCTGAGCCCTTCTTGCAATAGTGCAACGATTTGTGCTGCTTCTGAAGGTGTAGAATCCCAGGTAAAGTGTCAAAAGAAGCGGAGATGTGTAAGGATCAACGTGTGAAAGCAAAAATCCGAAAACACGTGCTTTTTTAGGGAGTAAATAGGCCGCAACTCGCGACGTATCAAACAGTTGATACATGTCTTTTTCGTTACTTCTTCACATCAGCCGCGATATCTTTTTAAATACTGGTGTGATTTAAATGAATTTGGTATCAATTTAAAGTTAAAAGTTTAATCTTTAAAATGGTGCCACTTTTTTTGTTACTAACAAATTCGTTAGTTCACAAGATCGCGTGGAAACAACTTCATGTAAGTGATTCCATACTTTTGCTCGCAAGTGTAGTATAATTTTTGATCGCTAATTACAATTGTCTAAAAAATTCATAGTAGATTTACTTTCCTGCCTGTCTTCACTGTAGTCGCTTTTCACCTTGATAGATATTTGTTTGTAATGCGTTATTACATATCGCGATTAAAATTAAATTATACTCCAGTGGTATAACCAATTTACGGTAAATACAATACACTACACTACAACAATATGCGACCCAAATAATAAGCGACTAAAAATACTTGCTGCTAACTAAATAGGCTATTGACAATTCATGCTACATAAAAAAAAGCTACTGTTGTAAAAATCTGTTAAAAATGTATGCTAGTAACAAAATATACTACCGATATTACACGCTACAACAAAAAACGCTATCACGGTGAAATGCGAATAGGTGAAAAGCTATGAGGATTTTTTGATTTCGAGGTATACGACTAACAAACGAATCCGTCGCTAAATCATCATCATCACAATCTTAGCCAGCTGCATTTTCCGGTACGCGGCCTCCACTCCAGAACTTTGCTGCCCCATCGGCCGACAGTTCTGCGTACTATGTGCCCTGCCCATTGCTACTTCAGTTTGCTAATCCGTCGGGCTATATCAGCGACTTTAGTTCGTTTACGGATCTCCTCATTTCTAATTCGATCTCGTAAAGAAACACCAACATAGCCCTCTCTATAGCACGCTGTGCAACGTCGCTAAATATTGACTTACAACTAACAGCTGGTATAGATCGTTTCATCCACGAAGACGCGCCCCACCAATTTTTGCTCTAGAGAAGCGCGGGGTGCGGAATGTTTGACCCAAGCAAATTGAGCGTCATTATTGTAGTGTGCGTGGATCACTTAGCGTGTGCCGATAACACTTAAACTTTAGCGGAAGCGAATGGTGGGGCGCGTTTCGTGGATGAAACGATCTATAATGGATATTTGACTCTTCTAATCAACATATAAAGCACAACTTAAAAACATGATGCAGTTCAGCACTCAAAACATCGTATAGTATCGTAGTACATTTGGGACATTGTAAGTTAGTCGTGCAGTTCAGACATCTCTTCCCATGGTTCCCATCTTCAAGTTCAATGTAAGAAGCGATTGAGGAAGAAATATGTGTACGTCAGCCCTTCCCAACCAGTCAAGACAGCGTGGGATGTGTAATCCCAATCCTTCATTTATCAGGTAAAATAAAAAGGTTCTTCGCCTTTGCAGTGGAAACCAGATGATGATGAAATCTTAGTTTTACAAGTATTAAACGTGGGATTTGAACTGTTTCTAGTAGCCAGAGCGTCACTCACCAGCGAAGGAAGTCACAACTCCTTTAGGATCGCAGTTGCACTCCTCGCACGCGGTGTAGTTGTATAACTGCTCCTTGCAGCAGTCACACTTTGTCATGGACGTGACTGGACGTCATATAACGGCCGCTAACTGACGGCACCGCTATCCGATTATTCAGAGCGTCACTCACCAGCGAAGGAAGCCACAACTCCTTTAGGATCGCAGTTGCACTCCTCGCACGCGGTGTAGTTGTATAACTGCTCCTTGCAGCGGTCGCACTTTGTCATGGACGTCATATAACGGCCGCTAACTGACGGCACCGCTATCCAAATATTCAGAGCGTCACTCACCAGCGAAGGAAGCCGCAACTCCTTTAGGATCGCAGTTGTACTCCTCGCACGCGGTGTAGTTGTATAACTGCTCCTTGCAGCGGTCGCACATTGTCATGGACGTCATATAGCGGCCGCTAACTGACGGCACCGCTATCCGATTATTCAGAGCGTCACTCACCAGCGAAGGAAGCCACAACTCCTTTAGGATCGCAGTTACACTCTTCGCACGCGGGGTAGTTGTAGAATTGCTCCTTGCAGCGGTCGCACTTCTCGTTGTCAAAGTTGGACTTGCAGTGGCATTTGCCGTTGTCGTCGCACGTTGACCCGATGGATCCAGACGGGTCACAGTTACACGCTGCGAGAGAAAGATTGATTAGTTGAATATACAGGGTGTTTGGTGGAAGGTTAGACAAACTTCGTGGGTATATACAGGGTGTCCCGTAATGTAACGTCAAGCCGGAACTGGGTGTTGAGGCAAGTTGTGCTGGTTATCAGAAAAATATAAAAAAAAATCTATGTGGCATATTTTCAAAATAATGGGCATTTAAAAAAAATCAAAAATGTCTACTCCAGGTGACGGTCTTTTTACTCGTGTTGCCACAAATCTTCACTTTTTCCAAATTTTTTTTTTGTTATGTAACCCTGAATAATGCTTCTCTAAATTGTTATCAAAATTACAAAACCAGCTGCTCCAGCTTGGATAAAAAAAATACATTATTCCCAAAAAATTTTTCAAAATAAAAATTTTGTCTAGTTTAAACTGACGGTACTGAAAAAAAAAGTACTACGCAAGTGTGGCATGTGACGTCATAATTTGGCGCATTTAGTAAGGATTCCAAAATGGTATAACACTTGGTAAATTCTTGCTGTAATTGTCGACAATTTTTGGTTTTTTGGAAATAATCCCGTTTTTAACTTTATCTACCTTGGTTAAAAATTATTAATCTAATGTGCCCAAAATTCAAGTTTCTGTGACTGACTACCGTACAGTCAGTCACAGAAACTTTTGTCACCATGACAGTAATTAGTAGTTGACATACTGTGACAAAAGTCACCCGTGCGTGCGCGCCGTTACTACCTGCTCTGCCTGCACTTGTACTTGGTAACAGGGATAATGAAGTTTCGGTTATGAATACGGTTACGGATATTACAATAATATTATACCGGTTTCGGTTACGATCACGGATATGAAATCATTTCAGATTATCCGAAAGTTTCGGATAATTTCGGTTACGGAATTATTAGAATTTCAAAAATGTAGGTTTATTTCAAATAGCAAGATGCTGCGTGACCCACATAGCTACTTTATGTACCAACTAAGAGGACACCTATGTATGATAAAGGTTAAACAGGCTGGCATATTAGATGGTGCCAGGGAATGCCAGACAAGTTGGTAACAAATATTAAGATTTAAGGTACAATTCCAAGACGGGCCGCAGACCGCAAACTGCAAAACTCTATGAAATCGGCAGCGCGGCATTGCTGCTGCGGCGTGTATACTGCAGATTTCATAGAGTTTTGCAGTTTGGAATAATTGTACCCTTAGACTCCGCCTTTATCCGAAACTATCCGTAACTTTTGAATCAGTTTCGGTTACGGTTATGGATATTTTTTTATTTCGGATATCCGATAGTTTCGGTTACGGTTACGGATATCCATAACATCCCTGCTTGGTAAGATGGCCCTCTCCGTCCCGCTCATACCTTTTAAAATGGCGTGACGAGGAGCCGGTGTATAGGAGCCTGGGACTGCACTTACGCAGACAGTCCGGGTACTTGTAGTAGCCAGGCGAGCACTGCGCGCACTGGCGGCCGCCGAAGTTGGCCAGGCAGTTGCACTTGCCGTCGGCCGAGCAGCTGGTGACGAGGAGCCGGTGTATAGGAGCCTGGGACTGCACTTACGCAGACAGTCCGGGTACTTGTAGTAGCCAGGCGAGCACTGCGCGCACTGGCGGCCGCCGAAGTTGGCCAGGCAGTTGCACTTGCCGTCGGCCGAGCAGCTGGTGGACGTGGAGCCGGTGGACGAGCAGTTGCACGGCACGCACGTCCGCTCGCGCCCTCGCACCTCCATGTAGTACCTGGAAGGGGTAATAAATGCGTCAGCCGACTTTTATGGCGGGATAAATAGGCTAGTTTCCTATAAAAACTTATAGTCCATCAATAATATTGGACACGTATATTTTTACTAGAGACCGCCCGCCACTTTTACCGCATTATAGGTTGAATTTTGCAAAATCACGTCTTAGTGAGCAACTGCATAGTAAAAGGAATCCCCATGCATTAATTGAGACTCCTAGTAGAGCACTTGTAGTTTCTGAGATTTCGTGATGAGTGAGTGAATCAGTCAGTCAATCAGTCAGTGACCTTTTGCTTTTATATAGGTATGTATACTCATAGATTTGCTAATGAAACAAGTAATTACGAAGTTATGATGAGTTGAAGTTCCGCGTGACGTCACAAAGTGCTTTATCTCTTTAAATGTTCATTAACTATAAAAGTGAAATATACGACATACGTGTCGAGAATTTTTTGATAAGTTAACCGACAGACTAATTTTAAACTCTTGCTTTTTACCCAGGAAAGTTGTCGTACGAGCAAGTACACACGGCCACACTGTTAACTATCCATTTCCGTTTTTTCTCTCGCTCTCATCAAATGGTGATTCTTTGCGATAGAACGAGACGACATGACAGGCAATGGATAGTTAACACTGGGCAATGGATAGTTAACACTGTTTCCGATGGTACATTAAAGTTGCTGACATAGCGCCTGCATCGCTCGATTTAGTATCGCATGAAAAGTTACGTCAATTGATTGGTGGCATCACCAACAACACCATCATCAGGTTCTTTTAGTTTTTCTCCATTACAGGCGTATGACACTCTTATTGTACCAGAAGCAAATGGAGGATTTAGCCAATTAGCCTACACTCGCTACGCTGCCCAGGCGGGTTGGGGAAACCAGATATTACTCACTAAGGCCTCGTAAGGCTGAGTTGCACCATCTAACTTTAACCGTAACTATAACAAAAATCGTTATTTTTTGTATAGAGTTTGGCAGTATAGTTTAAAGTAAGGCCCAGAACAGACGGTGAAACGGAACTGCAACTTTCTGATGATTCTTATGAATGAAACTGAAACTGAATGTTTCAAACTGGTCGCGTCATGTGTGGTCTCTCAACGGACGCTATGGCAGAAACTTAGATGCAACTCAAAAGTAACTAGCAGTTGCAGTTTCGTTGCAGTTGCGTTTCACCGTCTGTTCTGGGCCTAAGATGATGCAACACAGCCTTGGACGAATAAACCACTGGACATGAAACCCTCTAAGAATCATATGGAAACACGTTCAACCAATTTTTGCGGGGGGAGAGGTATGACAATTGTCAAATAATGACATTTAGTGCTGGAAATAATCGTAAATTTTTTATATCGATAATTATGTAAATGAACGAGTGAATGAATGAACCTAATGAGATAAAATTAATCATGCGTTGGATATCTTTATGTACAAATTATTTAAATAATGAATGAATTGGATTGATTTAGACATAATATGCAACAAAGTCAAGTTAGTTACACCATAATTATACAACTAAACAACGGCAGGACAGATTTTGAAATTGGGATATTGTGTTACAAGTTCTATAAGCAGTACCATCCCTCTTACTTATGTATTGATTGCCGCATTGCAAAGTTCTTGCAAACCAATTTTATTTTTGAGTACCTACCTATGTCTTGGCTGGATGATGCTTACGAATACGCTAGTGAGTAAAAAACTTTAATATTTGTGTTGTGTATTATACAGGGTGTCCCAAAATTAGCACGTCACGCTGACACCAGAGGTAAATGAGCTTAAGACGCAAATAAAATTGGTCATATCTTAAAACTTATGAAAGTTTTCTATGGACATTATTTTATGTTTCTATGTCAAAATAGATATGTAGGGTTAAGAGGGGGGTGATAGGGGGGGGGACCGTTGGTACATTTGACAATTGACATAGACAAGACAAACTATTTACGGTCCAAAACTATGCAGAACAAGAAACTAAAACACTTTTGTATGCATATAAATAATTTAGAACTAATCTACTATATAAAAATAAGTCGGGTTTTCCTCCCTGACGCTATAACTCCAGAACGCACGAACCGATTTCCACGGTTTTGCATTCGTTGGAAAGGTATCGGGCTCCGTGAGGTTTATAGCAAAGAAAAATCAGGAAAATTTAACAAACGAAATTCCACACGGGCGAATATAGTTATATTACAATGATGTCAGTTTCTCATGTTTACTTATTATCATCAAATACATTTTGTTTTAAATCTTTATTTAACATTTTTCTATTTAACTAGTAAAAGTTGTGTGATTAAATCGGACCATAAAACTCTGCTGTCAAAATTCGAGTTTCAAACTCATCAACAATCACTACGATCAATCAATAACACACTGACAAAAGGACTTCTTAGGCTAAACTCTATTCACTATAAAATCACGCAAACCTAAAAGTTTGACATAGTCACTAAATGTTAGGAGTACCTCCAAGCTGTACTTTTCTCATAACTCCCTCTACCTCTACCCACTTTCTTCTTTTAATTAGATCCACTGGAAATCTAAAATTAATTTGAATAATATCAGTTTCGATAAGTTTATCGACAATTTTCAAGCCCTATACATCATAAAAAATAAATGTGAACGAATGAATGAAGCATATAATCCAACCAAATTAAATATGCCACATGTTTTAAGCATTTACCTGTACAATGAGAACTTTTTAAAATTACGTAATTATATTTTGTTTACATATCAAATTTTATTTATTTTATGAAAAAATAGCTACTTTATTAGGTTGAAAATGTAATTACGCGTGAGAAGAAACATTCTTTGAGTGATTGGTATAATTTTTACAAAAAAGTACGGCGCATTTACCCATTTTTCGTGATAATTTTACTCTTCGAGAGCTCGCGTCATACTGACAACCTGAAAACATTTACCATGGCAAATTAGCCTTGGCAAGTGCTAGCGGGGTAAACACGAAAACGTCACTCGTTACGCGTCCAGTGGTTTATTCGTCCAAGAACACAGCCTTAGGTACATGCCGTATTTTTATGTGTAAACATTGGAGTCTTGTGTCAAAATCAGTCAAAAGATAAAACATACTTTAACAGGTTTCTAAACTCACCCAGAGATACATTGGTCGCACCGCGCTCCGCCGAAGCCCAACTTGCAAATGCACTGGCCGGTGATGTCATCACAAATGCTCGCTTGCGTACCGCTGACGTCACAGTTGCAGTCTGCAATACCAAATTGAAAACGCAAAACTAGTTTCAACCCCAAAAAATGCAGAGAAACAAACCTGATAGGTATTCTAGGTCACAAGGAGTGGGGTTGGAATCAATTCGAGGGATAACCGGATATAAGGCCAGGTGCGAATCGTTAGGAAATGGGCAATATTGAGTGCAAATTGCATAGGTATTGCCGTTAATACTAAATCGTAAAAATTATTTTAAAAAATCTAGCCCCGAACGTAGAATTGGTTTTCAATTTGCTGTATAGTTTGATTTCTGGTCTATAAAAACATTGAAGTAAATTGCTATCGAAAATATATGGGATGGTGCGTTTTCGCAGCTTATAAAAGGTACGAGTACCTATGTCAATTGACTATGGTGTCAAGGACCCAATTGGTCCGCATACTGGGCTATGGACGTCAATTGCGTCGACAGGCTTTATTCTTCTGGAAATGAATAGTTGCAATTATGAGTACAAGCATGCGGACTGTGTTTTTATTATTATTTAGGCAGTTAAATACTGCACAGTATTTAGTACACCATTTTTTAATTTTTTTCCATCATACACAAGAATACGCGTGCGTGAGTCAATGTTCGCTCGTATGTGAGGCCTTGTCGAATAGTATCCTGTAGGGGGGCATCGTGCGTGTTTTGTTTTCGATGTAAACTCGCGGAGATGAACAGGCCTGGTGACACTCACGGTTGCAGGAAGGATACTCGTAGTAGCCGGGCTCGCACTGGTTGCAGGTGCGGCCCGCGTACTTGCTCTTGCACGTACAGTTGCCGGACTCCTTGTCGCACACTTGTGACACAGAGCCCACTGGATTGCATTCGCAGTCTGAAATAAATGGGGTATTTCATTACAAATTGATATCCTACTAATATTATAAACGCGAAAGTTTGGATGTCTGGATGTCATGATGTCTGGATGTTTGTTACTCTTTCACGCAAAAACTACTGAACGGATTTTGGTGAAACTTTGTAGTATTATTGTTTATAACCCAGACTAACATATTTTATAGGCTGTGACAAATAAATTTCAATAAATAAGACGTGTCTAAAAAGCGCCATCTATCGTCATTGGTTAAAATCTACAAAGCTGGACAAACTACTGTTTTTGACGTTCGTAAATATTCATGCCATCTATCAACATGATATCTAACGGGCAAAATGAGGTCCACGCGTACGGAGTCGCGGGCGACCGCTAGTAAAATATACATTTATGACAAGGGAACTCGGAAAGCAGACTTTATTGATTAATAAATAAATCCTAATAAATAAATCATAGCAGTCCGTTTTAGAAACACTACACCAAACGGCCGACAATTAGTATGTTCTATACAACATGGTGCTACTGACATCTGACCTCCACAGGGACCTGAATATAATCTCTATTTACTAAGTTTGTGACGCGCCCCAGGACGCATCGACAGCCCTAACACCGAGCGCGGAGATTTTGACAACCCTACGGCTGCGCGGCCGCACGCCGCACGGGCCGAGTTAATATAAGAGACGGCGGCGACCGCGGGCGCCTAGCATTCGCTCGGGAGCCATTGCAACAGCCAGACGTTCGCGCGCGCGTCTATCGTTCCCTCGGCTGCATTGCACAGAGTCCCTAGCGAATAGCTATCCACATTGTTCCTTACTAACCCTAACTGTTCGACTTTGGCTTGATACGATACTTCGTCACTAATCCGCGGCTTGCCATACAGCGTCGTGTTGATTGCGTTCTATCGTTGATAGCCAACCGGTTCTCGTCCTTACCGAGTAGTGCATGAGATACTCATCCCGAACCTGCGGTAGCAATCCTGCTGCCACCCTTCCTGAACTTCACACCCCCTCACCTCGTAGGTCCAACGCCTTTCCCTAGTGGTCGTACTCACTATCGAGGCTTCGGTCTCTGGCTTGAGCTAACGAACCACATCCTGCCCCCCTAGTTATAAGTATCCAGACTAACACTCGATAAACCTCGCACAGGGCGCCGCCCCTCTCGCGGATACGAAAGCTAGCTAACGGGACGCGAACCGGGCGCGTCATTATTCCTCTTGTTGTAATTAGTAAATTGTGATATAACTTGTAAAGTACTCGTAAACTTGCTCATTATTAAACGATAGCGATTTAGAGTCAGTGAAACTAGAATAAGTGAACCATTGTGGAACCTGAATTATAAGTGCCATTGTGTTATTGATTGTGCGTTTCCTTGGTCAAATATCCCTGTAGGCATCCTGGATAGGTACACATCCCTCATCGCAGAAGGCGAACTGGGACTTAGTACTAAACAGCGGGGTGTCAGACTGAGCTAGCTTAGACGCCCCGTTGCAATGGCGCCCAACTAAATAACCCACGGAACCTACAGGGACCACCAGATCGCTAGAGAAGCGAAAGACCACAAGGAACGCAAAACTTCGCACCAAATTGATAATCACACATGTCAGAACCGACATCTTGGATATACAAACTCAAGAAGACAGAACTTGAGAACGAGTGCAAAAGAAGAAACATAAAAACAGAGAACAGAACCGTACAAGAACTGAGACAGAACCTCACAGAAGTACTCAGAACCAAGCAGTCCCGTCAACCAATCCAGTCCGCCAGTAAGTCCGCCGAAAACAGTGAGTCAGAAACCGATTTTGAAGACACAGAGATGCACCAAGAACCAAACATGTCGTACACCGTAGATCAGACTGAAAGCATAACGGCCAGATGGAACCTAAGTTTTGACACATACAACGACCCAGTGGAGTTCCTAGAGCAACTGGACGAACTCATGTCATCGGGCGAGGTCAAGCCAGATAAAGTGCTCAAAGTGCTCCCCAGATTCCTGAAAGGAAAGGCCGTACTGTGGTATAGAAACAATAAAAACTCGTTCACTACATGGAACGAATTCATAGAACTCTTCACATTGACATTTGTGAGCCGTGACAGTGACCTGTTAGCTAAAATAGTGAATTATAGGCAACATCACCGCCAAAAATTCACAGACTACCTGATTGAAATACAAACACTCATGCGCAGATACGCGAAAATGACAAAAGAAGAACAAATAACTAGAATCTACGAAAACATGAACGCAAAATACAAGTTTTATATCAAGAAATCAGAAGCAGACTCGGTAAGCAAATTAATACAACTGGCAAACGACTATGAAAATGTCACAGCAGAACGTCAAACTAGCTTCACAGAACGAGAACCACGAAATAACTACCACGAAACAAGCACAAATCAAGGACACAAGGAGACGGCATCATACATACACAATTACGACACAAATACTTGCTGCTGGAGCTGTGGAAAACACGGGCACTCCATGAAAGATTGCAGAAGTAAGAAAGTACTATTTTGTAACGGTTGTGGCAAGATCGGCAAAATGAGTAAACAGTGTTGTAAGAAAACAAGTGAGTACACACAGGCCATGACAATGAATACAAGTCCGCAAATTAAAGATAACCGTCCCTTCGTAGATGTATTGATACTAGGCGAAAAATATCAAGCACTCGTAGACACCGGCGCCACAAGATCATACATCAACGACCAAGTATACAAGAAATTCACAAAAAGAAACCTGAAACCGAAAACAGTAAGAATAACAGCGAGCATGACAGATGGGCACACAACTCGAATTAAAGAAGCACTAGACTTGCAAATTAATATAAAAGGAAAAACAATTAACCACCAAGTATTACATCATCCACAAATCACGACTATACTGATCGGCATGGACATATTGAACAGAATAGGAGCCAAAATAGAATGGCCTAAAGATAGGCCCAAACAAGTGGAACAAGTGGGAACAACGTCAAGAAAAACTACAGAAGCCAACATCGTACCCACATACGAAATGGCCGACACACCGACAAGAAAAAAAAAATACAATATCAAACTCGCACACGAAAAACCAATCAAGAAAAAAGACTATTCACGGAACCCTAAAAGTCAAGAAGTAATAATTAAACACGTAACACGCTTAAAACAAGAAACAAAAGAAGACTGGACCCAAAAGAAAATTCAAGAAATACAAAAAACCGGAAACAAGGACTATAAAATGTCAAACGGCAAATTATACAGAAAAATAACAAATCACGCATACGGACCAAGAACAGAAAAATCATCAGACTGGAAATTATGCATAAACAATAATGAAAAAAACCAGATTCTGAAAGAAAACCACGATACACCAACCGCAGGCCATCTAGGAACAGCGAAAACACTGAACAAAATATCACAGAGATATTATTGGCCCGGTATGTACAGAGATGCGTCAACGTACGTCAAGAACTGCAAAACCTGCCAAGTTAACAACGCACGCAAACCCTGGAGCGCAGTGTCTACAGACCCGAGTAGACCACTACCCAAATCATCAAACCGGTCCACTGACTGGACCGAAATCCTCGATGTCGACACCGTCGACCACCCACAAGACCTGGATCGGCGCGAGTCCGGCCCTGGAGAGGAGCCGACCCGAGCTGAGGACCAGACCAGGAGGCGGCCGGGGAGAAAGAAGAGGCGCGGCCAAATCCAGAACCAGCTAAACAAGGCCAGTAACTTTTACTCGTAGCTTAACTTTATACCTAAGTCAGGTTTCCAATAGATAGATAAAAAGTACATTGTAAATGTCTAATCAGTTCTCGTTAAAGTAAATTCATCAATATTAAAAACAAGTCAATAATGTAAAAGAATTAATTAACATTACATAACAACCCTGTATGATCTAGATAATTCAGTTCTCGAATTTAATCTCGTTAAATGCCACATAATAACCTATAAGTATTAATTATCATTAGAAAGTAACCCTGTATAATTTAAATCGTTCAATTGTTCTATTTAATCTCGTTAAATAACTATTGACGCAAATCGCATTGTTATTTACTCGTAACTCGCAACCTAAACTCACATAAATAACAAACCGGTTTGCTACGCGTCAATAGTACTACCAGTTTCTCGATAACTTTTAAATACTCGTAGTAAACAAACATTGTAAGAACGATTCACCGAGCGAGCTCATTTGCATATTATCAGTGAAACGAATTTTTTCTATTCGCCACGGCCGGCACTCGCTCGCTAGATGATTCATAACTAGATTTTACCTGCCTAATGTTTGCGCGCCGCGCCAAGCTGCATTCCATTTACATTAGGAAATATTGTTTATTGTAACTAAAACTTAACCCCGTAACTGCCATTGTCTTGTATAACTTTTAATAATTATTATAGAAATTATTAACATTAACCAGATGCCTATTCTGAGTATGGTAGTTTAAATAATTAAACTAGTAAACTAGAAATAATAATAACAAGTGCCATGCATTCTATTTTTGAATTAAATAAATATTTCAAGTAATAATTGAATACTCGTAATAACAAAGTAAACAACTCGTTTAATTAGTTCATTGGTTAATTGTAAACAAAAGGTCAAAGGTATCTTAATAACATTGTTTCAAAACTAAGTTAACTAAAATTAGCGTTTAATTAGTTCATTGTAAGCAAAAAAAAATTAAAGGTATTTTAATAACATTGTTTCAAAACTAAGTTAACTAAAATCAGCGGTTAATTAGTTCATTGTAAGAAAAAAAAATTAAAGGTATCTTAATAACATTGTTTCAAAACTAAGTTAGCTAAAATTAGCGTTTATTTAGTTCATTGTAAGCAAAAAAAAAAATTAAGGGTATCTTAATAACATTGTTTCGAGACCAAGTTAGCTAATATTCTTATAAGTAAATAATTAATGTCCCGTCATGTTTTAAATAAAGAGTTATTATTGGGCTAATGATCAAGCACAAGTTCAGTCATGTTTTATATTTTAATTTTTACTCGTTATGAAGTTACCCAAAAATAACTTATTATTAACATGACTTTTAGTTGTTCTTGAAGAACCTTTATGTACCAGACTTGTGATTTTTCCAGGTAAAAATCTCCAAAACAAGGGAGGTTGTGACGCGCCCCGCGACGCATCGACAGCCCTAGCACCGAGCGCGGAGATTTTGACAACCCTACGGCTGCGCGGCCGCACGCCGCACGGACCGAGCTAATATAAGAGACGGCGGCGACCGCGGGCGCCTAGCATTCGCTCGGGAGCCATTGTAACAGCCAGACGTTCGCGCGCGCGTCTATCATTCCCTCGGCTGCATTGCACAGAGTCCCTAGCGAATAGCTATCCACATTGTTCCTTACTAACCCTAACTGTTCGACTCTGGCTTGATCCGATACCTCGTCATTAATCCGCGGCTTGCCATATAGCGTCGTGTCGAGACGTTCTATCGTTGATAGCCAACCGGTTCTCGTCCTTACCGAGTAGTGCATGAGATACTCATCCCGAACCTGCGGTAGCAATCCTGCTGCCACCCTTCCTGAACTTCACACCCCCTCACCTCGTAGGTCCAACGCCTTTCCCTAGTGGTCGTACTCACTATCGAGGCTTCGGTCTCTGGCTTGAGCTAACGAACCACATCCTGCCCCCCTAGTTATAAGTATCCAGACTAACACTCGATAAACCTCGCACAGGGCGCCGCCCCTCTCGCGGATACGAAAGCTAGCTAACGGGACGCGAACCGGGCGCGTCATTATTCCTCTTGTTGTAATTAGTAAATTGTGATATAACTTGTAAGATACTCGTAAACTTGCTCATTATTAAACGATAGCGATTTAGAGTCAGTGAAACTAGAATAAGTGAACCATTGTGGAACCTGAATTATAAGTGCCATTGTGTTATTGATTGTGCGTTTCCTTGGTCAAATATCCCTGTAGGCATCCTGGATAGGTACACATCCCTCATCGCAGAAGGCGAACTGGGACTTAGTACTAAACAGCGGGGTGTCAGACTGAGCTAGCTTAGACGCCCCGTTGCAAGTTTTACAAAGTAATATTGGTTAATAACTTACTTTTACACTCAGATGAGTAATATCCATCGGCACAAATTTCACAAGAGTTGCCAGCATAGTTGTATTTGCAAGGGCACTGAAATGAAAGTTCTCATAATATAGGTTTTGCTGTACAAATAATTTGGATAATGTATAATGCTTCATATAGTAAGACAACTGATACACAAGCGAAATTGTTTGTTCATCATCATCATCAGATCATTTAAGTCTTAGCTGCAGGACATTGCTTTGTCCGATTAACTTGAGACGCAGATAAAATCTGTGTTGGTCGCAAAATTGACTTCAACACCCTTTTTTTCTATACTAAGAAATATTTAATTTTAAGCCTAGGCGCAGACCACCGACTTTTAGTTGGCCGATAGTTAGGTCGGGCTGTTCAGTATGGAGATGTATGAAAGTGCGCACATTACACCGACTTGGTATCGGCCGATTCTACATACAAATTAATATCGTGTCCCACTACCATCATTAACTCAGCCATAGGACGTTCACTGCTGAACATAGGCCTCCCCCAATGGTTTCCATGTTGCCCGGTTGGTACGGGACTATTCCCACCTCACGTTCCCACCACTGCAACTCCTGTGTAGCCAGGATCTACAGCTTGACCGCCACAATAACCCAACCAATGAAGGTCAAGTTTGTCCCTGGGGAAAGTTAAACTGTCATTGGATCCGCAACGAAATTAATCAGAATTGCCCGGTTGGTAGCGGCCTGCGCTTGGGCCTTCCTGCTACCTTTACGACTATCGGCCGACTAAAAGTCGGTGGTCTGGAACTACGCTAAAAGATATCATACCAGGCCTCCCACGGGCGTGCAGTGCTGTCCCTCGGTGCCGTTCAGGTTGCACGTACACGGCTTGCAGTCCGGATAGTCGAAGTAGCCGTACGCGCACGAGTCGCAGTAGGGCGGGTTAAACTCCTTGCGGCACTCGCAGCGGCCCGTCTCCTCCTCGCAGTTGCCCGTCGAGTAGTGCAGGTCGCAGTCGCACGCTGTGGTCAGTAACGTGACGTGTCATCATAGTAAAATAACGGTTTTGCCACAACACTGTTTTAGGGAGTGGTCCGACCGCCGACGATGAACGAGAAACGAGTAGAACTAGAAACTATAAACGAGTTGGCGATCAGCGGGAAGCGAGTGTGTAGTAGTTTCGAAAGTTTCATCTTCGGGCTATAAGCGAGTGTGCGAGTGCGACGAGCGATTACTCGCGCCACTCGCCCGCGGTCGCTCAGTCCTGTGCAAACCTGCGCGCGCGTTACATGTGTATCGCTGAACGAGTATCGCAAAGCGAGTTTATTTATGAAGCTCATCGCTCAGCGACAAAACTAGTAAAACGAGTCGTCGCCGGCAGTGAGAACAGTCAGCGATTAACTATTTGTATATGCATCTCTTTTGTTCACACGAAATGGATATCTTTACGTTTCTTGAGCGAGAAAATAGCCGATAGTTAGTCGTTTACTCGCCGGCTGTGGGACCACTTACATTAGGTGTGCATGTCATCGTAAAATTGTACATTCCGTCAGATTATAATCTGACGTAGTTAGATTACAACCTAAAGGCTAACCAGCATCACTACTAACGCGCGTTTGTCGCATTGGCAACGCACTACAAAAGTGATGCCAACGCGCTACAGCAGCGCGACTGCATCGCTACAAAATTTTAGGTAGGTAATTAGTAATTATTTTTCTACGTTTTAGTGTAGGTTTTTTGGAGTCGGTTTTATTTTTTTTTATAAAATTTTACTTATTTCTTGCTTTTTAGTTAACTAATTATTACCTTGATGTTACCACTGAAGGTAGGCAGTACACTGAGACCAAAAAAAATTGGTTCATAATCGGCGGAGATATTGCGTATAAAAAAGTTCATCCCCAATTTTCCACCCTTGGGGGTGAAATATTTTCTTCAAATTCGCATGAAATCACCCTTTTGATAATACCTATTCAACAAAAAAATAATCGTTCAAATTGGTTTATAATCGGCGGAGATATTGCGTATAAAAAAGTTCATCCCCAATTTTCCACCCTTGGGGGTTGTTTTTTTTATTATTAAATTTAAATGGGACCACCCTTGAGGTATTACCTATACGCCGAAAAAAGATTTGTTCAAATCGGTTCATAATTGGCGGAGTTATCGCGTAACAAACATAGAAAAANGATATTACCTATACGCCGAAAAAAGATTTGTTCAAATCGGTTCATAATTTGCGGAGTTATCGCATAACAAACATAGAAAAAAAAAACATACGCGTCGAATTGAGAACCTCCTCCTTTTTTGAAGTCGGTTGAAAAAGTCGCCGTGGGCGAGGCTAACCTAACCTAACTCACTGTTAGTTTACAATCTCATGCGTTATAAAACTGACGAAGTTCACAATTTTACGTTGACACGTACCGATATTAAAATTGGAAACATATTTAGGGTTACCAAACATTGATCAATATGTAGGACGTAGGTATTCTCAATGACCCTACTGCTACGTGGTTGTAGTGTACTTTAAATACAGGGTTTTCATGTAAGTATGGATCAAATAAAAAATAATAATTGATTCTACTATGTAAATGCAAAAGCTGGCAGTCCTACAGACACAGCCCTCGCAGCGGCCCTGGTGTCCAAAGGCAGGTCCACCAATGGACACTGCTATAGCTTACGTTGACACACATCCAGCTCGTCCCAGCGCTTGCCGCGCGGCCTGTAGAAGGTCGCCCGGCACTTGTTGCAGTTGATGCCCTCGGTGTTGTGTTGGCAGTTTCTGCAGACGCCGCCGCCCTCGTAGCGGCCCTGGATGTCCAGCGAGAGATGCTTCTCGTCCACCTCAGGGTCGTACTCGCAGTCCGTTGTGTGGTTGTGGCAGTTGCACGCTGCAATTTATCATTCTGTTGATCTTACGTGTTGGTAGCAACTAAGAGAGTATTTACTTGAATATTCTACTTGTTTAGGCTTACACCCATTGAACCTTTCAATTATTTATAGTGAATAATCAACTGAAATACATAGGTAAATGATAAATGCTAAAACCAAGTTAATTTTTTTTTTACAAAAGCAACTTTTCAATGTGAAGCAAGCTATTATATTCTATTCCCTGTACATTATATTTCATGGTATGCGTAAACCACTATCTACTTACGTTCACAAGAGAATCTGTCCCAGTACTGTGAAATTCTCCATTTTTTCTGCTCGAAGCCAGGGCAGCACTTGGCACACTGATCGCCACATGTGTTGTGCTGACAGCGGCACACCAGAATGCTGGTGTCGCTCGTCGGGTCCGCTGGGAAACAGTTGTCTGCGTGGCCATTGCACATGCACCGTCCGCCAATGCTGATGTCCTTTATACTGTAGAAGTACTGTAACAATACATAACAGTTTATTATAAAAATGATACATTCAAATTTAACATTATGAAATACATTGTGAACTCTATAAACCTAATTGCTCTACAATATTGAAATTTCTTGAAAAGGGACAGGCAGTTTTATGCTACTTAAGACATTAAATTAAAAATGTATTCTGTGTAGTAAGTAAACTGACTTCAACTTCAATGAAAATTATCTTCAATGTCCTAAGTAAATGACCCCAGTCATGAAACTTTGTTTATGAGCTGAGTACAAAATAAATTTCCAAAACTTGCAATAATAATACCATCCATCAGAGTATAATTATCATGAATATTGAATAATCAATTTCCTCACAATTTTACAGTTTTAAATAATTCAGTCAAATAGGCAAAACATAAAGTACTATCGTGATCGGCAACAGTGCTAGCTGCCCATTGCCGGTCATGTCGTATCGTTCTATCGCAAAGAATCACCACTTGATAAGTGCGACAGCAAAAATGGAAATGGATAGTTAACACTGTGGCCGTGTGTACATTTAAAATCTAATTTAAATTTTCATAATGCGAAAAATACCAACCAACTGCAACCACCAAACACCAACAACAACATCAACAAACAAAAGTTTACTTACTGACATTGACAATTTGACATTGTTTTTTTTTTAAGATTATTTTTGCCCACAGATTTTTGCCTATGAAAGCAAAAGCATTGTGCCATACATAATAGTAATATAATGCCTCAGTTTTTATTTTTCTTAAGTAGATTTAAAATTATGTATAATAATGAATGATGACAAAACTGATAATAAGCCTCTCTTCTTTTCTGTGAGTTTCAGTAATGATGTGGTGCTTTACTGAGACTTCACAAGTTCACACGGAATTCTTGAGAGTTTAAAACCGACATTGCACTGTTTATTTTCATTTGCCTACACTCATGCATGCACGATCACGAACACATTAGTGGTTAATAATCCACCATTGTACAAAATGATCGTCGGATAAACTAAAATTTATATGTATAATACAAAACATACTTTCCCGCTAATCTTTTCAGTCAGTCGATTCTTCATCTTCTTCTTTTTTGATGATGTTGGCAATACACGTCGAGGTCGACTTGATTTGTGCCATTTTCAAGTATATAAGTGATACGAGTTACAAAATGAGATCAAGTAATAATATAATAAAGGATGATAGATGACCCCTTCTCACCCTTTGAGTCTCAGTAAAGTTGTGGTGCTTTACTGAGACCTCCTATGGACAACTTGAGAGAACCAGACAGAAGAAGCACGATCACGATGCACTGTTTGCTTCATTTGCCCACACTCATGCACGTTCACGAACACTCAATGGTTAATAATCCACCATTATTATAGATTAAAATACCTAGTCGCCCACACATGAATTTGAGGAAATAAAACAAAACCGCTAACATGACGCTTCAGATTCCCGCCAAGAAGTCCGTCAGTCGATTCGTCTCTGTGTACCTACCATCCTAACTGTAAAACGTCCAAGGCTGTAAACTTGTTTTAAAAAAAAAATACTGACGTATAGTAGCCCATGAAGCTAAAGATAAAAATGGAGGCCAGACTTAGAATACCTACTTGAAGCACAACCTATGTATCACTATCTCGCTCTCTGTGGGCAGGCTCTCTCTTTCTAAGTAGGGTAACCTTTTATTTATTTTTCTCAGGACGACAAAGACTGATTTACGTTTAAACAGTGTGTCTTGATAAAGTGCACTTAATATGATTATGAAAAAAGGTTTTCGATGTTTTTGTTTTAAGATAAATTACAACATTAAGAAAGTGTAAAGGCATCGAAAACTGTGGATATTTGATAGAAAACAGATTTTAATTTGGCAGTTGACAGACGGATTTGGATATGGATTGATTACAGTAAACGGCCGTAGAAAACATTATGCAAAATTAGATAAGTAAGGTCCCACAGAAAGTCCCAGATATATCCTCAATATGGTCATACTACTTCAAAATGTCTTATAGAAACAAAAATTTTAAATTTGCTCAAAGTCAATGAAACTCAATGTAAAATCTTCTTTTTCTTGACATATGTAACATTTAATAATAAGTTTAAATACTGGTAAAACGTTTTAGGAAGTAATTACTGTGAAAATACAAAGAAATATGTTAACAATGATCCACTGTCAGAAATCACGAAATAAACACTTACGCGTGGAATTTTATATCACTTCCAGGACAACACGAACTACCGCAACCACGCACTATACAATTTTGCACCATTTCTTCAGACAAAACAATGATAAGGTCCCTTGAAAAATCTCAAACGAAATCAACTGCATAGTAAACAACCGCCATGATGGGCCGGATTCGGCCGATGTTGCCACATTACCGATACCTCAGAAATTGGGATTGTAATTCCCTGATTCGCCAACACATTAAGCCTAAATGGCCGACAATTTTGTGATTTTTTATTTAACTAGGTAATCTAAGTTTCAAATATTAATTATTTATTTATTTAACTTCTTATTTGGTTAGTGAATTGGCTATTTCGAAGAATTTACAAGGAGATTTAAATAAGAAGTTAGCAATACTACAGTTCACACTAAAAAGAGAGGTAGGGCCACAGAGAGCGAGATAGATATAAGTAGGTATTTGACTCAAGTTTTGTTCCCAACTTTGCCCTCCATTTTTATCTGTAGCTTCATGTAGTAGCCCCGCCATTCCATTCCATTTAAAAATTTTCATTATACCTACCTACAAAATTTATATAATATTGTAGGGTAATCGATCAATACATTGCATTCGTGGTAATCAATGGTACATTGCGTGCGCAAACAGCTCAACAAATTATTCTACTGCTGTACCTCTTTTCACGTGTAAGTCTTTTTAATGTAATTTCTCATTCCATTAACAAATCAAAACAAAAAACACTCAAGAGGTCATAAAATCGAAGTTAATTGAATATTTTAAATTAAAAACTTTAAAAAATTACAATAATTGATGGACGTTAACAATTTGTAATGTGGATGTTACAGAAAAATAACTATTAGACCCAAAAACCCGATTATTAGCGAAAGCGAAAGAAAAATTCGGATTTTGAAACGATGGGTGACGACGATTGCCCGGTTGCTAGTGCTAGTGGAGTACACATTGGAAACGGCGAAGCTGCAGCAAGTTCATTGGAAGGTAAGCCTTTTGCTGAATTAAACTCACATCACAAAAAATATAATTAAATTAATAACTTGTAGTTTATCTAATATCAAGTCTTCCATCTTGAAAATGCGTAGGTATTTACAAAATTTAACTAGTGGTGTTAAATATTGAGTTATTTGTTGTAGAAAATGTGGAAGACGGACTCACCTTAGACCTTCCTGGGCCCAGAATAACCATGCCGTCAATCAGGACAATGACCGATGAACAAAAGTGGCACCGACTTCTTGGCCACATTGATGTGAATCTTTTATATGTAATGTGTAGGTACCAATGTTTAACTGGACTGCCAACTGAGTTCAATATAAATAACGCAGAATGCAATGTTTGTGCGAAAGTTAAAAAATCTCCTATAGAATCGGTGTATAATCGTAATACAGTAAAATCTTCAAATATTCTAGAAGTGATTCATATGTATGTGTCTGACAAAATGAGGACCAGTAGAAGGGGGAATCATTATTATATCAGTTTCGTTGACGACTATACCAAATATGTTTTCACTTGTGTTATTAGTAATGTTAGTGAGATATTGAAATATTTGAAACTGTATGTTGATCATGTGGAACGCTACACAAGGAAGAAAGTCAAGAACATAATATGGGACAATGGCCATGAGTATATAAATGGAGATTTTCTTAGATTTGCAAATCAGAAAAGAATAAAAATGCGTACTGGTAATAATATCACTGGAGTAGGCTTTACTTATGGTAATATAATTTTAGATCAGGCTAAGAAAATGTATGCAGATGCTGAGGTTACAATGACCTACTGGCCCGAGTGTATACTAAATGCTTCTACATTATTAAATTTGGCTATAAAGAATAGAAATGATAGAATGACTCCATATGAAAAACTATTACATGAAAAACCATGTGCGGATAAACTGAAAATATTTGGTAGTAATTGTTATGTGTACCAAATAATGTTCCATTATCCAATACTCCAAACGGGAAAAATATTGGGGTACATTAACTTAGGCTACCGTGTTTTACAAGAAAATGATGTATTAATAAACCCCTACATTTCTTGCTTTGAGTACGAGTATTAGTTATTTTTCACTTTTTATGGTTCCACATTGTCGATGGTTGATGCACATTCAGTTAACAACTAGTTTATTTGTTTTGTTTCTTAGGATTTCGTTGTTATTTATTTTTTATCTGTACTTGTAAATGACTTACTTGTTCTAATGTAAGCATACATTAGATACCGCGCCAGTTCTTTAATAATTCTGCTAAATGGTAGGTACCTTCTACTTGTTTTCTGTCACAGTTAATAATCTGCTATTACTTTAATGTTAAGGCGAAATTTCACTCCAGTACTTAGTTGAGATAAAAATGTCTTTAATATTAGCTACTTTAGACTATACACATGGTCACCTTTAAGTATTTTAATCCACACATCAGTGAAATAAATACTTATAGTTATTATAACTGTACTTAGATATAAGTTTAACTGATCTCTATATGTCTATAATCAGTATTTTTAAGAATTATTAAAATAAGAGTTAAATACGCAGGTAACTACTCATTTAGATGGTTAGGTAATTACTTGAAAATGAATTAACACATTATATGTGTAAATAGGTATCTATGTAATAGGTATATTAATTAATCAATGTTTGGATTTAACATTATAAATAATTGTATTAAAACTTGTGATATATCAAGTAATTATGTGTATAGTAATCTAGTCAAAATGGATTATGTAGGTGTCTATATTTAGTGGCCAAATAAGTAGTAGTACGAGTATAACTACTTATATTGTAATGGTATATTCTGGCTAGGGAGCATAGTTTCCTAGGGTCATCAGATGATGATTTAGTCTTTTAAAATAAACTTATTAGGTAGTATAATAATATTACTACTTAATTTAATTTCCTAATTAAGTATAATGTGACTGAGTTTTTCTCTTCTTTATAATATCACAACTGTAGGATCCAATCTATTTATACAAGTATACTGGTAGTAAGAGTGTTTTTGAAACAAATTATATTTATTATATTAAGTACCTACTAATATTTTATTGATCTCTACCATTCAAAGATGACTTTTTGAATATACCTATTTAAATAAATGAATGTTTAAATGTGACTTCTTTTTTAATTGGAGATAAACAATAATAATATGTCCTTTAACTATAGGTATTTAAAAACTGGCCAAGTGCGTGTCGTACCACGCGCAGTGTAGGGTTCCGTAGTTGTCCGTCGTTACCACAATATATTTCAGAAGCAAGCAATTATCTACTTCATCTAAAGTCACTTTTCATATTTTCTTCTAAGGAATTTTACTGGTTAAGAAATTTTGTCGGCGTGATTGATTAATATACATACATATCTACCGCCACAAAATTACAGCTCCTCTTAGATTAATAAAGCAGCTCCCTAGTGCTAATAGTTTCCAAGCAAAACCTCGGACAGACAGACAGACAGACATATCGAAACTATGTTTTAAGGGTTACCTAAAAACTAAATACAAACCCGTCTGGTAACTGTTGGGTCCTGGCGCGCGACAGACATGAGATGCGCCAGTAAGTTCTTAGTCCGCAGCAGACGTAGCCTCACGTTCGTCGCTCGTGTCCACTCCTGGAGCACCAGGGAGCTGAAGTACTTATTCGCTGATGGACGGTAGTTCAGCAGGGAGATCGGGATCTGAAACGTAATTGATAGATTTAAAGAGACGGTTGTAAAGGCTTACCTATACATCTAGATCTGTATTAAGAGTCAACCGATTTTTTGTGGTTCTTCTCTTCTTTTTCTCAGTTGGTACACTCTTGTCAGAGTGGTCGTGGTCATCATTTTGAATCACGATTCAGAGTGATGTTCCTCGTAATACGGCGCCATTCCTCGCGGACTGCAGCTTTCCGGGTACTTTCGCTAATCGAGCACTTAGTTGCGGCCTTGATCTGGTTCGTCCATCTCATTGGTGATCTACCACGTGGTCTGGTGCCCTCAACTTTTCCCTGCACTACGAGACTATTGAGTATGGCTCTATGGAGTCATTACTGCGCCGAGATACATGGCCGAAGAAGGTTAAAATGCGTGACTGAACCGTGATTGATAGGCGCTGTCTGATGCCGAGTTCTTTTAATATGGAGTCATTGGTACGAAACTCGGTCCACGATATTCCCAGCATCCGTCTCCAGCACCACATCTCCAATGCGGTTTTTTGTGGTAGGTAGTGCCCCAGTAATTTGACTTATTTGTAAGTACCTAGTACATTCTCAGAAGCAAAGTATAGGTATTGATTACATAATAACAACTAAATTGAAACATTCTTTAACGTTTTCTTGGAGCTTATCTAATGGCTTTGGTTTAGGGGAAGTTGCTTAGCCAGGGCCTAGGTAAATGTTTTCGTGTGCTAATAAATCCTTTCTCAACCACAGCTGTACTTACCGCGACTGTTGTTTGATTGGGGTAAATCTATTCAAAATTCAATATCACACAATAAATCTTACCTCTCCGCCTTCCAAAGGCACGATCTGGGAGTATTCTGTGCTGCAGATAACTGAGTCATCTCTTGTGATGGGCTGCAGACTTTCCTTACCGAAGTATCTTTCACAGTCCCTGAAAAAAAGTGCCAGTTAATGCTTGAAAATTCGATGACAATACAATATTAAGGTACTATCGAGCTGGTCTGATGATGGGACTGAAAGGTGGCCATAGGAACTCCTAAACGAAACGGCGGAATCGCATTGAGTTTGGGTTCACTGGATTTGTCTTTTCGAGCACTAGTGTTAGATGATGTCCAAGGTCCTGATGATGGAGTCGGGAGGTTTCCATAGGAACTCCTAAACGAAACGGCGGACACTCATAGAGTTTTACCTTGGCCTTTTAGTGCAATAATTAAAAGCGTGTTTCTAGTTTAATTTTTTAATTAATTTATTATGATAAAATGATGTTTACTCACTGAGGCGACTCTGAGAAGTATTGCCAGGGCTTGAAGGTCTTCCCGTAGTCCGTGGACTTCTCCAGGGCCCACAGTCCCGGGCGGGGGGAGTTGCCCATCTTGAGGAACACGTACGCCACGTGGAACTCCTGCTCAGGATAGGAATTTCATTAAGAAGATAGGTAACAATTGAAGAATCAGGCATAGCACTCAAAGTGTAAGTGGTTAACCTAGAGTCTGTGAAACTTATGACAATGGTATGAGACTTAGCAAGGAAAAGAACAGTGGGGAGTTTAGAGTTTGGGGGGAGTGGGAGTAAGTAGGAGAGTGAGTGGGAATTGGAGGCACATACATTTTATTTTGTCTAATTTGAAATAATGTACCTATTTGAGTGAAAACCGGAGCCCACGCGGGGATAGTTTTTATCGCTTCTATTCTGGTTTTTGGAAAGAGACACGCACACGATGACAAGATAAAGACTTTCTGTGATAGACCGAAATTCCTACTACCTAAAAGTTAGATGGATAGATAAACCTCATGCTTTCATAAATAAATTTTGTAGGAAAGTACCGAAGGCTGATTTTAAACATCTTACATTTACTGGCTGATCTGTCTGACTGGCTACTTCTAAGTAGATATGGCTCAAGTCTAAATACAATACCAGCCACAGGTCCTGGCAAGGTTCTCGTAGCGGGTGACTAGTAGCTGTACCTATTGAACATTTCCAGAGAATTGTTTACACGCATTTTAATGGGATCTATTTGTGCGTTATTGGCGCTGACCGGCGGCCTCGCCCTTTGATTGCCGCATAAAGTTTTTACTATCCAACAACCGCCCATAATCGCGTTAGCAGCCATCGCCCACGGCATCCGGGCCTGCAGTTGCCGATACTGAGCTGTGTCATGTTCATTAACTACATTCGTTGTTGTTACTAGCTTTGCCCACGCGTAATTAACTAAAATTAAATGTTTTTATCAAAAAAATATTTCATAAATTGAGCTTTTAATATTTTAATAATACCTACAGTAGGTACAGATTGGCAGTTTCTTTTTTAGTGTTAAAATAAATATTTGTCATTGCAGAAGGACATGGCTCGCCTATGCTTTATGTCACAAAGACTTGAGTTGGCAGGAAAAATCTTCAATTTTATAAAGTTACCTAGTTTTAGAAAGCTATTGTATTTTACGACTTTTATCTAGCATTTAATTTAGCGTATGATAACCTGTAAACATTTTCTGAAATTATTGTTTTTCAGCTTATCTTGGAAACATTACCTACCTAAGTAATTACTCGAGCTTTGATTTATTTAAAATAGCATTTATTTCAGTTGTAATAAACCACAAACAGATTATTGTCACTATAAACAGGTTTATGAAAGTACCTAATGACATACAAAACAACTTAACACTGAATAACAAACAAAATATTAGTTCGCTAAGAATCTATATAAAACTTATTTTAGGATTTAAAAAATTAAGTAGGTGTTGTTATCCGTTGTCTTGTAGTGCCCATAATACAAGCTGCTTAGTTTGGTACTACCTAGATGTGCAAGATATTTATTTATTTACTTGGCAACTGAAAAAGGCTTTGTCGGCCATGTTATTGAGTTATGAATAGAGACCGGATTATATGCAGCATAAAAAGCTTGTTATACCTATGCATACAAATATGCATAAAAAATGCATGAATGCAAGACAATTGACAAAATATGCATAATTAAATTAAAACTACCAAATGACTGGACTACTTATTTGTCACATTTCGGGACACAGAGTGAGTGTTCTGCCTTCGGAAAAATATTGTTATGTTAATATGCATCTTCACTAGATTTTATGAATTAGAATGACTTAAATATGCAAATGCATATGCAAATATGAATGCATATACATATATTATAATTCGGTCCCTTTATGAATGTGGCTACCGGGTGTCTTGAATTTCGAGCTGCAGTTAATAAGACCGTGCGATTGTTTGTCGTAGCATTCATATTACAAAAATGCAGGATTCTCCGAGCATATATCTATGCTATATATATATGATAGATTATACACATTCGCTTATTGCAGTTATGATATCAAATACCTCGCATTTGCTTGTAACGAAATTAGCATTCGCTCTTGTCGATATAAAGTAGAAAGTAGTGTCATTCGAAATAGTAGGCATATACTCGTAATTATGGTTTTACAAGCTTTCCACCCGTGGCTTCGCCCGCGTGAAATTTGGTCCGTCACAGAAAAACTTTATCGCGCGCGTCCCTGTTTTAAAAATCGGGAATAAAACTATCCTATATCCTTTCCCGGGACTCAAACTATCTCTATGACTCATCAAAATCGGTTCAGTGTTTTAGGCACACAGACAGACAGACAGTTACTTTCGCATTTATCAACCGACTTCAAAAAAAGGAGGAGGTTCTCAATTCGACCCGTATTAATACCTATTAATACCTATTACTCAAAAATAAAGTGAGTAAGGGATAAGTTGATAAAACTTCATCTGTGAGTTCAGACATTTGAAAAATTAATTTGATTTTTTTGCCAACCTGTACTTTACACCCAAAAAAGGAGTTATTTATGGTATCGCTTGTAGCAGTTCTAATGGTGTAAAGAGATAATAATCTGTTTGTAAAGTGGATAATACCTGGATAAAATAATAAATAGCAAATGGGTAGACCTTGTCACTGACGAACGACTGTCTCTTTTTATCCCTAACAGTTTTATCATAAACATATGGACGTGAAAGAGGTTTTTAAAGCCTAAGTAATTAGGTACAATACTATTTGTGCTGAAAATCTGCTTAATAACTTTAATGATAGTCTCCTTTTTTAATATTCAGGCAATTTATTTAATTTAACAATATTCTATAAACACAACTGAATATTAACAAATTTTAACTTCTTTACTTTCATTTACTTGATTATTATTGTAGTATTTTCTATTTTGGATCCTACCTCTTACTTTTATACAATTTCATTTTACCGTATGCTATCTAGCAGCTAGTCTTGCCATGCCAGGGTCTTAAATCATAGTAATATGACTGCTAATAATAGTGATGCCGTCAATTTCCTTCAATGTGCATTCGTTTTTGTCAGTTAAAAATTTAATAACCAACCAACTCTTCTTCATGTTGAAGAATATTACATTTTGTCAATTATTATTACCTACCATCTCTTGTTTTGCCGGCAAATTATACTTAACACGGTCGGAATTTATAATTTTGAGTTACCTACTTATTACCTAATTAGCATCAGTGATCGGTGGGCATCAGGTATCAGTTACAACCACTAAATCGGGGGATTTTGATAACTGCTCTTGAAGGTAGAGCGAGCAATTCGTCGGCGATGGCTTTTTCAGGAACTAAGTACAGCAGTTTCTCCGAAATCCAAACGGTGGCATAACGCAATCGGTAACGCGCTCTATAATTAGTTTTATGTCCTCGCGTGAAGTAACCGCGGGTCAACGTCCGCGACTATTTTCAGTTTCGTCCCGACCAGGATCAGATTGTCACAGTGCTGGATCCATGCTATGCTGCATTTATGTTCTATTTTCGTGGTAGTTGCGGCTAAAGTGTTTGTAACCTCGTGATGTAAAGGGAATAAGATAGGTATTTATTAGGAAAGTCCCAGACATGTTCAAGAAAAGCTAATCTGATTATGGGCATTATTAATATTTTATTGGACTGCTGTTTTGACCAGGTTGCATGAATCGCAGTCATATTAGGCAAACCAAAAGTGCAAACCTTGCCAAAAAATATTTACCTAAACATGTATTTTCTTTACTCCAAAGAGTCTTATCAATTCATATTATTATTCATTGAATCATAACTGGCACATTGGCATGATGACGACGACCGACGACTGTTACCTGTCCAAGGTCGATGGTGAGGTTGATCTCATTGTACTTCATGCCTCGCGAGAGCGGCGGGCTCTGCCACCAGGTCTCCATGCCGTCCACGGCGTACTCCGGCGGGTGCTTCTTGTTCTCGTCGTTGGCATCGCAGAAGTCGCAAACCTGCCAGAAAATAACATGGAAATTAATTCCGTAATCTTATCAACTACTTAGCGCTGAACTAGCTTAGTATTGAATGTTCAACTGCATAACTTGCAGCCAAATTGTAGATGATTGACGAGCTACGCAATTTTGAACTCTCCCTATACATACATAGAGAGAAAGAGAAATTGAGATATCTCTAACCACATCAAATGTTGTTTAGATTTAAATTACGGATCATACATCCATCTATTCCTTAGGATGTTTCCAGCTCTTAACAAGTTCTGTCTTATTCTAAGATTTCTAGTGCCATTTCTCCTGAAACTCTAAGAGCGAAATCTCAGAAATCTCATTCCATTAACAACATTACGTATAGTGACAGATTTACGACTGTATTGATTTATTACTGCTCTCCTGCGCGTCCATCATAAATCTCTTCTCGGAAGTAGGCATTCCGTATCTCCTTACTACTTGCCCTCCAATGACATGGCGAACGTTTGTTTTGCTTTCAACTTACGCACGAAAGGGATCGGCAAATGACAAATTGTGAATGCTATTCAGAGATAACAAAAAGTCTTACACGCGAGCAAGTTGTTCCAAAAAAAGTTCCATTCAAATCTGGAAGCCATTGTGCGGATTGGAGTGAAACAAAGGACGAGCGCCTCGGGCCAGGGATGCGCGAGCGCATGTGCCTGCCACATGTCTACAAAAAAGCCCGAATACAGCCGAAGATTGACGAATTTCGCCGAAAGAAGATTAGGGGTTCGCGAGAATTGTCCGTATAAAATTGCTATAATAAATGCACTGCTTTAAATCAGAAGAATCGGCGCGCCGCGACATCGACTGTTTAGGTTTGTAACCTGAAGAATGATGATACCTATCATTTGTCTCATTGGCTCGGCTCGGCTAGACTAGTTCTGAGAAATTTACTTGCAATATGTATTACCTACCTGTCGTTAAATCTGTACATGTCTTACTAACCACATTGTGGTTATTATTCACTAAACTAGGTACTTACTAGTATTTATATCTGTGACTAAACTAAATAAATAATAACAAACCAAGCAATCTAAACCAAGTACTTACATCAAGATCTTTGTATAGGTAGGTAGTTAAAAATTACAAGGTAGGATCTACCTACTTTGCCTTGTAGAGATACCTATCCCTAGGTTAAAAATATCTAATTTAAAATATGCAGAAGGCACCACAGTTCAAACAATCATGATCAGTCTTAAATATAAAGACGTTACATTGTTTCTTAATGAAAAATGTTTTATTGTTATGTTTCATTCTAAAAACATTAGTTCATTCTTGCCAGGCGGTGGAATGAGGTCCATAGATAGGGGTGTCGAGGGTCAACTGATAAAATTTGGCCTATGCTGACTGCTTTGAAATAATTATTCAAATCCTTATCTGAAAACTATTTTTTTTGCCATAACAGCCTAGGTAGTTCAAATGTAACAGTCATTTTCTAGCGCAACATTAGCAAGCGAGGCGCTTTTAAATTGAAGTCTCCATTTTGAAATTGAAATGCTCCAGTGGATCGTGTAAGCTTTGATGACCCTCAAAGGCAGTACAAATAGGTACCTCCTACCTTTTTGTCTTTGGTGTACCTATATTTCTTTATAATATCACTTAAAGATTACGTACTAGCTACCGACCGCAACTTTTTTTATACATAACAACAAGACTTCATACTACATAGTTCATACGCGTGGACCCCGTTTTAAGGGTGGAGTTTCGTAAAATCAGTTCTTAGTGGATGTCTACCCCCTATAAGGAACCTTACAAAGTTTGTAGGTGCTCTAGTTTCTGAGATGTCGTGAGTGCGTGATATGTATTTCCCTTTTATATGTAGATAGGTATAGATAAATTTTCTTTGACTATTTACCCTTTACGGTTTTGTCTGTCTTACAAGCAGTACAAACAGCTTTTCCTGTTTTACCATCAATACTATTATTTCTAAAGAAGTAAAGACGCGTATTCAGATAACTTTCGATTTCGATTTAAACCTTAGCATAAATTTCACCCAGTGCTTGGAATTGTGCACTTTCGTAAATCTACCTAACAGACTTAGGATATAAATTATTCAGTTTCTAACTGTTCATCATCGTAAGGGATGTCTTCAATAACTTTTTGTTTGTAGAGTTCATAAGTTGATTGTACCGTTAGAAGGGCCACAGCAACAAGGAATTCAACTATTCAAGTATCATTTACCTAAACTATGAAACTATTTGACCCATGACGCAAGAGTTTTTAGAAGCTTCAACAAACATGTATTGTAATTAGTGGGTTTCGTAATCGGGCGGCGAGCGTCGAACCCGATATCACGCGTGAACCAACAGGACGTCAGATAGCTTATCGCCTGTTATCTGGGAGACTGCCGCTCGGGAGATCGCCCCTTAGGATGCTCTCATTTAATTCATAATTTGCCTCTAATTACCGCATTAACACGTTCAAGAAAAGATGGTTTATTGAACGCAGACGATGACAATCTTCAAAATATTCAGCTGTCCCACGCACTGGAATTGCCTGTACGCCTGGGGGTGAATTTATCAAAACCTGAGCTTGATCATTTTGAAAATAGGTTTTTATTCCTTCTTTGAACGTACAGATGAATACGTAGGTATGGGAGTAGATCTCCCTAGAATACTAGTTGTCTATATCATTTATTTTGTTTTAATTTAGAAAGTTTATTTTGTACTTGTGTGAACTTTAATGCTTACAGCTTAAAAGGTAGGCATTTCTTTCGCGATAGCTACTGTTGTTATGTAAACATTTTTGCACCAACTCGATAAGTATGTTGGTAAGACGTGTCAGTTTACAACTGCACTCATAAGTGTAGAGCAGTAAACGATGCGCGTGCGCTTTGTAAGATGTATCATATTACTTTCTTGTGTGGATATGAGCCTCCATCTACAAAACCTGTAAGTAAGCGACGTGTACATGATATCGTTTCACTGAAGTAGTAAAACGTGTCGCATGAAACTGAGAACTACCCCTTATCCTTCAATGGAACTTTTAACAAGTGGCAAGTCGAAAGCTAATTCAATCGTTATCAATAACTAGATAAAGGGCACAGTATCTTACTACCTTAGCAATCGGCAAGTCTCAATGTCAGGCTTGCAGGATTAAATTATTCTTACGATTGCTTCAAACCGTTGGAACTCTACATTTTTATTCTTGTAATATTATAGTTGGGTTTGTTTGAATAAGCATTAAGCATGAATGCTGTTCATCCATTAATAAATAGGACACTTGGTCTGATAAATAAAAGACATCGTGCTTATCTATTATAATAGGAGTTAGGAATTTACTATGCGAATACAAAGGGAAATGCAATAAACGACGTCTATCTACGAATACGAATGACGAAGACACCATACACAATTACACATAGAGTAAGGTGTAACTCAGGCATAGATAGATAGATCCTGTGATTGGTATCAGACTAATTTCAGGCTTGTATTCTTGGGTTAGGTATTTCATAACACGAGCCTTATGATGTTGATGTAGAGTAAAGAAGTTAGGAAAAGTTGTAGTTACAATTACCTATTCGCTACTGTATGGTAACAACAAGTGTATTCAGATTCTTTATTTTGACTCTCTATTTACATAAATGCTAGCTTTGGTAAAATCCTACTTCTGTAGGTACGTTACGCGTGAAGTTTACGTTAACTCAGCAAATTCGCTACCGGAATACCATCCTACATCACAGGTTAGTCACAAAATTCTGACATGCAATAACATAAGCTACAGCTTGCTATAAATGATTGTTACATTTAGTGAACATATGTGACTAGTTTCGGCTATACAAGTAGACTCTCTCGTCAATATGAACTGTTTGTAATTTCATCAGCCATGGTAATATTACAAATCCATCAGCATAAAGAAAAAAAAACATCTTTATACTCTACTATTCGAACTATCTCTAATTCAAATAAAGCTATCGTCCCATTTGTAATAGCGGCAATGTATGTTTAGAAGAGTTTGCCGATCCTTAACCCAGAACTTTAATGGGAGCACACCGCAAAGTAAACATAAACAAAATTCACCTGTCCCTGTATGACACGTTCGTTGTGATCGGCGTTGGCGCCGACCAGTTTGCAGTAGAGCTCGGGGCCCTCATCGCCGCATGTCGCCGTCGCAGTAATCTTCTTTCCGAGCGCGAGATTCACGTACGGGGGGGTGAGGATCTCGGCGCTTGCGCACGAGCACAGGACGAGCAGCGCGATCACGCGCGCCATGTTGCGGTGGCGGCGGCCCGTCGCGGAGTGCCGGCCGCTTGCGCGTGCGACGCGCTGGCCCGCGGGGTGCGCGCTTTTTTTCCATCGCCCGACAAAGGGCCTCTTCAGGCCCAATGTTTGGTCCTAATGCTATTCGTTCATGAGTCGACAATTCTATTGAGAATTCAATTTGAATGAAAAACAAGTTTTAAGGGAGATTCGATGGCAGAGTTGCTGATTGTTTTACCATTAAGTTCAGCGTAATATCTTGTCTCTCTGTAATGTTTAAGTTCACGAAGATCGTGTCGGAAAAATAACGCCTGATCCGGGAATATAAATATTACTTGAACCAGAACTACAAGTATATTCGAATATAAATTCGAAAAAAAAATCTTAAAAGACTTTTGACCACACGCGATTCAGTTCAAAACACCACATAAAGTTGTTATTAGGCCTTATGTGATATTGTACTGTTACTCGTAGTAGGTAAACGCAATTTACATAATGATCGAACGCAGAATGGTCAAAACGTTATGGGGTTACAATCACCGATGTTATGTAGAGTCATTATATTACAATAACTCGGAAAGAATAACCTAATAAGTAACTGACTTAAAACTTTATTATTGGAATACTAAGAAAATCTTATCTTACCATGTCCTACGGTCCTATGTTCACTTTCTGTGGTTTATGATGTTCTCTCCAACTCCAACTTGTGTTTACTTTAACGATACTTTTTAATTCTACCAATAATGTTATCTATGGATTCGATACTAATCTGTTACCCGTTTTTTGACTGTCATTTTTGTAGTGTTTACACGTTTTTTTATATTATTTTTTATTTTATTTTTTATATTTTTATTATGGGATATATTTTGAATAATTTCTTTCGTTTTATATTTTTGTGGTACTACATTTTGCAGTTAACTTATTGCTCGTTATTGTCTCGCTTAAAAAATCCGTACCACTACATGCCCAGTAGTCCTGTTGAAATATTACCAGAAGATTATGAGGACGAAATGAAACAGCTTTCAACTTCAACAGAAGCTACGGGAAGATCAAAGTTTACAAGAAAATTGTGGAACGACAACAATGAAGCAAACATTTGGAGGCCCAGCAAGATCATGTACAGATCGACACAAACGTCAACAGAATCACCGGAACCGAGCATAGATCTTCGCACCTGGCCGACTGTACCCTGGATATACCTGCAAAGTAGAAGCACCACAGAACTGTTGACCGTCTCCCCACCGACGCAGCCCAACTCTGCCTCTAGACGAAGCTGGAGGCCACACTTTCCGACAGCACAGAGATTTACATTTATTAACCCGATTTATTGGAATTTGGGTTCAGCACGAATACCTTTCACTCAGCTTTCATTCAGTGTTTTGAGAAACACCACTGTCCAGACAATTTCTACAAGTTCCAAAGTCACGGAGCAAACTACGGCTATTAGTTTTGATTCTCAGTTATCTGGAAACTTGACGACTTCATATGAAGAATATGATACCACGATTGGAAATACAGGAATGATGTTACGTATAATATTCAATGATGATACTAAAAAGGCTGTAACAGCGCGGAGAAAGACCCACAAAGCCAGAACTAGTCCCAGAAGATGGTCTCCTCCTGTGTCGTGCTACGAGTGCGGGATACATAAGCCGTCAGCAGCCAACCCTCCCTGCTATGATATATTTGACAACCCGGATCAAAGATACCGGATGCATATGCAAAGTATGATCACTATGTGTTTTGATAACTATATGAGTGGATGCGTCAAAAGATTTCTGGATGTTGGATCAAAATATACCGAAAGAACTTGTAGAAATATACCGCCATCAAAATCAAGCAATCCGACAAATTTCATAGTTCATGAGCGTTTGCGACATCTTGAGAATATGCTCGTTGGCGTCCAGTCGGGCTGTGTGATGAGCCCGTACGCGGTCGCAACGCCGTTCACGAAGCGTTGGTCGTTATTCGCACGTTATCATGTATGTATATGCACTGGTGACTTGTGTAATTCAGCTACCTCTTGGAACGGTTTAAGAAACCTATTTTATACTTGTTTTATGCTTTATTTTTACTAGATAATCGTGATAAATTATTATTTGCATATTACCTGTATTTTCCTGTTTTTAGTTGTTTTTATTAGACCAGTACCTCTAGTAGGAAAAAAGTGTCATCGAAAAATTTTGTATGAAAAATTAAACAGCGCCCCCTATATTATAGCCGCCCTAGAGGGCGCTGTTTAATTTTTCATACAAAATTTTTCGATGACACTTTGAATACGCAACGAAACGAACTCGAAAGTTTTTCCTACTAGAGGTACAGTTGTGTAGTAGTTATTGGGTGTAGTCCGGGCACGGTAATACCTACTATCTATACAGTGTGAGTCACGTTAAAGTGTACATATCAAAATAGATGAAACTAGACTTATTTTTATCGACAAAAAAGAGGTCAAAAAATTTTTGAGATTTTTTTTTAATTTTTTATAGAATTTTTTTTCTTTCAATTACTTATTGTAAAGAAAACATAATAACTTTTAAACTAAGCGGTATATCTTGATACAATAAAAACAGTAACAATGCTAAATAACAGGCAATACTAAAAAAATACATAAAATACACAAAAAAGGCCAACAAATAATAAAAAATTATACTTTTTGAAAAAAATCCGCTTAAAAATTCGTGTTTTTTTGGTTATTTGATAAATTTCTCCAAAAAATGCCCCAATAACAGGTAGTTTTTATTACTTTGTATTATTCTCTATCATATTACCTTCGTAAAACGAAAAATTGCATGTCTCTATCCCTATCACAACGTTTGCAATGATCGTTTGAACTAAGCCTCCCCGGGCGCGCCATTCAACGCTTCGTTAACAACAAAACTGAAAATGGCTTTAGATTTGTAATTTTGATAAAGACAAGTTAGATTTCAAATAAAAACAAAAGATTTCGAGGTAAATCAAACATTTTAGTTAAAATTAAAATTGTCTCTACCTGTAGCGGAGAATAATGTTGTGGCAGGCCTTTGTTCAAACGATCATAGCAAATGTTGTGATAGGGATAGAGACATGCGATTTTTGGTTTTACAAAGATAATACGATAGAGAATAATACAAAGTAATAAAAACCACCGGTTATAGGGGCATTTTTTGGAGAAACTTATAAAATAACCAAAAAAACACGAATTTTTAAGCATATTTTTTTCAAAAATTATCATTTTTTATTATTTGTTGGCATTTTTTGTGTATTCTATGTATTTTTTTAGTATCGCCTGTTATTTAGCATTATTACTGTTTTTATTTTATCAGGATATACCGCTTAGTTTAAAAGTTATTACGTTTTCTTTACAATAAGTAATTTGAAGAAAAAAAATTCTATAAAAAATTAAAAAAAAATCTCAAAAATTTTTTGACCTCTTTTTTGTCGATAAAAATAGGTCTAGTTTCATCTATTTTCATATGTACACTTTAACGTGACTCACACTGTATATTACCGTGGTCCGGGTTTTCTCATAAGGATGGAGATGCAGTCAGTAACGTTACTCACGTGTTTCAGAAGTCGGTAATGATTAAAAATCTATAGGTTTGAAAATATTATTTTCAGAGTAGATATTGTTTTACTTTGGATAATGGCTTTTTTATGCAAAGCAAGGCAGATATTTGACCGAATTCGCCACCCAGTGTATGAAACAAAAACCCGACCTCTCTCATGTTTCATTGGTATCGTTAGTCCCTCAGAAACTACTTTTTTTAGAATAAAATATAGTGTCGGTGTCAACATAGTATGTCTGTCTGTCCAACTTGCGTTTGCCTCTGTTTTCACATTCTGTGGTGATAAGATGATCTCTCCAAGTCTCGTGTTTACAGTGGTGAATATCAATACTTAACAATACATACTTCTTATTTGTTATCTATGGATTCGATACTAATCTGTTGTTCGAATGTCATTTTTGTAGTGTTTACATTATTTTTTTAATGGGTTATATTTTGAATAATTTCTTTCGTTATATATTTTTGTGGTACTACATTTTGCAGTTAAGTTATTGCTCGTTATTGTCGCGCTTAAAAAATCCATACCAGTACAGGTCTAGTAGTCCCGTTGAAATATTACCAGAAGATTATGAGGACGAAATGAAGCAGCTATCAAGTTCCACAGAAGCTACGGGAAGATCAAAGTTTACAAGAAAATTGTGGAACGACAACAATGAAGCAAACATTTGGAGGCCCAGCAAGATCATGTACAGATCGACACAAACGTCAACAGAATCACCGGAACCGAGCATAGATCTTCGCACCTGGCCGACTGTACCCTGGATATACCTGCAAAGTAGAAGCACCACAGAACTGTTGACCGTCTCCCCACCGACGCAGCCCAACTCTGCCTCTAGACGAAGCTGGAGGCCACACTTTCCGACAGCACAGAGATTTACATTTATTAACCCGATTTATTGGAATTTGGAATCAGCACAAAGACCTTTCACTCAACAGTCACTCAATGTTTCGAGAAACGCCACTGTCCAGACAACTTCTACAAATCCTAAAGTCACGGAGCAAACTACGGTTTTTAATTATGATTATCAATTATCTGGAAACTTGACGACTTCATATGAATACTATGATACCACGATTGGAAATACAGGAATGATGTTACGTATAATATTCAATGATGATACTAAAAAGGCTGTAACAGCGCGGAGAAAGATTCACAAAGCCAGAACTGGCGCCCGAAGATCATCTGATTCTCTTCCTGTGTCGTGCTACGAGTGTGGGATAAATCAGCCGTCAGAAGCCAACCCTCCCTGCTATGATGTATTTGACAGCCCGGATCAAAGATACCGGAACCATAAGAGAAATATGATCACTATGTGTTATGATAACTATATGAATGGATGTGTCAAAAGATTTCTGGATGTTGGATCAAAATATCTGGAAAGAACTTGTAGAAATATGCCGCCAAAGGCAGGCACGGCACCCGTTAGTGGTATAGTACATGAGCGGTTGCGATATCTTGAGACTATGCTCGATGGGATCAATTCGGGCTGTGTGATGAGCCCGTACGCGGTCGCAACGCCGTTCACGCAGCGTTGGTCCTTATTCACACGTTATCATGTATGTATATGTACTGGTGACTTGTGTAATTCAGCTACCTCTTTAAGAGGTTTAAGAAACCTATTTTATAACTTATTTTGTACTTGTTTTATGCTTATATTTTTACTTGATAATAGTAATAATTTATTATTTGCTTGTTAACTGAGTTTTTCTGTTTTTAGTTGATTACTTAGTAGACAAGTAGTTGTGTAGTAGTCGGTCTTGGGTTTAGCCCGGGGTTTCTCAAAAATATGATTTTCACAGTAGGTATTACCGTATTACTTTTGATAATGGCTCATGAAAATCATGTTATACGAGTAGCTATGGGTTAGGTACTTTTTATGAGTAGGTAAGTTTTAAGAAGTTCCATATCGCCAATTCGCCACCCAGTGTATGAAACAAGTGCCAGTCCAACCTCTCTTATGTTTCATTGGCATCGTTAATCCCTCAGAAATTATTTTTTGAAATTAAATAAAGTGTTAATAAACTAAAGTAAACCTTAGCAGGCGACAAACAAATTGTTGCGAATGTATTTATTGGACTAATATTTATTTTTGAATTAAAATCTGTAGTGTAAATAAGACTAAGCAATATTTATAACAATTTACTAAACTTTATCAAGAAGTAAAACTACAATGAGTACTGATACTTGTGACCTCCTTCACTGTGATTATCTTTAGGCAGTTTTTTTTCGGTGATGCTTTCGACACTGCTCTGTCTCCTTAGAGACTTGAGATCCGAGCTACTTTTCTTCATTCTTTTCAAAGTCTCTGAAGCTTTCGCTATATTAGAGTCTTCTATATCATGAGGTTTTTTAATTGTTCCTTTACTTTTCTTTGACTGCAACGTTTCTTCGTCGCTCTCTGTTGTACTAATAGTTATCACAGGAATAACGGAACCAATGGAGTCTGATTGTCTGGATTGAGTGCTAGATTCTGATGTCTGTTTCCTGTCCATCCTGTGTTTGCCTCTATATTCATCTTCTGTGGTTTTTTTGCTTGTTGGTAAAGAATCAACGCGTACCAGGTCTTGTTTCTGCTTCTCAATGTTCGCTATCTTCTCGGAACGGTCGTCTTCTTTTTCTATCTTAACCTTCAGTCCTTTGTCCGCTAACTTTGGTTTACTATCATCAATGTTGAATTCAACATTACTCTTTTTCTTATTATCAACATGTTTGAATATTATATCTTTTATTTTTAATACCTCCTTAGGTAAAGTTTCGTGAAAGTCTGTATCTGTCTCATCGTCCACGTTATTTGATGACTGTGAAACATTGTTTACCTCAGGAACTGTTTCCACGTCCGTTTTTTTATCCAACGCCAAGCCAACAATTTTCGCAAATATTCCGCCTGAAAAATGTTTTACATCATTATTACAATTTAGTATTCAATTTTAGTATTCAAGAATCATTAATGTTTAAACCTTACCTCTTTTCTTAATGGCTTTTGACGGTTCACTATTGTCGTCGGCAGTTATAGTCTTTCTATCATCAGAATCTATCGACTTGCTTATTGGTAGAGTAGGGAGAGCTTTTTTCCATCTAGCAAATGGTGTGTTGTCCATTGCTGATGAGCCTACGCGCCTTCTAGTATCTGCTAATTGGAACATTTTCCGTCTTTCTTCCGTCCTTTCCCGACGCAATTGTATCTAAAAATGTATACGCCAAAATAGCTACAGTATTCTGCAACTAACTTAAATAGTAGGTACCTACTTCTTTTACATTACGTACCTTCAAATCATTATTTGCTTCTCGTAATGAATTAGTAAGAGAAGTTAAGTAGTAAATTATAAGTATCAGCAGAACCAATAATGGAATGACTATAGCAGGAGATGCTATGTATTCTAAGGCAAAATTGAGTGATTTGGGAAGAATTTTATAAATATTGTTAGTTAAAATATAGTATATTTTCTCATATTCAGAAAATGGTCCGCAATGCCATGAAGGTCGTACCCATACAATAGTATATCCAACGGGCAAGACACATAAAAAGAGCATGGTGAGCAAAAGAGCTAAATAAAAGTTATTGCTTTTTGAAACTCTAAAAACTACTTCATGTGGAACATTGCACGTCATCACAGCCCAAGATCGAAGGTACATCATTATCATCAACTTGACTACATTCAACACGACAAGACCCGGTGAAAAGAACATGCCCATCCAAACCATGCCTTGATTATTGATCAGGTGCAATATGTTTTCAGCGATTTTGAAATCACCATATTCAGGAAACTTTTTCTCTAAGTCCCAACACCAACATCGATTCATATATCTAACAAAAAGAGCTCTAAAGAAATCCATGAAAAGTGTACCCAATAAGACGAATACCTGAAAAAAATACTTTCCATTATTTTGTAAAATAGGTAATTAAAACAAACAGTTTAGTCAAGAATTCCTACCAAATCCATCATTGTGAGCTTGACTAATTCTTGTCCAAACATGGTTTCCCAGCACAGTTTAAGCAGTTTCTTCTTGGTAGCGGTAGTTAAGTTATACATTTTTCTATCATGATCATCCATGTAAGCAATATCAACAGCTGTCTCATTGATTTTATCAATTTCTGATACCCTTGAATCATCACATTTTGTAACATAGCATCGCTTTTCCACAACTTTACAGTTAGCTATGAAAAATACTTGTGTTATATTGAGACCTCCACAATTCATAGTACAATTGAAAAAGCTTGGACAGTTTGCTTCTGTTTCCAGTGTTGTAGTCTTAATTGAAATTTCATGGCTTGGTTTTGTGCTTTCTGGAATAAATGTCGATATTGTAGTGCTGTCATCATCCGCTGTGGCAGTGTTTGTTACATCATAAAATCTTGGTGATGAATAGTGATCTGTATAAGGCTTTTCAGTTTCTGTCAATGATGTAGATTCGCTAATATATGTCGTATCAGTATTAATGTAATTGGGATATTCATCTGAAGTATTTTCTGTGCCATTTTCATCGAAAACTGATGTTGACATTTTTGTGTTCGGTTCATAATCACTGAACGTGACACTTGTTTCGCTTTGGTCACTTGAAGTAGTATTTGCGTAGGGAAGTGTTGAATTAAAATCATCGTTTAAAGTATCATTATAAACTAAATTATTGGATGTGGTGGACTCACTAAAAGTGGTTTCATCCAAATCATTAGAATATTCATCGTCATCATACGCCTCTGTAACAGGGTCACTTACGTCTACATCATTATTCATTTCACTAATGTTTCTTATTAGTGCTAATTGTTTTCTTATTATTAAAATACTACTTAGAGTATTCGATTCAATGTCGTCTGTACTTGTTATTAAATTTACGCCTTCTACTAAGTTTTCTGCAAGTAATTTTGTTCTTAGTTTCTCAGATACAAACGGAATTTTAGAATCCTTATTAAGAATTTGGACATCATACGTGGAAGCTTTGTTAGAACTGTACGTGGGTTTAACAGTTTCACTGCTGCGAGGGGTTACTTCATTAGTCATTAGATTGACAGATAATATTGGAAGGGCATTACATGGATCACATGATACTCTTTCCTCAGAACACGATGTGGGTAGATTGGAAACCCACGCTTCAGTTATATTCATTGTATTGTTAGCAGTTGTATTAACAGTCATATTGACAACTGGCTTAAGTGCATTTAGTTCATCACTCATCCCTTCAATTTTACTGAATAATGCAAAAATTAAAGAATATAAATTGAGCAAGTTCAACAGCATAATTCTGAAAGGTTGAAATTTTGTGAGTAGGTACAAAGATAGAAAATAGAAATATCTAAGTGATATTTTACCTGACAATAATAATACCTGGCTAATTGCAGTCTGAGTTGTTTTCTTGGGTGGTAATGCTCCAAAAAGCCGAGGAGCTCGAAGAATACAGGAAAAGTTATTGATATGACGGTGACGACAACTGTCGTCTCGTTCTCACGCCACCAACTTCTTGGCTTGGAGTTGTCATCGGAGCGAGACACCACTGTGACTACTGCATACGCTGACACAGCGAGTAATATCACTACGCAGATGTTGACGATCGCTCGCAAGGATATGATACGCCAACTGAAAGTGATTGTGTTATTTGCATCATTGTAATCAAAATAATTCAGTTCGAACAGATCCGCCACCTGTTGTTATTCGCTTTGAAACCTTCTGATAAAACCTACTTCCTCAAATCCTTCTTTTTCTCAGCCTCCTCAAGTAGTGCCTCTTTGAAACCCAGTATGACGGACGCTATCCGGTTGTGAGCCGTCTCTGTGTTCCCAATCATGAAGTCCCATCCGGTGAACAGCTTCCACGAGAATATGCACTCGTCCTCCTTTTCAGAAAGCTTAGACATACGTGAGTTTTCTGCCATCCTGTAAACATAACCCATTGTAGGTGATCTTCTGTAAACGAGATTTTTTTTTAAATACAGAAACTTCAAGAACTAGTGGTAATTTTTAAACATTTTAATATCAGAGTATACGAGAATTTGAGCATTTTGTTAATGTTGAATGAAACTGTTTTGCTAATAATGTGTGCATTATAATCTTACTAGCTTTCCGCCCGCGGCTTCCCCCGGGTGGAATCTTGTCTGTCACAAAAAAACTTTATCGCGCGCGTCCCTGTTTCAAAAACCGGGATAAAAACTATCCTATATCCTTTCCCGGGAATCAAACTATCTCTTTGCCAAATTTCATCAAAATCGGTTCAGTGGTTTAGGCGTGAAAGCAAGACAGACAGACAGAGTTACTTTCGCATTTTAAATATTAGTATAGATTGAAAAGATGGTCATCCATAATGTTATATTTCCACCACTACGAGTAGTAACTGCTTTTAAAATAAATGCCGTATTAAGTACCTATGTTACAAACGTGAACATCAAAAGACATCTCACACCTGTTGCTATATTTAACTTACTTCCTCAATATGGCAACGAAGCTGTAAATGTACACGGCGAGTCCCGTCAAAAAGTAGGCGAGAGGCATCCTGTACTGGGGCCGCTCCACGTTGCTGTAGTACCCGTAGAATATTGGAGAAAACTTGAGCACACCCTCGAATTCCCACAACATCAGAAGATTGGTGGCGTTGCTACGCTCCTCTTCCATAATGATTTTTCGCTCGCCGTCTTGTTTTGGGTTCGCGGTGAGGTACTAAAAAATTAAAAGCGCTTTTTATAGACCTAACTACTCGTAATTGCTTATATTATAATATTCATATGCATGATATTTCTAAAACAAAGTAATGTTAGTAGGTACCTATTTATTTTGGTAACTATAGAGCTCTACCTACACGACGCGTGGTTCAACGTATTCTTATTACTTATGATTTTAATTGATAAAATGAAGAGGTTGCACTTTAGGCTGAAGGTTGCTTGGTGTTGCAAAGTGCCCTTGATAAAATAAAATACTAACTTCAGGCACAATAACGAATACGAGCAGGATGAAGCCGATGACCAGGTTGACCCAGAACAGCCAACGTAGGAAGGTGAAGTACGAGGCCACCACCGAGCCGAAGTGCGACTCGATCTCCTTGATGCGCAGCTCCCAAGGTATCAGCAGGTTAGATGTGTTCGCTGCCTCGCGCTTCATTTGTTGCCATTTCTGGAAATATTTGTTTAAACCTTCTAAAATTGCATCGACAAATCTAAACTCAAGGTCTCCTATGAAACATTTACTTATCCTGAAATGTAGCATAAATATATATATGTAGTTCAATAAAGCTCTGTTAAAAATTATGAAACATGACAAGTAGTCAGGAAAAGCCGATGAAAAAGGAAATAATTTATTTAGGAGCATGTCAGTTAATTTTTCATAGCTCCTAATAAAATACTGATCTGAGAACTACTAAAATGTTTTTAGAAATGAAACTTACTGTTGCCAATAAAATATTAAACCGCGCGTAGATGTCTCTGGTGCTCTTCGACTGTGCCAGTCTTTCCTGCAATTGGCCCTCGTGCCTCTTGATGTAGGCCTTTGCCTGGAATAATAAAGCATTTTACCGAACGATACAATACAACGTATAGGGCAAATTCAGTAAATAAGTTTGCATAGCTTAGCTATCAGTTAGGGAACGATTTATAATGTCCTGCTTTACTCGTAGTATATAGTATTTAGTCACCTGGTGGACAATCTTCAGCTTCCTCCTCATGCCGAGCGGCTGCTGCTTGACGGAGCCCAGCACCTCCTTGTGCAGGTGAATGTTTTCGAAGATCTGCTCCTGCGTCACCACTGCTGGCTGACTCTCTTCCATGGATATTGCCGTGCTGGATAAAAATATAGAGTGGATTATAGAACCGGGACCGCAAGGTCTTGTCCAGACACAGTGATAATCGCAGATAGATAAAAATGACACTTAAACTGGATTACGACACAACCGATTTCGATCTGATGCGTCACGACACAACACGTCAGACAAATACTAATCCGGCCTGAGAACTATCCACGAGCTTTGTCTGAACAAGCCCCTTAGCAGTGTAGTGTACTTTAATACGAATGAGACGACGCGACGCTCCCAGTCTACTGGTTGTTAGTTCACTGGCTGAACAATAGGATCAAGTTAACACTCACTCGCCGGAGCTGGTGGTGAAGACAGAGGACCTCCTCCTGGGCCTGGTCTCGTCGGCCAGGAAGGGGGACGAGGGGCGGCGGGCGCGGCCCTTCCGAGAGCGACGCACGCTGGCGCGTCGCTGGCGCAGCACGGCGCTCAGGCTGGCGGAGTAGTCCTCATCCTCGGAGCCCTCTGCGAGAAGTAAGACCGACAGTAAAGCCTCGGCTGGGGTAGGGTACAGGCGAAAATTTGGAAAAAATACGAGTATCTCATCTGATATTTTGTTAATTGTTAAGAGTGTCTTTAGCAGTGGCGCAGTGCCCGAAAAGGTACCTAATAGACGATTCAGGATCGAACTCATCACGAACTAAGTAAGTAATTACCTACACAATTTTATTTTGAGAAATTACAGTATAAATATTTCTATGAACTCATCACTACTTAGTACCTTACCTAGGTACCTACTCGCTGACATAAACTTTTGTCTCTTATGATTCAATTTTATGGTCATGGTTCAAAGAAAAACGTCTCAAGAAAACGGTTTCGCCAAGCAATACATAGTAGAACGTAGAACAAAGGCTGAAAGGGCATTAATTTTCTGGATGGTTAACAACAATTGAGGGATTGTACGTAATAAAGCACAGCAAGTAAATGAATTTCTTGCAGGTTTGTTCAAAACCAATATCGTATTCACCGTAAGCACGGGTTATTTAATTTAACGACGCCGCAGAGCCTTCCAAAACCGCCAATAAGAAAATAACCTCTCGGTCGGGCTGCCTCAAATTACTGGCTGTTGTTTTCAATCATTTGAATGTGGTAGGTAAAGTTAGAAAGTAGGTTTTCTGAAGAATTTACTAAGATTTTGAGTTGTTATTGACTAGGTAGTTAGTGTGAATCGTTTAATATTGATCGGTTAGCTATGAGTGTGTTAATTCTTCATAATATTAATTTTTATAATGAAACTAGCTTTCCGCCCGCGGCTTCGCCCGCGTGGAATTTTGTCTGTCACAGAAAAACTTTATCGCGCTCGTCCCTGTTTCAAAAACCGGGATAAAAACTATCCTATGTTCTTTCCCGGGACTCAAACTATCTCTATGCCAAATTTCATCAAAATCGGTTGCGAGGTTTAAGCGGGAAAGCGTAACAGACAGACAGACAGACAGACAGACAGACAGACAGACAGAGTTACTTTCGCATTTATAATATTAGTTGGGATTAGTTGGGATGGGATAGTTGGGATAAATGTTTGTCATATTTTAATGTGTCCATGAATTAGTAAATGTGCTCACTCTACATTTTAAAGTCAAACTTAAAGTGTTAATAAACAGCGTTTAAAAAATGAAAATCCTTTCAATTCGGTTTCTCACACTTTCCAGATTTATTACGTAACATTTAATAATAAAATTTCAGAAACATAAAACATTATGAGATTTTTCTACATTTTCGTATTTTAAATTAAAATTACAAAAAAGATTTTTCGTGTGCCTGAAATCTTACTTTAGTAACTTAGCAGTTACCCCTAGTAACTAAATTATCATTTGACTTGCAGCATTGTATGATTTAGTGCCTCGATCAGTGCGGGCCAGAAGGGAGGCAACATACGTTTAAAATTTTGGGATATAATGGAATTTTAATTCTAGTAAGCATTAAGTTAACGTTTTAAGAACATATTTAGTATTTTTAGTATCAAAGTAGAGTTTCTTGTTCACAAATTATTGTAAGTGTGATAAAAACAGTTTTTAAAAAGAAATCGCATTAGCTTTTTTTTGAGCACGTCATTACAATCGCAAAGACTTAATAAATATTTTAATATATATGATTCTTTGGAAATCCTGCTATCTACTTCTTAACTACGTGTAAAAAAATCGTTATTTCAACGTGAGTCATAATGTCAGAGTGGCTGGAAATTTTCATAAGGCCTGATAAGAAACGGTCTGACCATAGTGAAATAGCTATTAAGCTAAATAGAGCTTTTGACTTGGAATCGTGAATAAACTTGTGACTGATTTCAGTGGTTTGTAAGCTTTGATGAAACATCGTATGCGGGCAGATATGCTCGACTCACCTCCAGCAGTTGGTGAGAACTTGACCTCATTGCTGAGAGGGGTGTCCGAAGGCAGGTGGAACAGGTTGACTCCCGAAGACGTCATGCTGCCGGGGTCGGCCCAGGTCACCGACAGGCGGTCCACCGATGGCTGCGGCGACACCGGCGCGTGCTCGCAGGAACCCTGGACCACGAAGAAGTTAGTGCTGACCAGGTATTGAAACACTATTCATCCACCCCTAATTATTTTAATGTTCACTGGAATTCCAAAAAAAAAATCTCACATTCTCGGAACGTTAGGCTGAATCATTAATCCAACTGCCTTTTCGTTTATTGTTTTACCGAAAGCAAGCAATTTGTTAATTGCGAATAGTGAAACCAGCGATTTTAATCTAAACGAGTTGAAATGCTGCTCGTAATTCCATTTTCATTACGGGCACAGTTGGTGGCCGCTGTTATTACCACTTAACTTTAAAAAGCTTTCATGCGTTCAGTAAAAGCTTACGAAATTAAAGTTAATAAATCTTTAGCGTTAATTTGTCACTGGCTTTTAGGCAGGCCTTAATGAAAAAAAAAAGATAATTAAAAACTCAAATTCAAAATTCGAAATAGCAATCGAACCGAATTTCAAACTGAGGAATCCACTTTAGCGGTTGGCTTCCGGGGTTTCTCGGCGCGGTGTGGAGACCAACAGGTCGGCGGCAGGACTGGCGGCGCTCGCTCGCACTGGACCAAGGCTGGGGCACACCGACCCATAAACCCTGCGATTTACGGCGATCGCGGGCGATTTGCGTTTGTGGGGACGTCACGTGCTTTGTCCCGTTTACAGGTTCGTCGCTGCTTTGGGCGGCAATTGTTTCAGGTCTTTGTCACGGCTAGTTTGGGGAAACCTTTTGCAATGATTCCATTTTTACAATACTTCTACAGACCCCTGAAAAACCTTAGCCTTTTTGCAGCTAAGACTTGGTAAAAATATTATCTGTATTAGTATTGAAAATCGTGTCAATCTAACTCACGTATGTCAGTCCGTCTCTTTCAGATGGCGCAAAATATAATATGTAGTAGTATCAAACTAGGTAGGTAAACACAAAGAGAGATCTCTTGTGTAAAATGTAGCAAAGTTCTCTAGATAGTGCATTTCAGGGTTGATAAAGAACATGAAATAAATCCAATCATATGTCAAACTGCCAATTATAATATCAGGGATATTATTTATGGTACAGATCTAAAAAAATACTTTATAATACTCAGTAGAGTTCGGTGTCATCCCAACCTTATGATTGGAAATTAATATACTGGTCGCTCGCTACTTTGAGGCGCGGTAGAAAATATCTTTAATTGTACTGTCGAATACAAAAACGTTGTGCATGGTATTTATTAAATTTATTGGATATTCATTACTAAATCACAGCAATCTCTTATTCCAGGTCCTCGTCCTGAGTCAGTCTTCTGGTGGTAGCTACGCTCAGCATCAGTGACACAGGACACTACAATAACGATCGGTAAGTAAAGGGGACAACAACTTCAGTTTTAAGTAGGGTAATTGCGCCGGTTTTCCGCCCAGCTCCTGTTTTCGTCCATTTGACCGACTTGCCACAAACAAATACGGAAAATTAGAATACAAACCTAACTTTCCGTGCAAGTTTGGACTTGTTACAATCTATAATATTTAAGTAACAGTTCTGCCTGCATGAAAATGTAATTTGACAAGTAATAACTATAAAAAAATCTACGGAAGTTGCTGCTGCACACAGGTGAATGGAAAACGTCGTCAAGTTAGAAAAAAAACGTGCCGGTAGGGAACTTTCATGGTATGTATAATTACTGATTTAGCTACTTTACGTAATGTTTTTGGCATGTATGTCTAATTATTAGCATAATAAACACTATTTTAAGGGTTTATTAAAGTTTTTGTATTGAAATCTTTTATAATTAAGTAGACTAATACTAGCATAACAATTTTGCAATATTTTGGTTTTCGTCCACGTGGACGGAAACCCTGACACCTAGTTAATATTTTTAATAATCATTTTACTTCAATGGACCTACAAAATACAATGTTTTTTCTTCCAATATGATCTTTATTGCTATTACATTAAACATTTTAGTTTACGTCCACTTTTTAACAGTGATAAACCCATAAAAACCGTTAAAAAGATGTGGACGAAAACAAAAAACAGCTTTAAACGTTGTTGTGTTTTCGTCCATGACGTCATGAGCAAGCACTGGGGTGGACGAAAACCAAAATTAGCTATTCCTGTAGGTTAGTTTTCGTCCATTTGTCCTTCGACCTATTGCAATATTTTCCCAAATTTAGGTAAGAAACTTATTTAAATCTTTTTGATATCATTTGAAAGCTAACAAAATTACCTTTTAAATGATATACCACAATCCATAGTTACTGTATTGTAGAATTGGTTTTAAGTTAATAATTCAACTGCACCCTTTTTTCTACACAGTGGTCGAAAACTAGCGTACACTAGGACGAAAACTGATTTTTTTGGACGAAAACTAGTGAAATCGCCTCTTTTGCATAAAATATTTTTTATAAAAAAACCCGTGGTATTTACTTATTGTCTTAAAATATTAACGTAAAGTAGACTATATAAGGACTTAAATGACATATGATACATATGAGTAAGGGTATTTTAAGATATTCATTTCGCATCACAAAGTTGGCAACTCCGCTAATTGGACGAAAACTAGCGCACTTACCCTATCAGATTCTGTAGTATCATATCAGTCCCTATTTCTTGAATATAATACTACTTGCATTAACCTGAAATCCTAAAACGAATGGCTCTAGAGAGTCTATTATCAATTTTTTGTGTAACTCTTGACCACATGACTGTCCGAATAAAATGCGTTCGACTATCGCGCCATTATCCCGCTGTTTCGACGCGACAGTGGTGACTATTAACGATGATGGGACGCTTTGATCCTTCATGGAGGACCTTTCATAAAGATCGCATTATGACATCATCGATGTCTGTTAGAAAAAGAATCTAAATGGTAAGCAATATGTGTGTAGGACTGTAGGTACAGGCAAAATCATATCAGTATGCTAAATAGCGCCTGTTACTATTAGTTTAATGTGGTGTTAGCCCTATATCGGAATGCGATTAGCTTTGATTAAGCGAGGGTAATTAATAATTCTTTAGAAGTTATTTTTTTGATGACGTGCATCTGACACCTCGTTGACCTGGTATGGTGGTAGGCATTAGTAGTACCTACATTGACATGTCTGCCGATGCTTTAATGTGTAATTCGGCACCTATCAGAAGCTCAGCTAGAATCTTATTTATTATGTATCTGGAAGAATAATTTGAGAATACAAAGAATCGCTTTGTAGTTTGTAGTTCAGTATGCAAGTCTTGGCTGTCTACCATTCCTCCACGGCCTTTGTCTGTTCAGATCGATAGTTCAGGACTAATCAAAGTCCTGATTTATGCGCGAATTTGCGTAAATCAGGAGGTGCGGCGTGTCGTGACTGCTGCCAGTAAGTCTTTAGCGGCCAATGAGTGCCATCGGTGACTCTGATTAACTATGCTGGACAGGGCTGTCCAAATCTCCCAGAAAATAACATGTGCTACATAAGTGCTTAAACTAATCTAATAATCTTCCTTCCTATTATTGCTTGGTTATACAGCCTCTAGAAAGGTTGGTTATAGGTATCTCGTAGATGTGAATCACAACCTACTAGGGTTGTCTTTGTCATCATCCCCATTAGTCCCTACCTAGAAATAGGCTTTCTAAAAGCATTAACGCCACAGAAACATACAGTCATATTCTCCATCTAAATTCCATTTCCTTAGAGGCTCTTAGCCTGCATCTCACCTGATGGAAAGTGATGATCAGGCTGAGGGTGGAAGCGAGGCTCACCTAAAATCCTCAACTACAGAGGAACTGGTTGTCTAACTGCCGATTACTATTAATGCTAATGAAGTTAACTTATTATAGAGTTGCGTCAGCCCTGCAGTTCATTCCATTACGCCCCGCGCAGCCCCCCGCCTTGATAATTAACTGAAGAATTTTCACGCGCCCACCTTGCGCCGATTTATTACAATAACTTATCTAATTAGTTTACAGCAATATCTTTTGTTAGTGGATATCAATCAATGCGAGTAAAAACACCTTTGTTTTTGATGAAGTCTACTAAAAGAGAGTAATTAAAAGACGCCTCATTTTGTGTACTTAGTAGGTGCATTTTGTATGGATTTGTAATGAAATACAAAAAACATTTGCCACAAGGGACAAAAATGTGATCACTTGATCTTCCCAACGCGTCTGCTGGCCAGCGTGGGGGAGTGTAGAGCAAATCAATTTACCAACGGCTAGTCAGAGTGGGTGGTGCTCCTGAAGTGATACCAAATGACCTGGTGATGACGATAACATAATCATAAGTTATTGCGTAGCATACTCGTAAAAGCAAGGTGATGCTGTGGTGGTATGGTGGTGCCGCTACAAAAGTCGGGCATTTATCCTTTGTCTGTCTTAAAACGTGCGTGTTGCCTCAGGGCGTTCTCTTTTCTCTACCTTTATCATCGAAATAATGGACCATCACTTACATGCTGATTATAAATGGGTGCAGCACAATATGGGGTACCTAATCAGTGTATTTAAAAGTACTTTAACATTTAAATATTTATCATAAATTAAAAGTTATGCGAGTAGCCTAGTGTCTTTGATAAAATTCCTTACGACCAATAGTGTTATTACCTAGCTCGAGTTCTTTAAGGTCCTGACTACACAGGCGTAGGATTACTTGATAATACGACTGACAAATTGCGATGTGTGCATAACGTTTAGCTATCTTAATATAAATTGCAGAATATGCGGATCCAGCCATCAGCCAGCAACAGACAACCAGGAGACCAGCCTTAAAGCATACATCAGCACAATTAGCATGTCTGCTATCATATACCTGGTGCAGAGACGAGAGATGTGCGATGAAGCTGGTAGGATATTTCCACCAAAGTGAAGCGGAGGAGAGCGGAGCGGTGCGGAGGCGAGAGGAGATGTGTGAGCTGTGCGTAGCTGTCAGCTGTCAGCCTATTGCTATCTATAAAACACTGCTCCGCTCTTCCCCGCCGCGGCGCGCCGCTGTCAAATTCTATAGAAAATCAAGTGCGCCCGACACTTCTCCGCTCGATCCATTTCCACGGAAGCGGAACGGAGTGGAGATGTGCAAATAATGGAATCTGATTGGTTATTCAAAAAAAATTCTCTGCTCCGCTCTGCTTTGGTGGAAACCGGGCCTTAATAGCGACGCTGTCCGTGTGACCAGACCCTTCCTACTCGTGAGTAACGAGGCGCGTTTGATTACGTTTGGGCAGATACATTTGGTTAATTGTGCGCTGTTTGCAGGCCGGCTCCTGTTTGCACGGGCCTTTTATGCTTACATTAGACAAATGCTTTTTGTTTGGGAGCTTAAAATCATATTTTTATAGACTACCTATCGGTTATCCTTAATTTCGAACTCCTCCTATGTTCTTCTGATTAATTTCGTTGCGGGTCCAATGACAGTTTTACTTTCCCCCGGGACAAACGTAACCTTCATTGGTTGGGTTTTACGCAGTAGAGAGGTTTTTAGCTGTAGATCCTGGCTACACACGAATTGCAGCGGTGGGAACGAGAGGTGGGAATAGTCCCGTACCTATCGGTCTAGAAGGCATTTAACTCGATGATATTGCTCTGGCACTTAGATATGTAGTTAATATTTCCTAAGCATCGTCTAATTTATTTCAGTAAAGAGAAAATTAGAGTGAAGACTGTATTTTAATAATACGTTACAAACTGGTACTTGAATAATGCTGTCAATACAGTCTGGTCAAGAAGTTACCGTGAAGGCTTCACTTTTCATTGTGAATGAGTAAACAATTGGGACCGAAGACAATAGATTCTTCGTAATAGGAGTATCTGCGTACGCGACTGTGGAAGCAATGAGACAGGCTTTAGGACAGTGGTTCTTAACCTTTAAGTCATGAGGGACCATTTTGCCAAAGGATGATGGGCATATTGGGCGTTAAACCAACAGAAACAAAAAGTATACCAAATTAAAGCTTAATACTAGTACTTCATTTCATAGTATGACAAAAATCCTGAAATATGCGGGGATACGGAGATAGAGGTCGTTGAATATGCAAAGTTTCCATAGTATTTCACATCACATTAGGGTAATAAAAATAGTATTAGGTCAATTAGATATCTTTTATTGATCATATTGAGAGTTTTGTATCATATCTTACTATCGATTCTATCGATTTAGTAAGTATGTATACCGAATAAATCATAATCGATTATTCGATTGCAATAATCGATTATATTGCTGAAAATAAGGTATTGAATTAACAATCAAATGATAATAATGATGGTAATCAATAAAATCGATTAATCGAATTGTTAATCGATAAATCGTTATTTGGCAATATCGATTAATAATCGATCCGTGATCGATTATGCGACAACATTACAACTTAAACGGTAGAAATCCCATTGAAACATGACTGTGTTCATGTCATTTCTCTAAACTAAATGGTACCTAGGTATGGTCCTACGCTTATAATGTAGAACATGGTTTAAATATACCATTTGTTGGACATAATAATGGATAAATAACTTAATGTATTTAAAATGTAAGTAGATAAGTATATTAATTAATAATATTTTTTTGTTTGCGCAGCGCAGCTCCTATTACTATTACACATTATGTCAATTTCCAAGCAAACCCGGGAGTTTTTGGTAGTTATTTATATGAAAATATGTTTCTGATATTAAGTCCTAACAAATAATAGTAGTTACATTTCTGTTGGTTTTACGCCCAGATTCCATAGAAAAGTGCCCATCATCCTTTCTGTCTTGTCAGGGACCACCTCACAATCGGTCAAAACCAGTTTGACTGCAAAAATCAGTGAAAAGTGGTTTTAACCAAGGTGTGCAAGTGCTGCACTTTGAGGACCACTTGGAATGTCTCCAGGGACCACCAGTGGTCCGCGGACCACCGGTTAAGAACCACTGCTTTAGGAGAATATCATTGTGTTGTCCCTTTATGGTCTACTGAATAAGGGAATCATTGTTTTTCTGCGTTATACATTATCATAATGTGCCAAATATTGGTTCAAATCTGTAGGCCTAAGATGCGCGCCGCGATAAGCGGTTGTCACGCCATTTTATCGATTTTGCCCATACATTTTGACGTCGATAAAAGTTATCACGGCGCGCATCTTAGGCCTACTGGTCCATAGTAGGATAGACATGAATCGATAGAGACAGATACGTACTCACAGTGCTTTAGTATAATATCGATTTTAAACATTTTATTTCGCGAGCTTGGCAAAGAAGTTCACTATATTCCACAACAGAAGCCGCGGGCTGAAGCTAATGTAATTTAAAATAAGTGAAATATAATTTTGTTACCTGTGGAGTCAGCTCAGAGCGGGCTTCCACGACGATCCGTGGCCGCGGCTCCAGCTTCAGGATGCCTCTTTCTTTACCCTGAAGACAAGAACAATCCTAAACATGCTAGTTTTTACAGGTGTTTTAAACAACTACTTAACAAGAGCACTTCGACTCTGCCACTTGTTTTGTAGTTCCAAAATAGCGAAAATGTTTACGAGATGACTACTTTCCTTCAGGATTCCCTGTTCGAAGCATTTTCTTGCTAATCTACATAAAGATCATCTACCGCCCAAAAGGACAAATAATAAAATACACGATTGCAACAAAAATGTAAACGTGCCAATATGAATCCATATTCTGACCTTATCTAAGCCGGCTTCGACTCAAGCAGTTTACGCAATTTATTACTTTATTCGTCTAAGAAAAACTTGAAAGGGTTACCTTTGCGTCCATGGTGTCAGGGCAGCAAGCGTCCGCCATCAACTGCGAGCTGGCGCGACAATCGCGTGTCTTCACGCCTCCTGCTAAAACACACTAACTCCAGTTATTAAAATTACCAACGTCAAAACCAGTACACGATAGCATCTACACTTTGCTCTATTACTTTGATATAGCTTAATGGCTGAAGCAAGGCAATTTACTGCGGCCGTGAGTGGGGCAGTTCGTGTCTACGGTGACGGATTTGCATAGTTTTTAAATTAATTACACAGGGCCAAGTGGGTTTGATGATTGGAAAGCTTTAGTGAATAGCTGTCACCATGAAATTCATTAAAGAATATGGAATTTTGGAAATTTTTTGCTCAATATCAGTTGTGTTGTGTGCCCAGAACCAGTTGTTGTACAATCCGCTGATCAAACGTTCAGCTCCATTACGAATTCGTCTGCACCTGTCACGTTATTATTACATGATCTACCTTCATTCTGTTATCCTTGTTTAAATGTAACACTGACTATATTCTTCAGAACAGAAGCTGGACCACTTTACTTTCGATTAATTAAAAACTCATAGTTAATAAAACTAATTTATTTTTGCAAATAAGCTTTTAAAAAGCACTTATACACGTCCCATTAATCCTACTAAGTACTGCTTCAGGACAATAAATGGGCCAGTGTTCAGAATTTATATAATTTTGAAGAACACACGTTACACTTTTTAAAAAACTTCTAAGTCTTCAAGTCTTTTCCTTTCGTAGTTAGGGAAAAACGATTCATTCCATAGTCGTTCTAATAAGAGAAGAACGTCAACAATTTAATTAAAATGAGTGTTAAGAATACTATTAGAATTACCTACGTATTTTTAAATATTGTGACTTACTAGATTCTGCGACAGGCGACTTGTAATTAGCAAGTGGCAAGCAAAGGTGCTTTTAAAAGGGGTGAGCCTCGGCTCGGTTTACACGGCCATCAGTTTAGAGCGCAGGTGGCTTTCAGGGAAAGGTACATGCCTGAAACATAGTTAAGTAACTTTCAGTTTGTTACACAAACAATGAACTTTCACCCAAATTACGCTGAAAATGGTTGTTTGTTCAAAATTAGCTTAGCTGGTTGATAATAACTATAATTTTAATTTTTGCCAGAATATTAAAGGAAGCTGATTATTGTAATGTGATAAGCCAAGCCATGCCAAGCTTAATCAATTCAACTACATACATTGTTATTTTATTTTGATTGTTCACTAAGAAAATCTAACAACTACCTACGTACTAATATTACTTTGCATGAAATTTTATTGATCTATCTCAACTCAAGTGTAGGAGAGAAATAGGTACTAGGCTAGAATAACTTTGTGTTATATTTTATGGAATACCTAGATCTTATTAAATCAATTTGATAGTTATTTTGTGGGATGATAAACAATAAAATGTACACAATGATAAATAAACATTAATCTACAAAACTTGTTTTGGGTCGATTGTCCATATTCCAGACATTTAAATATACTCCTACATAACTTCATTTTACTTCATGCGTTTGTGGAGCCATCTATTCCATGGGCGTGAAAGTTGAAACGAAAGCCGTAAACTTTTCCGCGAAAGCCTGAAAGGGAATGATTTTTTCAAGTTTCGTGATTTTCCGTTAGATGTCATTGTTAATACAGTAACTAGTTTAAGTTCACGACTTTTTCCGCGTACATACAAGGCGGGTGTAACCACACACTACATCTTTCGTTGCGATAGTTGTTGTGTTGACCCGCGATCGAGTGGACTGTAATAACGAGTATGTACTGAGGATATTGTATGGTAGAAGCAAGTGTTTATAAGGTAAAACTCAGAATTATAGGCTAAACGGCGTGTATTGCTCAAGACAGTACAAAGAGGCAGTAAAAAGAGTAACTTCAAAACCAAAAACAATCGTTCGTTCGTTCGTTTTAGCTGAAAGACGTCCACTGCTGGACAAAGGCCTCCCCCAAGGATTTCCACAAGGACCGGTCGCATCCAGGCACCACCCGCGACCAAAAACAATACAAAGTAAAAAACCATAAACAAATATAAAAAGGATTACTGGCAAAACTACCAGCAACAATTATAATGATTTATGTAATCATACGGTCTCGACTGCTCTCGATGTGGGTTCATAAATAAGGCACGTGTGTAGTGTGAGATGAGTTTATTTTCTTAGAATAAAGCGTGAGCGATTGAAACGTTCAATCAAACAGATTGCTTGTCGAAACTGTATCGCTTTTACTTAGAAGCTCAATGTAGCGTGTCTGGGGGTACTTTATGGCAACTGCATTACTACAAAAGCTCTGCGAAAATTGCAGTGTATGAAGAGTTTGAATGTCTTCATCAGCTGTTATAATAAAATTGTAATTAGTCTGTCAAATTCTTCGATAATGGGGAATAAGTTTGTAGTCTAAAATGTAAATTCACGTCCTTGTCAATATAATTTTGGTTTTTATAAGGTTTTTATGTGTGTAGGTATGTTTATATTTACAGAATCAAATTCAGATACACACTACTTTTAATATTAGTCTCATGACGTTGAACAAATGTTTATCCTATGATTTATTACCCAATAGTTTAATAGTACCACATAATAGTAGTAGTAGTTTACATCATATTCTATTCTGGTATCAATATGTAGGTAGGTAGGTACATACGCGCTAGTGAATCAGAAATGAACCCAAACTTCTAAGATGAAGGAAGCTGGTTTTGTAACCGAATAGTGATAAGGGGGGTCAGTGACCCACGACGTAAATGAGATAAGGTCACGTGGTAATGTTCGGTGCTTTGTGGGGCGGCCGATGTCCCTTTTTATCAATGGCCGACGGGTCTTGTGTTTCTTGAATGGAGCGTACTCGTATCTCGACTTTCTTCAAACAGATATCTCTTGATGAATAATAAGCGTACGGCGAATTTGTACCGCAATACTATTGAGACATGGAGCAATTAAGCTTGCACGTGATCTTTACTTATGGAAAATATTGATTGTGCTCGAGGGTCTGAACAATACGGGTACTGAAAACTATTTCTATTGCATTTTAATTAAGCAAAAAAATCTGAACTCTGAACGCTCCTGAAAGACTTTGTAGAGCTACTGTAGAATTAAATTACACTAGCTTGTGCCCGCGGCTTCACCCGCGTGATCGTCATAAATTATAGCCTATATGTTATTCTGGGTTATAAACAATAATACTGTAAAGTTTCATCAAAATCCGTTCTGTAGTTTTAGCGTGAAAGAGCAACAAACATCCAGACATCCAAACTTTCGCATTTATAATATTAGTAGGATTTTGTAGGGCTACATTCTTATAAACTTTGCGGTAATGGAAATCCACGTACATAGTAATTATGCTTTCAGCTTACATCTTAAAGGATTTGTACGTAAACACATTTTACTATTTGTCAAACCATCCCACAATCGGTAATTTCCTGGTGAATTAATAGAAGTTTGCAAGTCGGTATAAATAGGATCCTTTGGCTGGAGCCGAGCCAGCAAGTCCTGGCTGGTGCATCGACCTAACAGGGGAACATACTGCGGACGCCATGAATCTGCCATAGACTACCTACCTACAGTTTTGGCAGTAGTTACCTTTCATCGCGTAAGTGAGAAGTTAAAACTTACGTGCAATTTTTATTAAAACTTATTAAATGTGATACATATTAAACTAGATCATTTCGATGTAGCTTTGGCCCTATAATACCAGCTTTATTATTCCTACTAGCTTTTGCCCGCGGCTTCACCTGCGTGAAATTTAGTTTGTTACATAGTGGTTTTCAAGTGTTATTAACTGTAAAATAATCAATTATGTAAACCCTGGTCTTCCTAATATAAATAAATAAATAAATAAATAAATATTGTCATAAATTATAGCATATGTGTTATTCTGGGTTATAAACAATAATACTGCAAAGTTTCATCAAAATCCGTTCAGTAGTTTTTGCGTGAAAGAGTAACAAGCATCCAGACATCAAAACTTTCGCATTTATAGTATTAGTAGAATTACCCTACTGCGCCAGAAGGAATATTTAAAACTTTATTCGACAATAACTTAATTTAAAGTTTAAAGCATGTACTGCTCTCTCACTCTCTCTCTCATCCACTTCTCTCTGCATGACTCCAAGTTTCTATCCATAATTATTTTTAAACGGTTTTATTCAGCTTGTTTAAATTAACACTCGACTCTACTTCCTGCATGCATATGGTAATCTAATTATTAGTATACATATATTTATAGTTATTAGTTCATTTTGCGGTAGTTGGCTATTAGTTCATGAATTATAATAAGGTAGATCACAAGCTCATTTAATTCATACTAGCGGCCGCCCGCGACTTCGTACGCGTGGATCCCGTTTTACCCCCTTCATCTATCTTACGCGGTTTAGATTTTTTCATACAAATATTTTTTCCCGCTAACTCCCGTTCCCGTGGGAATTTTGCAACATCCTGTGATAACTAAGCTATAAGTTTAATAAAGTACCTGCATGCCTTTCAAGCGTCTAACTTAAGCGGTTTAGATTTTTTATACAAAAGGATTTTCCCGCTTATTCCCCTTAAAAAAAAATCCGTCTAGCTAGTAGTTTTTGTTTCTATAAGGAACATACAGACAGACAAAAATTTTACTGATTGCATTTTTGACAACAGTATCGATCACTAATAATCACCCCCTGATAGTTATTTTGAAAATATGTTTCATGTACAGAATTGACCTCTCTACAGATTTATTATAAGTATAGATAATACCGCAAACCGCAATCATACCTTAATAGAGGCAACCTTTGGTATCTATTTAACAAAAACTAAACTATCCACGACCACAAGACTGGCCGCCGAATTGCATAAGTCTGAAGTATGTGTCATGAATGTAGAGCAGCGAGGATATTATGCTTCGCTGGCACTAAGAAAATGAGGCAGGCAAGAAGCGAAGAGCTTTGCACATTCTGCTTAGGTATTAGTAAAACCTTACGCTATAGTAGGGCGAGGCGTGGTCAAGTCAAGATTACATATTATGTCGGAATTTGAAATCTGTTATTTTTTGTTACTTCTCTGGCACCTGAAATAATTTTCAGTGGAACATAGATTTTTTGTTTCACGTAATTTTTGTACATTAGATACAAATATCTGGTGGATAAAGTTAAACTAGAAACTTTTATTTTTTTAAAGTTTTGTGCTGAACTATCTGAAACTTGATGGTGATTAGTATGGTGCTGAAAAAGCAAGATTTGCGCGTTCGTCTTGGCACGTCTTGGGGAGTCGTCACAAGGCGGTTGCTGGAGCCCTATCAATAGAGCGAGAGCCCCGTGTGTGAGCAGGACAGCCGCCATAGTGACCAAATGCAGCGCTGACTAAGCCCTCAGTCGGCAGTCGAACACTTGCATTTCGTTTCGCGTCTATTGCAATAAGCATGTACCTACATACGACAGCACATCTAGCTACTCATTTTTGTTGCAAGCTCGCCCCTATTACAACTGCACAAGAACCCACAGTGTTTACCTTGACGTGCTGTCGTCTGTACTTATCGTATTGTGAGATAAGTACTAAAGCTTGCAATTGATATGCAGGAGCTCTGCCTGTCAAGGTGGAATAGATGCCGTTTAGCAGTCTCTACCAGCGAATATTGTGGTATCAAAACATCAAATTCTGTTGCTAAATTCTCGTAACTCTTCTTGCTTGTTGTCCTTTAAAACTTATCGCGTTTTTAATAAAAAAAAATATTATTACATACTTGTTTAGTAAAAAAAACAGCAGTTTACAAAACCTGACACTAGCTAGTAATTATTTTGCAGTTTGCTATGTAATTATTATGCTGGGACGTGTAGAATCAATTAATACTCGTATACCTACACTCCCTGCTTGATAGTTAGAGAAAGACATAAATTACTTACTGGGTGTTTAATAAAAGGATTTTCTACCTGTAAAATTACAGAGTTAATTTTTAATGAATTCTCGACTCTACCAAACAATTGTTTTGATAAATAGTTTGGTTGTATTTTACTACATGCGTAGGCGCACGTAGACAAAATTTAATCTCAGCCCGAAAATTTATCTAAAAATCTAAGACCGGCGCGATTTTTTTACCAATGGCATACATTCCTAATTAATGCCAAGCTTGGCGGTTCTTTCGAGCGAATAGGCATTCTTTGTGGAGATGCTTCCCCGAATGGCCGCACATGGCGAGCGAGAGACAAAAGCCGCGCCTTTCAGGCCTGCCACAAAAAACGCTCTATGGGACACGTTAGCCGGCCCGGTGGGCAAAGATCAGCCGCGCAGAAGGGACACGTCAAGAATTTTCACGATATTGAAAAGATGGGTTTTGATAACTAGAATAGCACAACTATTCCAGCTATCTTATTGTACTATTTGTAGTATAGATAGGCTGAAGAGTCATCGCCCTAGGACCCAGGAGACCTAGAGCGAGATTCCAATGCGCTAGCGGAACAATCACCATGTTTTAGTTGAAATGGAACGCGAAAGTTTAAAATCTTATATTAAACCACCATAGTGACCTTATGCGGCACTGACCATGCTCCCAGGGAAAGTATTTATAGTATAAGATGAGTTTATAAGTGCGCGTGATTGGCCAACATATTTTAAACTTTAAATGTTGGCCAAAAAGAAGTAGTATAAATTGATACTACTCTACTATTTAAACTGACTAATCTTTTTTTAAATTTATAAATCCAGAAATAAATCCGGAGATTTTGAGAAAAAATTTCACGCCTGTATGAATATTTAACTTCTTTCGCAATCATTCCAGGTCAGAATTGGTAGAGATATTGGTGATTTCAATTCGTTTCATTTCTAGTAAAAATATTTCCATGAGAAGCCTTCTTGTTAAAAATTTTAGTGTATTCCAAATTCTGTTGAAAATTCCCAACACAATTAAAAAAAAGTTTCTCCCAGAATCTGAAGACATGACCCTTCTGACCATGTACATAATCTTTGGCCGCGTGTTGTGAAACAGACAGCGCCAGTGCACGGCCGACCGGCAGGCGTCGAAGTCGCCTCGGCCAAAATGGCGGCCACTATACGCTTGTGTTTCGTTTCTCTCCTCGCGACCGCACTCGCCCAGGATTACTACACTTCCCGAGTCGGCTCAAAACTGCCCTCATGCTACAACAACAGGCAACCGCAAGTGAGTTCTTTAGTGTCCACTGACAACGTGCAATGGTATGTTAGGGCTGTCAGGAATTGTAAGTACCGATTCTCGCCAGCCTCTTTCTTACGACTCGACGCGGCCTAAAGTTTTAAGATTAAGCTCTGAGAGCATAAACTTCTAATTCCGATCCTTTTAACGCAATATAGAGACTTGAGATAAACTTTAGAGTGGTTTGATTATTGTAAATTAAACTTTTACCAACTTTTAACGGCTAAGTGAGGGCAAGAATACGCGACCTAAATAAGTTTATGGTAGAGATCTTAAAAGTCACTTTGGCTGCACCAGGTGATTTCGTAAGAGAAACATTGTTTCTCTATCAAACCTAAGTTAGGTATAAAACAAAGATAGCATTTAGCGCATTGACCTCAAACTCAAGCGTGTTTATTTAGTACTCATTATGCTTAATCTGGTTGCTAACAGTTTTGGCAGATCGTAAGGTTATCGGTGTCGTGTCGTAACCAGGCCCAACGACTTTTGTTTACTCTAGGCTAGGGTGTTATCAGAGGCTAGCGGAACAAAGTTATCGGCCATCCGTTGTGATGCGTAATGACCATTGTAATGCTATTCGGTGTTTGTGCACGACGGACGACCCCGGATAGAAATTTAAATAGTTGTAAATAGTTTTCGTTTTGTTTCGATTTTGTATCGTTTTTTAATAGTTTGACAGTAAATAGTTTAACTTCGTAATACAGTCCACTTTTCTTAGTTGGTTCTCAATTAGTAATGTGTCGAGTCCTTAATTACTGATTAATAGGCGTATGTGGGACGTTGGAGATGTATAAATCATAGTTTATTTTAGAAAAACATAGAAATGTATAATTTGATAGCCCTTTGTTTTATGTATATCGATTAAACCTATAGTTTCGTCTAGTTATGAATGTCGAGTCATATTTATATTATGTAAATTAGATAGATAATTATGTGTAGATCTTTATAGTTATTTACTTTTAATTGGTGATAATCTTAATTAGCCATAAAGGCAATTAATGTGAAATAGTGTGGCCAAATGAGCCCTAATTTTTGTACAAATGATTTATTTGTAATTAACCCTGTACCTGTGTACCTTTATTTACCTATCGAATAGTAAGAAGTAATTTGTCTGAAAATAAATAACATAGATTCCAAAGAATAGTGGAAGAGCTAATTAGAATCCGATAAGAAATAGGTCATAATCTTAATTAGCCATAAAGGCAATTAATGTGAAATAGTGTGGCCAAATGAGCCCTAATTTTTGTACAAATGATTTATTTGTAATTAACCCTGTACCTGTGTACCTTTATTTACCTATCGAATAGTAAGAAGTAATTTGTCTGAAAATAAATAACATAGATTCCAAAGAATAGTGGAAGAGCTAATTAGAATCCGATAAGAAATAGGTCAAGGACATAGTTAAAAAATAGGTCACCGAATAGATAAAAAACAGGCTCTCTATACGGTATTGCCGCCCAGGGGGGGTCTAAATTAGAGTGAGAGGCAAATAGGTTTTCTCGCTCTAATAAAAGTAAATAAATATCGGGGTGCCATCCGGACCCAGTCAGTTCCGCGTTTTCTCCTCAACAAGCTACAACACCAAGCTCTCGCCACTGCTCCGAGGAACCGGTCTCAACCACCACAACCAGCGTTATTATTTCTGCGCTCCCCGCCCCTCTTCGTCTCGCTCCCCCGCTCGCGCTGCACCCCGCATCGCGCCGTGTCGGCGTACGGTATTCAGGGTCCGCACAGGGTTGCTACCCCATACCGTCCGGCACATTGAATTAGGTCTTTTAGTTACCTACTCAGATACGCGCATATCATGATCTCCTTTGCGACCAGTATTACCTTTTTAGTGGGTTTTTTTAGACTAGTTGGCCTAGTAACCCATTATTATTTGTGATTACCTTATTCTCCAAACGTGTAGTCTGCAACAACTGAGGTCATTCACAACCGTGGGATCAAACATAGTACAATCGTAGATAAGCCTGTAACATGGTGAATATAGTAAGCCAGCTAGCCCCTAGCCTAGGAAGACGTTCTTCCCTTTAGGGATTAGGAACCTATTAGATATCTTCTTGACGATTGGTGGTTATCATGACGTCATTATTACTTACACTTTACTAAGTTTCTGGATGTACTCGTAACATGTATATCCTTAAAACTTTGTAGTGTTCCCTTATTTAATGGTACTTTCAAATTATTTTCTTAAGACGGATATTTTAACATTTTAATGCTCAATTTATGTATGTACAAGTAAGATTCGGTATAGGTTGTCATGATGTTACGATAATCGAAATGTCACGTGACAAAGCGGACCTTTTGTGGTTAAGTTAGATTATGACGTCACACATTGTAAATGAATAGGTAGGGTAATTGCGCCGGTTTTCCGTCCAGCTCCTGTTTTCGTCCATTTGACCGACTTGCCACAAACAAATACGGAAAATTAGAATACAAACCTAACTTTCCGTGAAAGTTTGGACTTGTTACATTCTATAATATCTAAGTAACAGTTCTGTCCGCATGAAAATGTAATTTGACAAGTAATAACTCCAAAAAAATCTACGGAAGTTGCTGCTGCACACAGGTGAATGGAAAACGTCGTCAAGTTAGAAAAAAAACTGCCGGTAGGGAACTTTCATGGTATGTTTAGTTACTGTTTTAGCTACTTTACGTAATGTTTTTGGCAGGTATGTCTAATTATTAGCATAATAAACACTATTTTAAGGGTTTATTAAAGTTTTTGTATAGAAATCTTAGATAATTAAGTGGACTAATACTAGCATAACAATTTTGCAAGATTTTGGTTTTCGTCCACGTGGACGGAAACCCTGACACCTAGTTAATATTTTTAATAATCATTTTACTTCAATGGACCTACAAAATACAATGTTTTTTCTTCCAATATGATCTTTATTGCTATTACATTAAACATTTTAGTTTACGTCCACTTTTTAACAGTGATAAACCCATAAAAACCGTTAAAAAGATGTGGACGAAAACAAAAAACAGCTTTAAACGTTGTTGTGTTTTCGTCCATGACGTCATGAGCAAGCACTGGGGTGGACGAAAACCAAAATTAGCTATTCCTGTAGATTAGTTTTCGTCCATTTGTCCTTCGACCTATTGAAATATTTTCCTAAATTTAGGTAAGAAACTTATTTAAATCTTTTTGATATCATTTGAAAGCTAACAAAATTACCTTTCAAATGATATACCACAATCCATAGTTACTGTATTGTAGAGTTGGTTTTAAGTTAATAATTCAACTGCACCCTTTTTTCTACACAGTGGTCGAAAACTAGCGTACACTAGGACGAAAACTGATTTTTTTGGACGAAAACTAGTGAAATCGCCTCTTTTGCATTAAATATTTTTTATAAAAAAACCCGTGGTATTTACTTATTGTCATATAATATTAACTTAAAGTAGACTATATAAGGACTAAAACGACATATGATACATATGAGTAAGGGTATTTTAAGATATTCATTTCGCATCACAAAGTTGGCAACTCCGCTAATTGGACGAAAACTAGCGCACTTACCCTACCTAACTTCCTACTGCAACCAATCAGTGAAAGGATTGAAGACATTTATGAGTAATACTTATAATTTCTTTCAGCTGGAAAGATATCTGCACTATCCACGACATTATTATTTGCCAAATGTTAATGTTCCATTTGAAATGTCGACATTTACGGGTTTGCCGGAGCATGAAATGGTTGTTTTATATTCATTGCACTTCTCCGCGAAAATTGGTAGGCATAATACCGGACCGAAAAATGAATTTCAATCAATGGATTCAAGTGTAAGTTAGTTATTCTTTGCCATCTTCTGGCTGCATCATTAGTAATTTAATATTTACAGCCGATTTTGTTTTCAAAGACTTAAGACTTAGGTTCTACATTATGTTTGTTTACTCGTAAGATAGATTGCGCTATGAAGTCAGTACTAAATCAGTATAGATGGAACGTCTTGAAAACAGGCACTTTGGTAGAATGTAAATTTTTTTACATTAACTTGTATTTGGGTTTTAGAAATTTTGCCTAGGCGCAGATCCGACTTTTAGTCGGCCAATAGTTGAGCCCGATTTTTATTTGTATGAAAATCAAATCGGTGTAATGTACGCATTTCCATACATGCCCATTGCCCATACTGATTAACTGCTCGACTAAACTATCGGTCGATGAAAAATCAGTGGTCTGCGCCTAGGCTTAAAAAGACCGAGTCTGATAAAAAGTAGCACCATTATGTAGAGCAAAGAATATACGCCTGAATTGGTTGAATTTTTGCAAAGAACCAGATACACATACACGCATTTAATACCATTCCACCGTACCCTTTTGATGTTCACAAGTAGACGGTAGACGTATTATGATGCTAATTAAGGGGAACCTGTTATATCAAGATCTCCTTTTCTTTTCAAATATATTCAACTAGCTTTTGCCCGCGGCTTCACTCGCGTGAAATTTAGTTTGTCACATATCGTCATAAATTATAGCCTATATGTTATTCTGGGTTATAAACGATAATACTGTAAAGTTTCATCAAAATCCGTTCAGTAGTTTTTGCGTGAAAGAAACATCCATACAAACTTTCGCATTTATAATTAGTAGGATAGGATAGGATGAGTGTATAGCGAATGCATCGTCGTAATTTTACAACATTTTTATAATAGTATACGAACCAAAACCTTATAACCCTGAGATATTTGTGTAAAAATTAAGTAAGCTACTACTGCCTACTTATTTCAGTTGTAACCATTAAACCTAAGTACCTACCTATAACTACATTCACGAGTAATACGGCTTCGCTCACTTGCGGTGTGCTATTACAGTTTGTTAGCAGAATATGGATTGTATAATATTGAACTTTATTGGTTTGTTATAAAGACTATGCTTGCCATAAGTTCCTGCTAAGACTACTGTGATAAAGGTGATAAAATACTCAAATAAATAGGCGAATTTGACCGACCAATTTTTAGGGTTCTCACAGAGGAACCCTCATTAATTCCCATTACGTGGTCCGTCAGTTGGTTTCTTAAAATCTTTATACTCAAGAGCGCGTACCTATATCTCAATTGACCGTCACAATTTTTTAAAAACACGTTTGTACTTATCCTTATTACTTAGGCTGGGTTGCCCCATCTTACTTTAACTTTGACAAACGTCAAAAATCTGTCAAACTCCATACAAAATGCACCGGTTATCGTCATAGTTACCGTTAAAGTTAGGTGGTGCAACTCAGCCTTAGTTACCTGATATGTAAAAAATAAAGGAGAGAGTAATCCACGGGAACGTATCATTTGACAGCAAAAATAATTATTTATGTTTAAGAGTTTCTGACCCAGGAAACAACAACAACACAACAAATTCTCACGTGAGGGAAGCAAAAGCTTCACCTTAAAATCATCATGAGTGCCCGACCTAAGTCTTACGCAATGATTATAGCATGACTAAAGCCGTGTTGACGCGGCGATGTGAATGCCCGGCGACGGTTTATTTATAGACCACCTATTTTGGCGGCAAAACTACCATCTGGGATGCTGAGCCGGTTTCCGTATAGTAAAACAGTTTGTAAACAATTGAAGTGGATGCAGAGGGATGGGCTTAGGCGGTAGTCTATCATGGTGGTTTGTGTACTAACCACCTCCAAGGTTTGAATCTCGCAGGGAGCAAATATTTGTGAAAATATGTGAGCACGAGGTTACGTCATGTATACCTGATTTTAGCAAAGGTAGAGTCGCAGCACTGCACATACAACTTCGTTCCAAAATAACACTAAGATACACCACATCAAATTGTCGAAATATTTATGCATATAGATGTACCGGCGACCCCAGGCTCAGCACAGGGTTAATTTTTGAGCTAGGTAAGGAATTAATATTTTTACAATAACAATTTATCAAATTACTTACATTTCTTACTGACCGCTACTGTACCACGAACATGCAACATAATTTCTTAGTTGTCGTTAATTTATATTTTCATTTAAAACCAAAGCACCTAAATGAAATAAGTGCAATAATATTTGAGTTACCAGTTACCAAGTGTGAGCCTACTCCTAACATCACCTTCGTTAGTGTGTTGTAAAACAGTTTTATGCCGTATCGTAAAAGGTATAATTGGATTTTATTTTGTTATTTTTTTGCATCAGCGAATTCGTGTTTTTTATGGACATTATCTCAATGGGTCCGTGGCCGAGTCCCCCAGTATTTGACGCACCCGTGGTGGACGCCCCCGATTTAAATAAATTTAATATCATATTTTTTTCGGCTTTTGCACTAAGTACAGTCAACGAAAAAAGTTTCACAAGCTAATTATTATACTAAACTATGCATGTTTGACGCTATTTATGCAATCTGGGAGCAAAATTTTAACCCAAAACCAGCAGTAATAAGAAACAAAAAACTTTTGTAGGAATTATTTCCATTTCATTAGATTCATTTTTGTGTTTAATTCTACTGGCCTAATAAATATTTATTCGTTTATAAACATTTTTGTGCCTGACTGTACATTTGTTTAAAAATTGCTTCAAATCGAATTTAACTGACCGGGGGCGTCGACCACGGGTGCGTCGAAAACTGGGGGACTCGGCCACGGTCCCATCTCAATTTAGTAATGTACATTCATTATAGAGATCATAATTCGATAAACTTCAATAGTCAATGACTAATAAAATTACCTTGTTGAATTTTTATCAAACATGACCTTTCTGTTTTCTCATATTTTTTCTGTCTATAAATCTTATTGAATTTATTAAAAATAGAAGTTCAAACGAAGACGCGAGTATAGATATTACCTATTATAAGATATTATTACATATTGCTTAGAAATCAGCCAAGAGGAGAAATCAAGCTTTAGAAGTTATCTGAAATTAGCCAATTACAGGTTCTTAAGATTTATGATAAAAATATATTATTTTAAAATTGAGTTGTCTAAGCTTACTCGTAACTTAAAATAATCACAGCTACATTACATCTGGCACAGGTAGATAGGGACCGTTATAAAAACAAACATTTTATCTTTACAATATTAGACTCATCTGTCTAATTATAGACTCTCCTTCTACCCTCATTAATTAGTCCCCAGTTTGGTAACGCGCCCGGGCGAGCGTCGAACCCGTTATCACTCTGGGCTCTGGTGAGCCAACAGGACGTCCGATAACCACTTATCACTCAGTTTATCTGGAGACTGTGTCGGATCGGGTGGGATCTGTACGGTTCTATGAAAAATGTTGATCTTTTGTCTCTTGAAAAGGTCAATTTAGTAATGGAATGTTGTGCTAATCTTCATCGGATGTAGGGCGAACACAATATTTCACAATCATTATGATTGTTAGTTCACTGTACTCGTCATAAAGTTAATATTCCTCCTTCGTACTCGTAGAACTTCTCTAGCAAGTATACTCGTAGTTATTTGCTAGTTTATTTTTCGATAAGAATTTTAACAAATGAGTTTTTACACCAGTCGTACCTTTTTTACACTGGCCGCTTTTTTTCATAATATTTTTTTTGTGGTGCACGTTTGTCATTTGTTTTAGCTACGCGCGAATGTGGTTCGCGTTTTTCTTTTGTTTAACTACGCGCGGACTAGAAAAATTATAACGTACCTATTGCAATTGTTTTTTTTACCTTTATAAAAGATTAAACTTTTGCTGTCCAACTAAAACTAAACGAAAACCTGGTCTCAAGGATAATCAGAAATATACAGATCTTTTACTACCGTGGTTCTAAACTAAAAGGATGCGAGTGGCGCAGGACCGGTCTTTGTGGAAATCCTTGGGGGAGGCCTTTGTCCAGCAGTGGACGTCTTTAGGCTGAAACGAACGAACGGCAAAGAAAGGTTGCAAGGGTTTTCTAGCCATATCTAAAAAAAAATCTATTCATGACTGATAAGTGATTTTAATATTTTTTATTTATCCAGCGGTGCATCCCCGAGTTCGAGAATGCTGCCTTCAATGTGCAGATGGAGGCCACCAACACGTGCGGAGACAATGGCGTCAAAATGTACTGCTTGCAGACGTCGGCTGGCACGTCCACGAGGTACCTAAAGTGCTGATTATGTCATCATCACGTTATAGATCGTTACATCCACGAAGACGCGCCCCACCATTCCTCCGCTAATGTTTGAGTGTTATCGGTACACGCTAAATTATCCACGCATACCTCCTACAATAATGACGCTCGGATTGCTCGGATCAAACTCCCGCACCCTGCGCTTTTCCCGACCAAAAATTGGTGGCGCGTCTTCGTGGGTGAAACGATCTATACGACGTAATATGTATCATTTCAGTCCATGTGGCGGCCCTTTCCATAAACACATATACGACTGACCTTCGGAACTAACAAAATAATTGGTAGGTTTTTGTGTTGTATATCTCTTAGCAGTAAAGAAAGATAACTCATAAACTTACTCGTACATTTAAGTATGTAGTAGGTACCATACAAAAAGCCTTTGACCAGTCCATTTATTACATAAGTCAGGTATCCTCAGAAAAAAATATCCTTGCTGGATTGGAGTCCATGGCTTTTAAACCGTGATGTTGTAGTGAGATTCTAAATTATTTTTTCGACGCCACAAGTAGCGGTAGAATTTTTATGAGATTGGTGACTCCTGAGATAAAATGTGAAGTCACTGGTTCGACTCATTCATAAATGTAAGAAAACTTGGTGATTTACTCTTGTGGCCGTGCTAAAGCCAAACGCTCTAAGGTTAAATGGTAGATAATAACATGAGGCATTAAATTAATAATTATAATTTAATTTGATGTCTTAATATATCTCTACTAGCGGCCGCCCGCGACTTCGTACGCGTGAATCCCATTTTTCCCGCTAATTCCCGTTCCCGTGGGAATTTCGGGAATTCCTTTCTTAGTGCACCTCTACGGTACCTAAGCTACGTCCCTTCCAAATTTCAAGTGCCTACGTTTAGCCGTTTAGGCTGTGCGTTGATCTGTCAGTCAGTCAGTCAGTTTCTCCTTTTATATATTTAGATAATATCCTTTGCTTCCTTCTAATATTAAATGTTTTGTTTGTCTCTGTGAAAAATAGAATTTTATGGAGATAAAGCAGCGGGTAAAAGCTAGTGGAGATATAAAACAATCGTTCGTTTCAGCGTCAAATGACGTCCACTGCTGGACAAAGGCCTACTCCAAGGTTTTCCACAATGCACGGTCCTGCGCTGCCCGCATCCAGGCTCTTCCCGCGACCTTTACGAGATCGTCGGTCCACCTAGTAGGTGGCCTGCCCACGCTACGTCTTCCAGCCCGTGGTCGCCACTCGAGAACTTTTCTGCCCCAACGGCCATCGTCTCTACGAGCTATGTGCCCCACCCACTGCCACTTGGTTTTAGCAATTCTGCGAGAATAAAACAATAAAGTAACTCTTGTTGTGTACTTCAGATCTTGCGACTACTGCCAGCCGGGCCTGTTCTCCAGCTACTACCTGACGGATCTGCATCACGAGACCGACAACCAGACCTGGTGGCAGTCGGAGACCATGAAGGAGGGCATCCAGTACCCAAACCAGGTCAACTTGACCTTGCATTTGGGTAAGCATCATTATATCATCCTAATGAGGGTTTTCGCGATTGAAAAATCCTCCAGATGGCAATACGTAGACGGGAGGTCCAAATGCTGCATGATTGGTGGATTTTGACATATCTGTCAATGTCATGTCAAAAATAACCAATCATGCAGCATTTGGACCTCGCGTTTACGTATTGCCATCTGGCGGATTTTCCAATCGCGAAAACCCTCATTAATGCACGCACTTTTAGAAGGTTTATGATTGGTGCAATGTATTGATTAAGACTAGGCGCAGACCATCGATTTTTAGTTGGCCGACAGTTGTGCCCGATTTTAAATTGTATGAAGAATCGGCCAAATCAAATCGGTGTAATGTGCGCACTTCCATACATGCCCATACTGATTAACTGCCCGACTAAACTATCGGCCGACGAGAAATCGATGGTCTGCGCCTAGGCTTATTGTGAAACGCAACGCAAACGGTGGACCGATGATCACCTGTTTAGGGACCGTCAGAACAGGTTGATGTGGAAATTCTTGGGGAGACCTTTGTTTAGCTGTGTACGTCCTTTGGCTAAAATGATGTTGATAACGATGATTGATTTTGAAACAAGTACATACGCGATAAGAAGATTTAATATTTTATACGCTGGAACCTTACTTTGTAGAAAAGAACGAAGCCCAGCGACTCCTTGCATTTTAAAGAGGAATTAAGTAAATAGCGTAAAAAAGACCGTGTGTCATATTAGGTGATCTTCACAAGTAGTACTGATGAGACCAACCCATTTGACTTCCAGGCAAAGCATACGATATCACCTATGTGAGGATTGTGTTCTACTCGCCCAGGCCTCAGAGTTTCGCCATCTATAAGAAGACCAGCGAGGACAAGGACTGGGAACCATTCCAGTACTTCAGGTAACTTTATGACATAGTTTTTTTTAATGGCTACTTATGCTATGCCTCTTGCCAGTGTCGAGTTAAAAATGACATAGTCTATTAACAGCCTTGAAGTATAACCAATGAGAGCGCAAATAAGGTAGCCCTTATCGGATTGGAGTTCTCATACTATCTGATGTTAAATCTTAAAAAAATAACATTTATGTAGACGAGGACATCCTCAACAAACCAGAAGCAATGTTTGTGAATACATACCTAAGTAAGATTGATCTTCACCAAACAAATCTTCTGCCCAGTGCATCATGCCGAGACACGTACGGCGTGCAGGAGCAAAGGGCAGCGGAGACTGGTGCAGAGACCCGCGCTCTTTGCACCAGCGAGTATTCCGACATATCACCCCTGTCGGGAGGAAACGTGCTGTTCTCAACCCTGGCGGGACGACCTTCGGCGTACACCTTCGATAGCAGTCCCGAATTACAGGTAAGAATTTTATTTCAACTGCCTCCTCAAAATCTAATGACTATTGTTTACTATAGTCAGCTACGTTTGGTTTTCTTATCATTTTGCCTTAATGCCGGTTGCAGACAAATCTCATTCAGACAAAGCAACGATAGCCGAACGGTGAAGGGGTCGGACTGGCCGACTCGTGATCAGGGGAACGCGGGTTCGATCCCTGCCGCCGCTCGACTATTGTGGAAACAATTCCACAATAGTCGAGCGGCGGCAGGGATCGAACCCGGTGGTGAGCTCACTCGTGACACAAGCATATTTAGCTTAGTACGAGGGGCCAACGGGACAATTAGTCCTATTAAAAAAAAACTTAAAATAAAAAAAAATAAAACCGACTCCAAAAAACCTACACTAAAACGTCGAAAAATAGGTTTTTGGAGTCGGTTTTTTTTTTTTATAAAATTTTACTTATTTCTTGCTTTTTAGTTAACTAATTATTACCTTGATGTTACCACTAAAGGTAGGCAGTACACTGAGACCAAAAAAAAAATTGGTTCATAATCGGCGGAGATATTGCAAAGAAAACATTCTCAATGAGGGTTTTCGCGATTGAAAAATCCGCCAGATGGCAATACGTAGACGGGAGGTCCAAATGCTGCATGATTGGTGGATTTTGACATATCTGTCAATGTCATGTCAAAAATAACCAATCATGCAGCATTTGGACCTCACTACCATCTGGCGGATTTTTCAATCGCGAAAACCCTCATTGCGAGGGACATGCAAACAGAAGAAGAAAATATAGTTCGTTGTACCAGGCCTGTTCATCTCCGCGAGTTTGCATCGAAAACAAAACACGCGCGACTACCCTCCTGAGATATCAAATCGACAGGACAATCACGAGCGAGTATTGACGCACGCACGTGTTCTTCACCCATTTGCATTGTAAAGACAATAAACCATATGTTTAGTCGGCCGTTTGGTGTAGTGATTCAGAACGGACTACTATGCCGAGAGGTCCCGGGTTCGATTCCCGGCCGGGCAGAAATTGAAATGATGAATTTTAATTTCTGTGACGGGTCTGGGTGTTACTATGTATAATAATGTATGTATTTAAAAAAAAAAAAGTATATAAGTAGTATATCCGTTAAGCTAGCACCCATAACACAAGCATATTAATTGCTTACTTTGGGGCTAGATGGCGCTATGTGAGATTGTCCAAAGATATTTATTTATTTATTTATATGTAAAAACGGTGGTGCAATTAATACTCTGCAGTATTTTTAACTGCCTGAATAATATTAGAAACACAAAATATAATTCATGCTTATTCATGTATTTCCTCCGCCATTTTTCGCAGTTTGGCACCTCACGTCACACATCATTTTACCGAAGTCAGCCCTATGTCTTCGGCGCAGTACCGATCACTGACGTTTGTCAACAAAATGGTGCTCGACTCTTGAGACAAGCTAAATTACACCATATTGTTAACGACATTGAGCATATATTTTTTTAAATACCTTCGCGAAGAAAATCTTCTGTAGGTACGAAGTACTTATTATTATTCTGTGGTTGTACCTACACCAATGGTGACATGCACTTGCAACGTTTTCCAGGAATGGGTGACAGCGACCGATCTCCGCATCTCCCTCGACCGCCTGAACACTTTCGGAGACGAAATCTTCGGCGACGTCCAAGTGCTTCAGTCGTATTGGTACGCCATTGCCGACGTGTCGGTCGGAGCCCGTTGTAAATGCAACGGGCACGCGTCGGTCTGCGACACACAGGACCTGCCCGATGGGACTAAGATGAAGTCTTGCAGGTAAGACGCGTGGATTCGAAGATATCGATGACGCATTCCAGTTAGACTGTGTTACCGACGATGTCACATGGGATTTCAATGTGACTTGAGGATCTTACACGTAACACCAAACACTGTCACCCGTCTATGACTTCCAGATGCGAGCACAACACAGCAGGCCGCGACTGCGAGCGCTGCCTGGACTTTTACAACGACGCTCCGTGGGGTCGCGCGTCGCCTACCAACGTGCACGAGTGCAAAGGTCAGTACTTCTGCGGCGCGAATTGATGATCTTTCACAGAAAACAAGTTTGATTCAGACAATAGGCTAGTTTCCTAAACAAATTTTTTTAGTCCGTCAATTTTATTATAAAGAAATATTGGACACGTATAATTTGAATTGTCAATCAAACAAATAATTACAAAGTTATAGTGCGTTGAAGTTCCGCGCGACGTCACAAAGTGCTGCACTTTTACGCACTCACTGACGTTACGGGCCTTTACTTTAGAACTTTGGCACGCTTTATCTCTTTACATTTTCATTAGTTTTAAAAAGTGAAAAATACGTGTCGAGTAGTTTTTGATAAGCTAACTGACGGACTAATTAAAACTCTTGCTTTTTTACCCAGGAAACATCCCTATTTAGATCTCTACTGTGCACTAGAAATAATCAGTACTTGAAACTTGCGAAGCCTATCGTTGATATACTTACAAAGAAAATGCTTCCCTCTACAAATTTTGCTTCAAATATTGTCTGGCTAGTGCTGGTTTATATGCTATAGGCGATTGTTTTATTAATATGACTACTTAGTTGAACCACAGATCAAGATGAACTAAAAATTTTACCTATCTGATAAATTGGTGCAGTTTCAATGAAGTCTACAATAGAAAAACTCATCTATCCGTACTTACCGCACAGGTAGAAATTGAGCGGAAAGGTGAAGGTTCATTCAAAATAAACTTAGAAATCCAGTTTTATTTTAAGAAAACTGCGTAAAGAGTTGCATCTCAAACTAAATTCGTGGGTTCAATTCCCACCTGAGGCAATTTGCCCTTCAAGTTTTTAAAAACTAAATTTATAGAAATCAACTTTTCTGTTTGAAAGTCCTACCTACATATATAAAACATTCATCATGTAGAGAACCTAAAGTAAAGGAGATAGTAAACTAAGCTAAATATCTATTGCATTTTAATTTGCAAAGCATTCTGCGAATCATTACTAAACTTCACGAAGCGAAATCTAACGCCAGCGCCTCGCATGCTAAGCGAACTCAGCAGATTTTGCTTTATCACTTACAATTTTGCCTCGCATAAGTACCTAAGCTAAAAATTACACTGTATACCTACTCTTATACAAATCAAGTTATTATATTTTATACTAAGACTAAGTTAAAGATCACATGTTTCCATGAATGACTTGATGAAAATATAAGTATGTTATTCCTTTATTCGTTGTTCTTCTTTTCTCTGAATTACGATACAAAGAGTGTCCGTTGTTTCATTAATTAATTCTTTTGGTTTGAGTCATCGTTTAATTAATAAAGGCATATTAACGAATACCTAGTATCTAGTAACCCTCGGTTCAACCCATGATACTGAGAATTAATTTTATTCTAATGACATATTTGAGAGTTTATTTGATTTCTTAAGCTTCGCGGTAATGTGTGTCATGAAAGTTTTTGATTACTTATAGCTAAGTCATCTTATTGTTACAATAAATGTATTATGTTGCGACTCTGTTTCTACTACTAAAAACACTCAATCACTCAAACCAAGCAATTCTAAAGATGTTCAGTCATCATTTCTGATCGCAGCGTGCAACTGCAACGGGTTTTCGAACAAGTGCTACTTCGACAAGGAGTTATACGAACGCACCGGCCACGGCGGCCATTGCATCGACTGTGCAGAGAACAGGGACGGACCCAACTGTGAAAGATGCAAGGAGAACTTCTACCAGGGCTATGGTGACATCTGTCTGCCCTGTAANATCTGATGACAGAGCTTACATTATTTCTACTTTTGACCACCATGAGCGCTGCGATAGATTATGTTACCCCCACCTAGTACTTCGCACCCAGCGAATAGCAAACGATTTTGGATAAAGGAGCTAAGTATTGCTTCGACTGTGCCGAGAACAGGGACGGACCCAACTGTGAAAGATGCAAGGAGAACTTCTGCCAGGGCTACGGTGACATCTGTCTGCGCTGTAACTGCAACCCCACTGGTGAGTACCTACATTATAGCAAACGATTTTGGATAAAGGAAGTAAGTATTGCTTCGACTGTGCCGAGAACAGGGACGGACCCAACTGTGAAAGATGCAAGGAGAACTTCTACCAGGGCTATGGTGACATCTGTCTGCCCTGTAACTGCAACCCCACTGGTGAGTACATTATAGCAAACGATTTTGGATAAAGGAAGTAAGTATTGCTTCGACTGTGCCGAGAACAGGGACGGACCCAACTGTGAAAGATGCAAGGAGAACTTCTACCAGGGCTATGGTGACATCTGTCTGCCCTGTAACTGCAACCCAACTGGTGAGTACGTACACCTTGGCAAACTGTTTTGAATAGGAGTCATTGCATCAGATGTGCTGAGAGCAGAAGGGCCTTACTGCAAAAAGCGCAAGAAAACTTATATCAGGACTTAAGAGACCTTGGTCTGCCCTGTAACTGGAACCCATAAAATACTTGCTTGGGTTGCTATTAAACCTAGCTAGGATAAGGAGCCAATGACAGAATCTATACTGTATGCACGTAAACGTCTCCATCCCATTATTGTGTTTGTTTTGTGACAATCATATGACTACCACTGCTGAATTATTGACTATAACAACTACATTTAAATATCCACAGGATCCCGCAGCCTCCAATGTAACGCGGAAGGCCGGTGCCAGTGCAAGCCTGGCGTGACGGGCGACAAGTGTGATGCTTGTGCACCAAACCACTACGAGTTCACCACCATGGGCTGCAAGCCTTGCGGCTGCGAGGAGGCTGGATCCTACGCCAACTCGCCGCAGTGCAACCCTGACACTGGCGTGTGTGTCTGCAAGCAGAACGTCGAGGGGAAACGGTGTAGAGAGTGAGTCTATGCTTCTTGTTCAGGCGTAGCTAGAGGACTCGATCCCGGGATCCCGAGATCCCGGACTATATTTGGCCCCGAAAATTTCGAGATTGAATTTGCCTAGTCCCGAGATTTACGGGATTGGATACAAAATAATAAAAAATCATATAAAATTATTGCGTGAAACGATATGTATACTCTTTTTTGACATTTGAATTTGAATAAGCCAATTTTATTACAACAACATTGAAACGAAGTCTTTTAGTGATTTGTTGATTATATCAAAGATTTATTGGTATATTAATATGATATTCGCATAGAACAAGTATTCCGAGATCGCCTATATACAATCTCGTAATCCCGGGATCAGAAAAAAGGTCCAGGATCGAATCCTCTAGGCGTAGCATCTGTGGTTCCAAACTCTTACAAAGCTAAGCCTTCAAAGCACAAGAGAACCGGCATCTTCTGGGCAAGCTTGCTCCAAAATAAATCGCATAATTATGTATACCTTCTTCTTCCTCCCTTTAAGTAACTCTGATAAATTGTTGTCATTTTCCAGATGCAAACCAGGCTTCTTCAACCTGGACATCAACAACGAGTTCGGCTGTACGCCGTGTTTCTGCTTCGGCCACTCCTCTCAGTGTAGCTCGGCGCCCAAGTACCAAGCGCACGAGTTGAGCGCGCACTTTATAAGAGACTCTGAGCGGTGGGGAGCAGAAGACGACCAGCGGAGGCCGGCGCCGCTCATGTTCAACGCCAACACGCAGAATATAGGTAACTAGCGGCCGCCCACGACTTCGTTCGCGTGGATCCCGTTTTACCCCCTTAGGGGTGGAGTTTCGTAAAATCCTTTCTTAGCGGATGCTTACGTCATAACATCTACCTGCATGCCAAATTTCAGCCCGATCCGCCCAGTAGTTTGATAGATCACTATGTCAGTCAGTCAATCAGTCACCTTTGAGTTTTAGATTTAGGTTAAGGGTACTTCTCATTTACACTCAAATTTGATGGTCACACAATAATAGTTCATAAACGGTATAAGTTAGAACAATAACTTTGAAATCAGGTGATAACATATCTATTTAGCTACATACAAAATAAATTTTATCGTAATAGAAGCAAAAATAATACGAAAACATCACATGAAACGATACAAAACGGGGTCATTTTTCGCGTTCTCATCGTGTCACACCTTCGGTTGCAATGAAACATTTGGTTGCTGCATTCACAATTTTCATTCAATTTGTGTGTAGCATATACTAAAATCATCGTAATTAAATATACTTTCCACACAATAGTAAAAAAAATATCTTCTTATAATTATTTTGAATTTAGGAAGGAAAATACGTTGGTCACACGATTTCAGGTACCTAAAATTTTGAGTAATCATACAAGATTGCCGTTAAACCGAACACCATCAACCAATCACTGTGTTCTATTCGGTTAGCGTCAGTCGCGCTCCTGCCATTGCGGAGGTGAGATAAGTCGATCGTCGCTCCGCGAAAAAAATACGTAACTTTTTGTGATTATCCATAGACATTCCGTCGCTTGCTTGATCAATATTTTCTACCTCTAAAATTTAAACAATTTAATTGAAACTTAGGCCATTGAAAACTTAACATGTTAGACTTATTTGTGTAGTATTCGACTTGAACCGTTAAACTCAAATTTAGGGATAATGAATAAAAAACTAAAATTTTCGTCACCTTCGTGGCATCACCTTCGTGGTGTTTTATACACGAAGGTGATTTTAGGCCACGAAAGTGATTTCTTGCTTTGGTTTATTTTAAAATATAATGACTGGTGTTTAAGTTTTTACAATATTTTAATAACGAATAAATTATACGTGTTAAGTAGAGTTCAGTACATCAATAAAAAAATAAGGGCCTCGTATTTTTTTTGTCTGTCTGACTGTATGTATGTCTGTATATGTGACTGTGTATCTGTTTGTAAGATAAATTTAATCTGAAGTTTGAGTTAAAAGTTGTACAACAAAAATACGAGGCCATCTGGCCTCAATAAATAAACATATTTTTTGTTGAGGGACTGATAAGTTAAGAGTTCTTTTTTATTGAGGTACTGATAATCCTTTTTTTTTGCTTCTTTAGGATTTCAGAATGCCACCAGTATCACCCTTAAAACCAATTGCGTAGAATCTTGTAACTTAGTAGGTGACGTTATCGGTAAAATTTTATCTTGTATTTAACTACCTACCTATTTATATTATGTTATTGCCATTTATCTATGAAAATAAGACAAAATATATGTTTTATAAATACTTAAGAGTCATTTACAGTAGTAAAGTTTGAAATAATTATTGCTGTGAAGTACAGAATCACTTTCGTGGCATCAAAAAATTCAAAACGTTAAAGCTTCCAAACCAGACTTCACTATTTGACTGATTTACTGAGAATACACTCTTCACATCAAGCGCTACAATTTTTGTTTACAAAAAGTTGAAATAAGTTAAAAATAAAATTTGCCACGAAGGTGACGATGAGAACCGTGGCGATGAGAAATACCCTTAAATAACTTTATTGTGCTTCGGTCACTCGTCTCAGTGCGACTCAGCGCCAAAATACAAGGCGCATGAACTGAGCGCACATCAGATACTCTGAGAGGTGGAGAACAGATGATGAACAGAGGAGATCGACGCTCATGTTCAACGCTAATACGCAGAACGTGAAAATAATAACTGTTTGTTACAAAATTCTAGCAGCTCATCATGTCGAATCATGTTTGTAATCCCTATCCAATGCAGAACTACTTAGTTATTTTTAAGGTTCTTCAGGATCATTAGACTCTATTGCTTACTTGTATATGATGAAGAACAAAATGTAAGTAACAAGTGGACTTCATCTACATTTCTGCTTCGCACGCATTAATCATTATTATTCTTTTCATTACAGCCGTGCAATCAAATGGTCCCGAAATAATCTACTTCTTAGCATCGCACCAGTTCCTCGGAGACCAAAGACCCTCATACAACCACGACCTCAAGTTCACTCTTCGCCTCGGCGAAGCTCGCGGTTACCCGTCAGCTCAGGACATCATACTAGAAGGAGCTAGATCCTCCATATCCATGAACATCTATGGGCAGAACAATCCAGAACCTTCTGACCAGGTATGAGACAAATTGTACATAGAGGCTAAGCGATGCAAATGCTACTGATATTATTTTGGCTGCGCGATATTATTTACCTTAGCTGGTTTTAGAATACGCCACTTTCTACTCTTTTATCATACGCCCATAAAAGTGCCGTGATTAATAATGACTCCATTTGTTACAGTCTCAAGAATATAGCTTCCGCTTGCATGAAGATCCTCGGTATGGATGGACTCCCACGCTCTCCAACTTTGAATTTATGTCGATCCTGCAAAACTTGACCGCCATCAAGATCCGTGGCAACTACAACAAGGGGGGCACAGGTTACCTCATGAACTTCAAGTTGGACACTGCCAAAGTGGGAAGGGAGAGGGGATTCGCCCCCGCTAACTGGGTGGAGAAGTGCTCGTGCCCGAAGGCCTACGTGGGAGATTATTGTGAGGAGTGTGCCCCAGGGTTCAAGCATGAGCCCGCTAATGGAGGCCCGTACTCCGCTTGCATTCCTTGCGACTGTAACGGACACGCGCACATCTGTGACACTGCTACTGGTGAGTAATCATACATTTTGTGATATATTGGAATAAGTTTTGTTCTTTTGCAAATCTTTTCTGAGAAGAATATTTTTATATTATGTTAATACGTATGTACATAATTACACAATAGTGTAGTTAATTCCATTTATCAGCAGTCCCCTTACCCATAAGTACGAGTGGGTACTTATGATTAGGTTGCCTAAATTGATTTTTTTCGTATCGTTTCTGCCCAAAGGTAGAGACAGAGGAAGCAATGGCATTAAATTTGCCTTTTTGCACTTATTAATTTGGCATTTCAGTTTCATTAAATGAATAAAAATATTTTAATTTTTAGGCGCTAGCTTTAGACATTCTTCATATTCAACATAAGGTTGTAGTTAAGACCTTAATTCTAGTGACGTGGACATTCTTCTTACTTGCTTCTCACTTACGTTCCAGGGTTCTGTATCTGCAAACACAACACAACCGGCAGTAACTGCGAGCTCTGTGCCAAAGGCTTCTACGGAAATGCCATCGCTGGTACCGCTGAAGACTGCAAGCCCTGCCCCTGCCCTAAGGACAGTGGGTGTATCCAACTCATGGATTCCAGTATCGTGTGCACTGACTGTCCTGAGGGATACGCTGGTAAGAACTTTTTTTTAGTACTGTACTGGAATTTAGTTGTTTCCAGGAGATCTGGCAGGATTGAAAAAACTGGACAATGTTTTCTTTGGTATACAGGCGGTTGCAACACGTAGTGATTATTGAATCGGTGGTCTTAACCTGATAATGAAATAATCGTCTCAATATAATGATATTGAATTTACTTATCCCCCTTAAAAAAATATCCAATAACAAGGGTACACTGAGCGGGTTTACTCGTCCCCACCTTTACTTTTATGCAAATAATGGCATTGGTTGATCATCATTATACTCGCCACATAAGAAAAAATGTGATTTCCATTGCTTTTATACAGAAGCCTAATACTTATAAAATAATGAAAAATAACTATGTCTGTGTAAAATTGTACCATTGAATTTATGTGGTTTCCTGAGGATTTTGTAGGTACTTGGGGTAACATTTTGTTTTAACTTTCATATAGGAATGATATGATGCTCCAGAGATTTACCATCAGGTAATCCGTCTGCTCGTTTGCCTCATGTCCCATAAAAAAAAGAGAAATCCTTAAAATCTTTTTGATACTCTTAATTCTAGGGTTGAGGTTCCATTCCAAAATAGTTGATACACTTAAGTATACTTTCTACCACAGGACCGAGATGCGAAGTGTGTGCGGACGGACACTTCGGCGATCCAACTGGCCAGTTCGGACCGGCGCAGGAGTGCCAGGAGTGCCAGTGCAATGGAAATGTTGATCCTAACGCGGTGGGCAACTGCGACCGGACTACAGGGGAGTGTCTGAAGTGCATCTACAACACCGCCGGGGACCACTGCGACAAGTGCTTGAGCGGTGAGTGTCTGATAGTTTTTTCATGTGTTTCGGTTTGTTTAGCAAATTATTGTACCTAGTTTCTGTCATACTACGATTTATTAATACAAAAATTCACGTAGGCTAATGAATACTTTTTTGTTCAGGATTCTACGGAGACGCCCTCGACCAGAAGAACAAAGGAGACTGCAAGCCTTGCGAGTGCCACGAAGCGGGCACCCAAGAGAGCCCTGAGGGACCCCCTATGTGTGACGGCCTCACTGGCTACTGCTCCTGCCGCCCGCATGTCATTGGCAGGAACTGCGACAAGTGCGAGGTAGGGGAGACTGGGTACGGTTGAAACAAAGGACGGTTGAAACAGAGCAAATATCTCGTAAACGGTTCCGCGGGGAGTGAGGGGTCCTAGGGGAAAAAGAAGCGGAAGACAGGTCTGAACACGAATTTAGTGCCTAATAACTTCCTAACGCGTTGACGTTGTGTATAAAACACCATTTTGTTTTTTACTACCCAAAGTAAGTATTTTTCTTCAGACATTAACGCTTATACTAACTGTTCTTTTTATGTGAATGTATCGAGTGTGCGTTTGCTATTATAATGAAGCTTGTAGAATAAGGGACAGTAACTATTTTTTATGTGTGATTATTAGTGTCGAAACTATAAAGTATATTTTACCAAAAGTGGGGTTGGGGACGGTTGAAACATTTTTTTTGGGTACGGTTGAAACAGAAAATGTATTAAAGTTTATTTTTTGTAAATGCCGAGAGTTTGAGTAAGGAAGATTTCCAGGGAGGAAATTGACTTGGTAAAGCATAAGAGGAGGTAAAAGTTGGAGATTCACTGCGGAAAGCGACGGAAAAGTATGAAAAAAATAAAGATTTCCGTAACTTTACTCACAATGTTAATATTATTTTATTATTAGTGTTTATTAGATTTGGAAATATCATTTATTTTATCATATTTCTGTTAATTTTTTTAATTTTTACTACTTATCAAAGGCTAATTAATGTTTTAGAAATATTAAATACTTAGACTGATTAATGTCGTCATGTGGTACCATAATTTTAATATTCGTAGTATTAATGATACATAACACACGTTTTATTAGTAATTATTGCATTATTTGTATGTATTTCAACAGACCCCAATCGCTGTTTCAACCGCCCCTGGCATGGGGACGGTTGAAACAAAATTTCTTTTTTTTTAAATTTCGTATATTTCCAAAAATAGTAACCCGGGAACTATAATGATACAGCCATATCATAGCTAAAACTTCAAATTTCAATTTCACGTATCGTAATCGTCACTTGGTTATTAAATAACAAAATTATAGACAATAAAAGCAAAATTGTTTCAACCGTACCCAGTCTCCCCTAAGATTGACAGACGATAGAACAATGGTGACTGTAAGCCTTGCGAGTGTCACGAAGCGGGCACCCAAGAGAGTCCTGAGGGACCCCCTATGTGTGACGGCCTCACTGGCTACTGCTTCTGCCACCCGCAATTCATTGGCAGGAACTGCGACAAGTGCGAGGTAAGATTGACAGACAAAAGCATAATCGTGACTGTTAGCCTTGCGAGTGTCACGAACCGGGCACCCAAGAGAGCCCTGAGGGACCCCCTATGTGCAACAGCCTCACTGTCTACTGACGTCTTCGACCAAAAAACCAAGGGCGACTGCAAGCCTTGCGAGTGCCACGATACGGGCACCCAAAAGAGCCCTGAGGGGCCTTTACTTTTCCACTATCAGATTATCAGGCTTCTTTAAAAGCTGGAATTTATTCGCGTGTATCATAACTGTTTTTTTCTTCTAGGACGGCTACTACAACATTGACTCAGGAGAGGGATGCATTCCTTGCGACTGCCACCTGGAGGGCTCGTACAACGCCACCTGCAACCCATACACCGGCCAGTGCTACTGCAAGCCGGGCATTGATGGGTAAGTGTGCCATTGTTGTTTTGTTTGTAGGGCTGCTTGTGCATTAGGCTATTTGACACCATTCCCCAATAATTCGAAATCATTGAGAAAAAGTCTCGTTTTGACAGTTTTAAAAAGTACGTCAATTGATTTGGTGTCAAAAAGTCTATTATGTACATCCTTAGATAAAAGTACCATAAAAGCCTCCAATACTATAAATAATATTCCCGTTCGTTTAATGCATAGTATGTCTATGCTAAAGTGAAAGAATTCCAAAAGCCGCTATTGGTGAAAAGATTCTGTCTCTCAGAGAGAAAAGAGAATTCTTAAAATCTCCAGAATTGACTCGAAATTCCGAAATACAGTAGGTAGGTACCTATTATACAGGGTGTTAGGTAAATGGGTATATGAGCCGACACTAGCCCATGTTAACATGGTCATATAAATGGTATGATGAAGTCAGAAATTTGATATCATCATTTTTTTTTAATTCTCATACAAAATACATTTTATAAAATCCGATTCGTATGAAAATTAAAATAATTAAAATGAAGATATCAATTTTNCCATTTACCTAACACTCTGTATTGTTGCGAAATATTGTAAGATTTTTTTGACCATACAGCAAGCACTGCGACCATTGCCGCGCGTACCACTACGGCTTCTCAGGCACGGGTTGCCTGGACTGCGACTGCGACGACTGGGGCTCCACCAACTACCAGTGCGACGTGGCCGGCCAGTGCTCCTGCCAGGAGAATGTCGAGGGCCGCCGCTGTGACAGGTAAAATACCAACTAATAAGAATAATCTCATAGCCACATCATCATCATTTCAGCCATAGGACGTCCACTGCTGAACATAGGCTTCCCCCTATGATTTCCACAAAGGCCGGTTGGTTTGCCTGCATCCAGCGCCTTCTTGCTACCTTTTTGAGGTCGTCGGTCATCGGAGGTCCTACGCTGCGCTTTCCAGTAAGTGACCTACACTCCAGAACCTTGCTGCCCCATCGGCCGTCAGTGATTTCCACACCAATGATTTCCACAAAGGCTGACTGGTAGAGGCCTGCATCCATCGCCTTCCTGCTACCTTTGTGAGGTCGTCGGTCATCGGACTGATTTCTGATTCGATCTCGTAAAGAAACACCGGGCTACCCTCTCCATAGCATGCTGTGCAACTTTGAGGCCCATAGTGAGAGGCCTATCTATCTACTTATTCTTGGTAGCAAGAGATGCGCCGCTCTTAGATTGTTCTGCAGCAAATTGCGGAGACGGAAGTCTTAATTCAGAAAGTCAGTCTTTAAGAACAGTTCATCTCTTGCAAAAGCTGCTTGTAAAGCTAGCCCATTTCTGAAGATCAATCGAGATTTTACATAATTTGGTAACGAGAGGGATTCTGACATCAAATCAGGCTGGTCTATTCATGTAAGACCGGTATAATAATATCAGGTGTTGAAGTATGAAATTGCCGTTTTGGAGAGTGAGTATTACAAAAAATCATTTCTTACAAACTTTATTACGAAAAAAAAATTTTTTTGAGAAAACAGAAACCAAATTTTATAAAGTTTTATCTTTAAAGAATGTTTTGTGATTATGTTTAACTTTCAATAAATTTAAAATATAGATATCTTTGAAAAAAAAAAAAAAAACCTAATGAATATTGAACAAAAATAAAGATGGCAATTTCATACTTTACCCCCCTTTAGTGTCTTAATAAAACATCTATTTAAATATTTAAAAATTAAGCTCTTTAAAAAGTAAAACAAACTAACATAAATTATATTTAGAAAAATTCATGTACGTCCTTTTGCGGGAATGGCCTTCCAAATCACGCTAGCCGGTCCGCCGGTCGACGTCGGCTCCTGCGCAGGCAGAGCGCCAGTCGCCGCCTGGCAGCCGCGCGCATTGTATGTATGTACAGTAATGTACAACTTACTTTTATTCACAGTAATGTCAACCTAGAAAACTGAGTGTAAACGTATGTACAACAAAGTTCAAGTAAGTACAGGTTTGTTAGGACGGTTCCCGCAGAAGTACATCTGCTTGTTCTGACTATTGGACAACTTGTAAATTATCTACCTACATAAAATTTGTTAATTTCTCATGTAAGTGACTGTAATGTTTTTAATGAGAAATAAATGTTCTTTAAACCTATGTAGTCGGAAGAAACAAAACGCTATAATATAAAAATTAACCAAGACCAAAACGAACTTGATTGCGATTTCTAGTTCGTTCGTTCGTTTCAGCCAAATGACGTCGACTGCTGGACAAAGGCCTGCCCCAAGGATTTCCATAACCACCCTTTCTGCGCAGCCCTCAACCAGGCTCTTCCCGCGACCTTCACCAGATCGTCGGTCCACCTAGTGGGAGGCCTGCCCACACTATATCTTCCGGCCCGTGGTCACCACTCGAAAACTTTTCTGCCCCAACGGCCATCGTCTCTACGAGCTATGTGCGCCGCCCACTGCCCTTGATTTTAGCAATTATGTCGGTCACTTTGGTTCCCCTGGGGATCTGCTCATTTCTGATTCGATCACGCAGATGTATGGAGAACAAAAAACGGCGCGCCGACGGGCAGGGCTGCGAAGACTGCCCGCCCTGCTACAACCTGGTACAGGACGCCGTCAACGACCACCGCAAGGAGCTCAAACAATTGGACGAGGTAAATACATTCAGTTGGTATTCGATGCTTGCGTAAGTGAAGCGGAAAATCGAACGCACAGCGTTGAATAGAGCTCTGTGATTGGTTCATGTGTCACCCTCAGTAAGACCTCATAGTAATGTTTGTGAATACGGGCGTTAATATTTGGATTTGGTGCGGTCCACACAGCTTATGACCGCAGTCTGTAGAGAAACACTATCGGCCTTATTAATAAAAGTTACACCCTAGTTGAACTCTTAAGCCAGAGCTAAAGTTGTCATTTAGTATGGAAATGCCATTTCATCCTAAGTCGCGATCCTCATCAGTGAGCGACCGAGGAAGAAGAAGAACATTTGAACAAGGGCACAAAATACGAGGGCTACCACACCTATCCACTTCCACTATTTCTTATGCAGGCACAACGCTGGTCTTTGATTAATTCTAACTGATTTCTATCTAGTACATGTGCTTCACTATATTTTGTTTCACCATATAAACGGAACAAGACGTTAGGTAATTCCTTTTTTACTCTCCTTTTATTACGTTCAGGTATAGAAATTCATCAACATAATGCCAGTTAAATTAACTCAAAACATGACGATCCCGGCAATGTTTGTGGTTTGTACAAAAAACAGAATTCTGAAGTCAATGCTACCAACTAAATAATATTTCAATAACAACAGATCCTGGCGAAGATATCCAAGACACCAACAGTGGTCGAGAACCAGGACTTCGACAACGAGCTGCAGCGAGTGCGCGGCGAGATCGAGCGCCTCATACAGGATGCGCAGACGCAGCTGGGCGCAGGACCCGGGGCCAGCCTCACGGAGAACCTCTCGGAACTCGCCGACAGGCTCGCGGATGTAAGGTAAGTGTGTACAGCAGTGCAGGGAAAGCTGGCTGGAAAGAAGATTTGTATAATTAACTTAAAAAAAAACCGACTTGAAATGCGTGAACACAAAAAAAACTAAAAATTGAAAATATTTGGTATAAAAAAGTTCATCCCCAATTTTCCACCCTTGGGGGTGAAATATTTTCTTCAAATTCGCATGAAACCACCCTTTTGATAATACCTATTCAACAAAAAAATAATCGTTCAAATTGATTTATAATCGGCGGAGATATTGCGTATAAAAAGTTCATCCACAATTTTCCACCCTTGAGGGTTGTTTTTTCTATTATTAAATTTAAATGGGACCACCCTTAAGGTATTACCTATATGCAGAAAAAAGATTTGTTCAAATCGGTTCATAATTGACCGAGTTATCGCGTAACAAACATAGAAAAAAAAAACATACAGGTCGAATTGAGAACCTCCTCCTTTTTTGAAGTCGGTTGAAAAGAACATAATATTTTATTTTAAACCATCAGACAGTGGTGACCGAGTTTGTTGCGGCGCTTCTTCTCAGCACTTGCCAAATGTTTGTCTCGAAGCGCTGGTAGGGCAAAAAAATAATGAGAGCTCCTTAAGAGCATTTGATTTGTAAGTACTAATATAATTAGTCTATACAAATAAAGATAATTTTGATTTTGATTTTTGAACAGTCAGCTGACGTATTAGTTCTTGTAACTCACGAAGGCGAGTGACCACTTGTGTGTGTACGTGTACATGCACAATTGCACATAGCGATAGTGTAGGTACTATCAAAACTTTTGAAACACAGACAGTAGCGAGCCACCACACGTGTAGAGCTCACTCGCCTTCGTGAATTGCAACAACTATAGCTGAAGTGATGTGCTATGATGATTCATTCATCGGATCGATTTCGGCCATGGTGACCACTTCAGCACCCGTTTTGGCGATGGCTTACGTAGCCGTTCTCCGCGGCAAACCCCCTCGCACATTGACGGTCTCTGAGCACGCCGCTAACATAATAGTGAACGACGTAGTTGGTAGATGAAATGTGATAAAATGTGAAGGATATACAGGGTTTTGATTTCAATCCTCGCCATATTTAGGGAGTTGATTAAGTAGGTAGCTTATTCTGAATAGTAAAAATACTACGACTCAGTAATATTTAGATCGAAAAAATTTTAAAACGAACTTTAACTTTAAGTTATTCAAAGAATAATACCTTAATGATAATGATGATAAAAATCGTTTATTGCTTGCTTTACAAAACCTATTTACACTCATTAGAATAAACTACTTCCTAAACATGGCGATGATTGAAATCAACACCCTGTATAGGGCGGAATCTTCATTTCTCGAGTGCACCGAAAGGGATTAGTTACTTGCATGATACAAGAGTAATGTTTCTGAAAGCCACTGGTTTCCGCCATACATTGATCTACATTGTATATCAATGGGATACATGGAAATTGAATATTTGTTTAGATATTGTCCTTAATTTTATGCTTGCTACAAAAGTAAAAGGCTTACAACTACGGAACAAATCTCAGGCCGTTTATCCTCCACAACCTTACAGGTAAATTCTTACTTACCTTTATAAGTAGGAAGAGCGTCATTGTTCAAAGTCGAAATATCCTCGGATTTTTAATTTTCTTCGATGTTTTTCTAATATTTTTAAAACCATTGGGCCTGGAAGGTGGCATGTACGTAACATACAAAAGTTTTCAGCACACAAAGCATGCTTAAGGAAAATGTCTATTTATATCGGGGTATCAACCTTCTGGGACAAGATGTAGACTTTATTTGAAACTAGCTGACCCGGCGAACTTTGTTCCGCCCTAATGGCAATAAATAAGCAGACTTTCTTTTTATTTCGAACGGGATAAAAAGTATCCTATGTCCTTCTCCTGGCTATAAACTACCTCCCTGACAATTTTCAGCTAAATCGGTTCAGCCGTTCTTGAGTTATAAGCGAAGTAACTAACACGACTTTCTTTTATATAATACTAGCTGACCCGGCGAACTTTGTTCCGCCTTAATGGCAATAAATAAGCAGACTTTTTTTATTTCGAACGGGATAAAAAGTATCCTATGTCCTTCTCCTGGCTCTAAACTACCTCCCTGACAATTTTCAGCTAAATCGGTTCAGCCGTTCTTGAGTTATAAGTGGAGTAACTAACACGACTTTCTTTTATATAATAGACTAGCTGACCCGGCGAACTTTGTTCCGCCTTAATGGCAATAAATAAGCAGACTTTTTTTTTATTTCGAACGGGATAAAAAGTATCCTATGTCCTTTTCCTGGCTCTAAACTACCTCCCTGACAATTTTCAGCTAAATCGGTTCAGCCCTTCTTGAGTTATAAGTGGAGTAACTAACACGACTTTCTTTTATATAATAGACTAGCTGACCCGGCGAACTTTGTTCCGCCTTAATGGCAATAAATAAGCAGACTTTTTTTTTATTTCGAACGGGATAAAAAGTATCCTATGTCCTTCTCCTGGCTCTAAACTACCTCCCTGACTATTTTAAGCTAAATCGGTTCAGCCGTTCTTGAGTTATAAGTGGAGTAACTAACACGACTTTCTTTTATATAATAGATAGATGTGAAGGTAATCCATTGTTTGCTATTCACGTTTCCATGACGAAGGTGCATTTAATGAAAAGCCTAGGCTCTCTGTGAAATATTATATAAGCTAGGTACGAGATAATTTGAAAAAATGATAGCTTATCTTAAGGTTGTTAGTCGGGAACTTTATTCTTATTTACCGTAACAAATACCTACTGTTTCGTTATTGTTAAAAAGTGCTGTGAATTTGTATTCACTTTTTAATGGGGCTACTATTGTCTAGAGATAAGTACCTACTTGTGCTACTACGACTGAAAAATACCTAAAAGAAAATAAATTTTTCATGTGCCCGACATTGGCTGTTACTCTTAACACCACACAAAACTGATTTCATCACGCTCCACCCTCATCATTATTTCACATTTATATGAAATGACTTAGTACGGTCCATTTTCAAGAACCGCGATCGTTTGTATAGTTTACAGCAAAGATGGGCCCCGTTTAGCGTCTAACTCGCTCCCCGGAGCCAACTTTGCTGAAGCCTGGCTGTGCTTGATGCCTAGCTATACAGGGTGGAATTTTGTAATGCCACCTGGAGGGAAAGTACTCTAAATACTGTAGATAGAAAGTTTTACTCAAAGAAAATATTCCTTTATTTTTGAAAAGAGAGAGAATTGCATTCAAAGATTTTCGATTGTTTTTCGAAAATTCACCACCTATACCATAAAATTTTCTGTAAATAATTAAAGTATAAGGTTTGCCTTTCATTTGATTTATCGAATTTGTTAGAGAGCTTTCATCCTTATACTTAACCCTAACGATCGATGCAATAAAAATACAGGGTGTAATTTTTAACAAATTTTAGTTGATTCGATTACCGGGTGTGGCAAGAAAATTTTTAGAAATCTTTGAATGCAGTTTTATTTATTTTCCTAAATTAAGAAATGTTTCCTTTGAGTAAAATTTTCTATCTACAGTATTAAGAGTACTTTCCCTCCAGGCGGCATTACAAAATTCCACCCTGTATTTATCTCTTGCTTGATGCATCCTGATACCTTATTTAGCTAGAATTTAATAATGCGTTCGCCGTAAAACTGCCCATTATGGAACCACAATGTCACCTCAAATGCAATTAGATCCTATTAGCGGAGTTTATGTAAATATTAAACTAGCATAGTGCTGTATGCGGATCCTCTAAAGTAGGTACTATCGACAGATTTGTAACAGTAGTCGTACAACTAGCATAGTGTTGTATGGCTATCGTCTAAATACTATCGATAGATTTGTTGTGCAATATCAATAATACTTAATTACAAAACTAATCTTAGATTAAATGGATCTTCGTGTTGCATCGTGTTGTAAGTCGTAGTAAGTAGTAGAACACAATCCTAATGGCAGACTATGGAATGTTTACCTACTTGATCTTGCATTGCAAAAAAAGAAAACTGGCGATAGTTGCAATATGATGATATCGATTGCATACTTTGAAGTCAATATACACGGTCTAACTCTAAACTAACGAATGTTTTGTTTAGGTGGTGCTAGAATATATTTTATTCTTGCACCACCAGGTTAGGCCCTAACCTAACTATTAAGGATTTAAGGGGCTTGCTGTAGACGTGTCAAGTATTTTTTTTTTATTTATCTATTTAAAAATTAGAATACTTACCAGCAACCCAACGACATAGACAACTACGTAAGTATATATTTTTTCCTTAGAGAAACTGTTATTTTGAAGCCTTTTGGCGCTATCTTATAAAGAAGAATAGAACAGCCTATATGTACCTTTTAATAAACAAAACGAACGTCAAATTCATAATGCAAGCTCGTAGACCAAGCCCATTGTTGCTTTACAATATTAAACTTCTACTCTATCGTCAGTCCTCTAGCTACTACCTAATTAATCTAATTCCAAAAGATTGGTTGACGAATCTCAAAGTATTATCGTTCAATTTTATCCATTCCATGAAAAAATCAATATCTCATTGTCACTCGTTTTCGCAAAACATATAAGCTCAAAATCTAGCATTTTACTACAGAATAACTTCTTCTATCTAGCTCCCGATCAATCATCATCATAAATAATAACATTCCTACTAAGTAAAATAACAAGTCAAGGGAGTCACTATAAAGTTCACTCCAGTATGCTTTGGCTCCATATCAAATGAACCTACATTCCATCAGTTCACTAAAAGTCACTATTATTTTGCTCCCATCTCCATCATCACAGTCCTTCATCACTGGCTTGCTAAAACCAGTAAACATAGCAAATGGGCCAAAATTCGAGGGGTTTCCTAGTAGCCATCAAGAGCAATCTGTTTTCATCAAATTCAAATAGTTAATTCAGTACCTACATAGGCCCTTACTAGGGCTTACACGTCCCAAATATAGCTTGCCCTACCACCACTTCGGGACAACATATGGGCTGGTGGTGAAAAGAAGTGGTGGAAGAAACTCAATCACCTT